AGCTGTGGAAACGGCAGTAACATCTATTAGTCATTTAAACCATAGGGCTCCAAAAAACCAGTGGATTTCCTCTAAGTCTATTTCACTGATGGATTCGCGTAAACTCATCCCATCAGGTTCTGAACATGACGAAGAGCGTAAACAAATTAGATCTAGGTTAACTAAAAGCCTAAGGAACGATCGTGAGCAGTGGTGGGCAACGAAAGCAAAAGAGATGGAAAAGGCAGCGGCTGTAGGCAACACCAGGCAACTATTCAGACTAATAAAAGAAACCGGAATTAAGAAGTCAAGTGTAAGTGAGACAATCTCGGAAAAAGACGGAACCCTTATCTGCTCTCAACCCAAACGTTTAGAACGATGGGCGGAACACTTTAAGGAGCAGTTTAGCTGGCCTTCAGCTACTGCACAACTACCCACTATTCCTAGAAAACCTGAATGGAACATTGAAGTAGGCCCCCCGACCCTACTTGAAGTTCAAAAGGCTATAGGTAATCTGAAACGAGGTAGAGAAGCTGGTCCTGATGGATTGGCTCCAGAGGTCTTTAAATATGGTGGTCCAATTTTAGCGATTAGGTTGACTAATATTCTGGCTAAAATCTGGGAGACGGATATAATCCCATCCGACTGGTCACAATCACTGATTGTCCCAATATGTAAAAAGGGGTCAAAATCATCCTGCGATAACCATAGAGGGATTAGTCTGACTAACATAGTATCTAAAATACTAGCCTCAATAATTATCAGGCGCCTAACTAAAACTCGTGAACTGTAAACACGAGAAAATCAGGCTGGCTTCAGACATGGTTGTGGCTGTATCGACCACATATTCACCATTCGTCAAGTTTTAGAGCACAGACATGCTTATCGGCGTCCGACAATGATAGTTTTTCTTGACTTGAAAGCAGCATTTGACTCTGTAGACCGAGAGGTTCTGTGGCAGTGTCTGTCATTGAAAGGTGTACCTGAGAAGTACATAAACCTTTTGAAGGCTCTTTACTCGAACACTGTTAGTCGAGTGAGAGCTTATGGCGAACTGTCATATGATTTTACAACCTCAAGTGGTGTCCGTCAAGGCTGTCCACTATCCCCATTTTTGTTTAACTTCATTATAGACCTGTTGCTGGAAATAACACTCTCTTCGACTGAATTTTCAGGAATTGATCTCCTACCAGGGGGACCACTAAGCGACTTAGAATACGCAGATGACATAGTCCTGTTTGGTGAAGACGCTGGCAAAATGCAGAGTCTTCTGTTGGAACTCAGTAATAATGCCAGGATGTTTGGGATGCGTTTCTCCCCATCCAAATGTAAATTGTTACTCCAGGACTGGCCTGCGTCAACACTCGAACTAAGAATAGGAAGTGAAGTAGTCGAACGCGTCGACAACTTCACTTATCTTGGAAGTCTGATCAGCCCTAATGGGTTGGTGTCAGACGAAATCTCAGCACGGATTCAAAAAGCTCGTTTGAATTTTGCCAACTTACGTCACCTATGGCGAAGACGAGATATCCGTCTATCAATTAAGGGACGAGTATACTGCGCAGCAGTTCGCTCTGTCCTACTTTACGGCTGTGAAACATGGCCATTAAGAGTAGAAGATACTCGTAGGTTACTAGTATTTGACCACAGATGCCTTAGAAATATTGCTCGCATCTGCTGGGATAACCGGGTAAGTAATAGTGAGGTTAGACGCAGGGTATTAGGGAACGATGGTAAATCAGTTGATGAGGTGATGAATCTTCATCGACTGAGATGGTTGGGCCATGTGTTACGTATGCCTGAACACCGATTACCACGACGCGCTATGATGACTAGTATTGGGGACGGTTGGAAGAGAGTTAGGGGCTGCCAAACCAAAACATGGCATCAGTGTTTGAAGTCACTAACTTCTAGTCTGAGCCATGTTGATAGATGCAGACTACCTGGTTGGGGTCCGCGTGACTATCGTAACCAATGGTTGGAGACTCTAGGTGACATGGCTCAGAATCGATCACAATGGCGTAGGTGTATACATTCTTTATCTTCCCTTAAACCTTGAGACTAAAATTGCTTCATATCTCTCTTCCTTCCTGTACTATATCCTTATATACAACCTATAATTTATATACTACTACCACTAGTAAATTAATTACTTCTATGAATCCGGTGTTCCTCTTGTTGTGCTAACGAGGTATGGCAACTTGGACCGATGCATATATGTGCCTGGTCCTACGTTGTAGCTGACCTGACCTGACCTGTCCCTCATTTGACTACTTGAAGATCATGATTTCTGTCACAATAATCTTCTTTCAATAAGCTGAATTGAAAAATTTGTACTAGATTACTGATTGATCAAATAAAGCCATCTACAAACTGTTTGAATATCGTTATAATTGGCATTTATTCCTTTGACGAAGTATGTTTCAAACTACAGATCTCCCAATTTATTTAGAAATATTAATATAGAGTTATAAACTCACGTAAGTTAGCCAGTAAAAATTTGGTAAGGGTATACTATACTGAGGAGCCAATTATATTTAATATAACGCCTCTTGGATTTTCTCTGTGAAATTTAAAACGTAGTGACGGTTAGCTCAAATCTCAATAGAACCTAAATAAAAATTTACTATATGTAGTTATCAGAATACGTAAAATTGAGAAATGTTTTACAAGCACATAATGGACATAATATGGTATGTAGGCTAAATTGCAAAAGTCATCTGATGCAGATTTTATCTGACTGAATGAACATACTTGGTTCAGCTTTCGTAACATTTTGCAATACTTGAAATGCTTCAGCTATTCACTTTTCTTTATGGTTGGAATAACCCTGTCAAACTGTTTGCTGATTTAATTTATAGGTTCTCAAGTTCTATAGGATTATTCGGAGATATCTATTTATTTATGTAAACACATAAACATTGGTACAAGGAAGCACCAAATAGACATGCGCTACATAAATCATTCGACTTGTGTGAGAGCTGGGATACTGCTCGGGTGCCCAAACTGAAGCAGATGGTTTTCTTAGGGGGCCTTTGACCTAAAGGTCTAGTTCATAAGGCAGTAGAGCAACATCAGGAGATGCAGCCCCATGATAGTCAGTGCCCAACGATTGGTTCATATGCCATTGGTTTGGAATCAGGGTTTTCCAACTCCCCTAGGTGGACTCTCCGTGTACACCAGCCCTGTTAAAGTGCCGGACATTCGCTTTTCGTCCTCTCAATTTCGTAAACAACACTCGTAGTGCGAGAAGACAGTGAGTAGGACTTCCCTGGTAGTGGTTGTATGCACGTGGCCATGTGAGAGCGATTCGAGAGGGGGAACTAATTCTCCTCACTCTCGGCTGTATCACAGCATTTTGGGGCATTCGGAAGTATGTTTGTTTGGATTCACGACTCTTCAATATTGAGTTATCAAAATCTATCTGACTTAATCTATAGGGACAAAGCGGTATCGATGTAGAGGGGATCTTTCGATGAGTGTTGGTTACCTTATGGAATGCTTTGATTTTAAAGTGTTAAGATTCTTCGGAGTTCTGTTCTGCCATAGTGATGAGGTGCAACTACACTATCAATCCATAACATTTGATTTATGATTCAACAATTTGTCATTTCGTAATAGTACATTTTTCCTGTCTATCGTGACTCATTCTGTATTAGAAAGTCGTCTCATGAAATATTGACTCTTACTAAAGTGCATTCAAGCCACATAAAAGGATCTAATAATTCTATAGACCCCAAGAATTTATAGATTAAATTAGCAATAACGGTACATGGCTTATTAACAACGATCAAATCGATGTTAATAATATCCAACTAATTCAGAAAGATTTTGCAGTTATAAAGGAAACTGAACGACTGAAGCTTTCCATGTATTACTAAACTCAGCTATGCTCAGTAAAAAGGAACGCTTAACTATCCATCTAACTTCAACCATTTATCCGAATAGTCACATTTAATTTGTTTTCATCTTAAACTATTAGCACATACTTTCCTTTATGTAGTACAAATATCGCATTTTTCAAAAATACGATTATATCATGTAAAATCACCTTGACGTAAATAACGTGTTTGTATTGTAATACTATGTAGTTGATTGGTCGATTTTAAAAAATACTAAACAGAGTTGGATTGTGGCCAGTAGTGGCATACAGGACATCCGTCTCGTTCTGTTTGTGATGGGTCAGCTAGATGTACCTGCACTGCAGTGTTAGTATGCACACCAGGACTCCAGTCCAGTACCTTTCACTTCGAATGCTCAACGCATCATCCACGTAGCTACTGAATCAAGATAGCCAATAAATTATGCAACGGTGATGAATTTTAGTTTCTTTGTAACGGTTTTTAAAATCTTCCCTTTTATATTAAGAACAGCAATGGATTAGTCTCCCTTATTATATGTACATTATGTATAGATCCAAGGTACATCCTGCTGACAAGTCACAAATAGAAAGAAACGAGCCCTCTATATTCTTTTGCTAACTACTATTCAACTTTTCTTAATATGCTCCTGATAGCTGCATTATCTAGACAATCTTCATATATACTATAAACACTGATCAGTTGCAGTCCTTAACAGAGAAAGTCCGAACAACCTCCACAAATGAGTTATTTTAAAAATCACTCCCCACTTCTATAGTTCTGTGTTCTTTTTGTTGTTTAACCCAGACATTTGAAATGAATAAAGTAAAAACGGTCATTACGCTTTAAAAATAATGTCATCAAAATAACTCCGTTGATATAACATAACTCCATACTTGATATATTGATTGAAAAATGTTTTTTTATTTGTATTAGTATGCTACGAGTGTTGATCAATTATTATTTTAAATAATACATGTAAAAACAAAACTCATACACCAATCTCTAAACTTATATAATGAACTGTCTTGGTCATCATGTGAAATTTCAACAAACTTTTTTTTTTTCAAATATTTCCGCAAGATATTTAGTTAGCTTAAAAATTATCTGATTATGTAATCCATTTCCGTGTGTTTCTTCTGTTGTTCATTCGCTTTCTAGTTCATGATATTGTCAAGAATTATACTGCTGATTATGACAAAACACTAATATACAATAAAATTCATCATGAACTAAACCAATTTTGTAGTATACATACTCTACAAGAAGTGTACATTGAATTGTTTGGTAAGCAGTTTTTTTTTCTATAATTTTTGAGACATTTTTTGTCCAAGTCGTCTTTCATTAGTAATGCTCCCTGTAAGTCTTCAAATTGTGCAGTTTTTGTATTATTTTCGGTAATCAGTGATAGTTCTGAAAATATAAGAGATTCTTGCCAACTTTTTCTAATTCATATATTCCCATTGACCTCTTCTGTTATATGATTGGCCATTATCGCCTTTAGTTTGCAATTTCTGTTGTCTCGAGGTTGTTTCTGTCATACAGACAGAGTTCTTATACTACATGTTTGACTTCTCTTTGAAATAGTAAAGCACTAAAATATAATTTTTAGAGACAGCAAGTATCAGTTCTACGCATGGTTTCAGAATAGCTCTAATATATATATATATATATATATATATATATATATATATATATATGCTCTTCGGTCCAAGTTGGCATATTTTATTAGTGTAACAAGATTGAAATAGTGTGATCGAAATAATGTAAAACCATTGTTAAAAAGGGTGATTAAACCTTGAGAGCATATTTTTAGAGACATAGTGGAGGCTCTTCCAACTCATCCGAGCCACTGGAAGCAAGAAGTCTGGTGTGAGTGAAACAATCTGTGAGGATGACGGGATGCCTATCACTAACATCTCTCGACGTCTTGTACGATGTCGGAATTTTTTGAAGGGTAGTTCAACTGACCTGCTGCTCCGGCAACATCAACCAGTTTGTCCTGCCCCCCATGGCCGGTGACGACTGATCCACCGAACGAGGCGGAAGTCCGCAAGGAACTCCAACTCTTGAAGCGCCACAAATCACCTGGCCCAGATGACTTACCTCCGGCTCTTTTTAAAGATGGTGGTGACTTTCTGACTAAGGAACTGACTGTTGTTTGCAAAGGTTTGGGAGATAGAAAGTGTTCCAACATCATGGAATGAGTCAATAGTCGTCCCTATCTTTAAAAAGGGTTCACGTTGTTTCTGTAACAACTATCGGGGGATAAGTCTACTTCCGATTGCGTCCAAACTATTGGCTTCTATCATTCTTCGTAGGTTGTTTAAAACCCGAGAACGATTGACTCGCGTGGAGCAGGCTGGTTTTCGTTCTGGTCGACGATGCATTGATCACATCTTCACCCTCCGCCAAATGTTAGAACACCGTCATTCTTATCGCAGGCCAACAATCGTAGTGTTTCTTGATATCAGGGCTGCCTTCGATTCGTTGGACAGAACTGTTCTCTGGAATTGTCTATTGAAGAAGGGTGTGCCTGAGAAGTTCATTAACATCTTAAAGGCCCTGTATACGAACACCTCAGACAGAGTGAGGGCATACAACCACCTTTCTCCCTTGTTCCATTCGAGCAGTGGGGTTAGGCAGGGTTGCCCGATCTCACCATTCCTCTTCAACTTTGCCATCGACGACATCCTGGAAACAGCTCTGATGGATGTAAGTAATGGCGGTGTGGATCTGCTGCCTGGAGAACGACTTCTCGACCTTGAGTATGCGGATGATATTGTCTTACTGTGCGATAATGCCCAAGGCATGCAATCCGCACTTAATCCTTTGGCAATCAGTGTCCGCAGGTACGGCATGTGCTTTGCACCCTCCATGTGCAAGGTACTCCTACAAGACTGGCAGGATTCTCATCCTGTACTCACCCTGGATGGTGAGGAGATCGAAGTAGTTGAGAAGTTCGTGTATCTAGGTAGCTATATAAGTGCTGGTGGTGGCGTGACTGATGAGATTGATGCACGTATAAGGAAAGCCAGAGCGGCTTATGCCAATCTGGGCCATCTTTGGCGCCTTCGTGATGTTAGTCTGGCCGTAAAAGGTCGGATCTACAACACGTCGGTGAGAGCAGTTTTGCTCTATGCTTGTGAAACCTGGCCTCTCCGAGTTGAGGATGTTAGACGTCTCTCTGTGTTCGATCACCGTTGTCTCCGAAGGATTGCTGACATTCAGTGGCAACACCATGTTAGTAATGCAGAGGTTCGGCATCGTGTGTTCGGGCGCAGAGACAATAATTCAATTGGTGTCACCATCTTGAAACACCGACTTTGGTGGCTTGGACATGTTCTACGAATGTCGTCCCAGAGACTTCCATGTTGTGCATTATTTTCCGAATCTGGTACTGGTTGGAAAAAGCGGAGAGGAGGTCAGTGTATGACATGGTGTCGTGGCATGAAAGAAAGCTGCAAAGGGCTAGCTTCTGTTGGTCCTTCACGACTCCCTGGTTGGGGTCCGAGAGATGGTGCAACACAGTGGCTAGAGACGTTATCAGATATGGCTCAGAATAGAAGCCAGTGGCGATCCTGCTGCAACCTTCTTTTACTTTCTACATAAAGAGTGGTTCTAACTTTCTTAACTGAAAGAGTCTTCTGGTTGTACATTTCAGTCCGCCTTATCTTCTCATCCCTTCTCTTCCTACTTTCATTATTTTGAGTGTCGCATATGTATCTGATGCCCTTTTGTACCAATATATATGTGTTTAAATAAATAAATAAAGTGGAAAGGTACATGAAAAAGGTTACTGGAATTCAATATCGCAAGGAAGGAAAATTGAATGGATCTGTGCCATTGCAAACAATTTTGAGCCAGGTTACTTAAAGTCTTCAACCAGTGATTGCAGTTATCACACGGATTCCAACCACGTAATCTACATTTACCGACATGCCTCAGATTAACAGTCAGTTACTTCATGGGCTGATGCCACTTTTTGATTTGACCACCCCTAGCTTCCTTCCAACCTACTTCTGCACTTCCAACCATCATTACCTGAATCACCACTAGATTAGAATGATAGTTTATCAACTCATCTAACTGACCTCTCTTTCTGACCATTAACGTGATTTCAGCAGCATTTACTTCCCCCAGGTTGTTCACTTTTGTTTAAAAACACAAACTCAATGGTGTATATTCGTAGACTGATTTTAGTTTTTCGTTTACTTTTCATACTTCTAAAAAAACAATACATGATTTTATTTTAATAGATCAAATAGATGAATTTTTAAAGCGAACATTGCAAGCAGATCTAGTTTTAATGGCTCCTGGTCTATATATTCAAGCGGTACGAGTTACTAAGCCTAAAATTCCTGAAGCAATTAGACGCAATTATGAAGCTATGGAAGCTGAAAAAACAAAACTACTAATTGCTGAACAGCATCAGAAGTTAATCGAACGAGAAGCTGAAACTGAGCGTCGTCGTGCAATAATTGGTTAGTTTATGTTTTTTTTTTCAAATTATCCCACTTCCGAATACGCATGTGTTTGTCACTTTAAAAAAAGCTGATTTGTCTCTTATTTAATGGCTTCATATAATTTTTTACTTGGATGTATTTTATTTGTATCATACATGTCTCCCTAACTTAGAATTCCCGACCGTTGCTGCTACCTTGACGTGGTGGTCGGGCTTGCCTATCGTGATGATCCAATCGAGCTATGCTGGCTGGAACAATCGTTCCTCAAGGTCCTACCATGCCAGACAGGTCGATTGAAGAGCGGTGAGACTAAAAGCAGCAATCCCAAGGTCCGAAGGCGAAGTCGTACTGCTGACTGTACAGAGGTGTGAAAGCAGTAAGGTGTTTCCTTCAGACAACCAGCATGACAGCGATGCTGCCTTCCCACAAGGAGGGGTGGGGTTAGAAAAGGTCGACCCTAAAAATGCACACCTCGCCTTATCCCACGGATTTCCGTCTCCGGCGGTAAGGTTTTTTTTTGAAGAACGGAGCTAACACGTCAAAAATCCCCCACAAAAAGGCCGTGCGTGACCGGCCTCAAGCAGATGTCCCTTGGGCACTGCGGTCACGCACCCAGGTCGTTAAGACCAACACTAATCCAACTTCTTTTTCAGGTCCCTCAAGAAATACCCTTCCACGGTGTGGGCAGCCGGGAAGTGATACTAGCCCTCATACCCTTAGCTGCACACAAGACCAAGTTGGTCGCTTTCAAATCCTTCCTACACCTCCTAATAACTCTGTTATCTCCACGACTAACCCTTCCCACGTCCTTTTATCACCTCGCACCGCTAGGGCAAACGATTCGAGTACACAGAACGTTATTTCTGGTCTCCTGAAACCACGCTCTAAACTACATATAGGAACTTTTAATGTCCGAACATTGTGCCAAATAGGACAACAGGCTTCCTTAGCTAGGACTCTAGAATCTTACACCATCGATGTGTGCTGCGTCTCCGAAACGCGCATACAAGATCCGAGTAGTGTCATTCATTTGACCTCACCTAATCAAAATAAAGTTTCATCTCGATACACGCTTCGTGTATCTGGAAGCCCTGACGCTGCTTCCCGTGGCCTCGCTGGAGTAGGTATAGCATTAAGTCCTAGGGCAGAACTAGCTCTTTTAGACTGGATCCCAGTAGACAGTCGTCTATGCGCTGTCCGACTAAACGGATCAGTAAGGACCCGGAAAGATAGGGAAACTCGTCGTTGCCTCTTCGTCGTCTCTGCCTACTCTCCCACTGACTGCAGCTCAGACGATATAAAAGATGAGTTCTACAGGAAACTTTCTGACCTTCTCCGAGAAGCTAGGCGTTCTGATGTTGTAATAGTAGCAGGTGACTTTAATGCTCAAGTAGGTAAACTAAGTGAAAGGGAAAGACACCTGGGTGGATCTTATGGTGTCATGGCGAAAAGAACAGATAATGGCGACCGTCTGTTGCAGCTGTGCTCAGATAACCGCCTATTTCTTGCAAATACTAACTTTAAGCATAAGGAAAAACATCTTTTGACATGGCGACCCCCGAATTCGTCCCAACGTTGGACCCAATTAGATCACATCGCTATCAGCCACCGATGGAGGGGCTCGATTGAAGACTGTCGCTCATTCTGGGGCACATGTCTAGATTCAGATCATGCTCTAGTGCGAGCACGTATCTGTCTGCGTCTAACTGGTCGTAGGAAAGACACTGCAGGGAAGCCTCTAAGGGTTCTACTTAATGATAGGCAAGCTAAGAATATATATCAGGAACAACTAGAAAAACAGTTAGGCAGCCATGTAAGTTGTGTCCACCCCGAGGCAGCGTGGAATGACATCCGAAAAGCTGTGGAAACAGCAGTGATGTCCGCTAGTAAGGTAAACCATAAGGTTAGGAAGAAACAATGGATCTCGGCAGCATCTTCCGCACTGATAGATGCTCGTAAACTCATCCCACCTGGCTCTGAGCATAACGAAGAGCGGAGTCAACTTAAGCGCAGGCTTATAAGAAGCCTACGTAATGATTGTGAACAGTGGTGGGTAGCAAAAGCAAGAGAGATGGAAAAGGCAGCGGCAATAGGTAACAGTAGGCAGCTATTCAGACTCGTTAAAGAAACCGGCATTAGGAACCCGAATATCAGTGAAACCATCTCAGATAGAGATGGGCATATTATTCATTCTCAATCCAGGAGATTGGATCGATGGGCAGAACACTTTAGGGATCAGTTCAACTGGCCTTCAGCCACGCTTCAATTACCCACGATCCCCAGTCGTCCTGAATGGCAAATTGACGTAAGTCCTCCAACCCTCTGTGAGGTTGAAAAAGCTATAGGAAATCTGAAGCGAGGGAGAGCAGCAGGCCCTGACAGGTTGACCCCTGAGATTTTTAAGGATGGTGGTCCAGTACTAGCAGTGAGATTGACTGAGGTCTTAGGTAGAATCTGGGAACTGGACGTAATTCCATCTGACTGGTCCCAATCACTGATTGTGCCAGTCTATAAGAAAGGACAAAAGTCCTCCTGTGACAATCACAGAGGGATCAGTTTGACTAATATAGTGTCTAAAATATTAGCTTCAATAATACTAGGTCGCCTAACCAAAGCTCGTGAAGAGCAGACTAGAGAAAACCAGGCTGGTTTTCGACCTGGACGTGGTTGCATAGACCAGATATTCACCCTACGTCAGGTTCTAGAACATAGACACAAATTCAGACGTCCCACAATAGTAGTATTTCTTGACCTTAAGGCGGCATTTGACTCTGTTGATCGTGAGGTTCTATGGCAATGTTTGTCACTGAAAGGAGTACCAAAGAAGTACATTAACCTCATAAAGGCTCTCTACTCGAACACAACTGGTCGAGTTAGAGCCTATGGCGAACTGTCATCAGAACTGATTACCACAAGTGGAGTTCGTCAGGGCTGTCCACTCTCCCCATTCTTGTTTAACTTTGTCATTGACATACTTTTAGAGACAGCACTTTCATCAGCTAAGCCTCCAGGAGTTGAACTCTTACCGGGAGGCTCACTTGTTGACTTAGAATACGCCGACGACATAGTTTTATTCGGTGAAGACGCTGACAAAATGCAGAGTCTTCTGACCACCATAAGCAACAATGCAGGCATGTTCGGGATGCGATTCTCTCCCTCGAAGTGCAAAATGTTACTTCAGGATTGGGTTGCAGCGACACCTGAACTAATGATAGGGAGTGAAGTAGTTGAGCGTGTAGACCACTTCACTTATCTTGGGAGTCTCATCAGCCCTTGTGGTCTGGTGTTTGACGAAATCTCAGCACGGATACAGAAGGCTCGTCTAGCTTTTGCCAACTTGCATCATTTGTGGCGTAGGCGAGATATCCGTCTAGCAACCAAAGGACGGGTTTACTGTGCAGCAGTTCGTTCCGTCCTACTTTATGGAAGTGAAACATGGCCGGTAAGAGTAGAGGATATTCGTAGGCTACTAGTGTTCGATCATAGGTGTCTTCGAAGCATTGCTCGTATATCCTGGGACCACCGGGTAAGTAATGCAGTTGTTAGGAAACGAGTACTAGGTAGGGATGGCAAATCGATTGATGAAGTAGTGAAACTTCATCAGTTGAGATGGCTGGGACATGTGTTACGTATGCCCGACCACCGACTGCCCCGACGTGCAATGTTTCATGGTGTAGGAGTAGGTTGGAAGAAAGCTAGGGGTGGCCAGACCAAAACGTGGCACAAATCAATGAAGTCACTGACAAGTGGACTGGGCCATGTTGGTAAGTGTAGACTACCTGGTTGGGATTCGCGAGATGATAGCAACCGATGGTTAGAGACCTTGAATGACATGGCTCAAAACCGTTTGCAATGGCGAAGATGCATCCACTCTTTGTGTTCTACCAAATTCTAATCTTCTGAATTTCTCATGTCTTTATGTTTTTCTCCTTCCAAATATATTTCACTGTACTATACTCCTTCAATAACATCTTTAAACTCTAATCTTTCCGATTACTGCTTATACTCTTACTAATTCTTCCACTATGGGATTTGAATCGACAACTGCATCTGTGTGCTAATGTGGTATGGCAACTCGAACTGATGTACGTACGTACGAAGTTCTACGTTGTGACTGACTGACTGAACTTAGAATTCATATCTACTATGACAATGGATTGGATTCCTTTTATTTTTATACATTTACTGTCATTCAGTATAAATCATGTTGTCACCACTATTTTATGACAAATGATAAACTACTCATGCTCTTTTCAAATTTATGTGACCCAGAGTCTATAGACTATGAGATTTAATTTTTAGTTAGTTAATAATACGACCGCATATGGCATAGTTTTGGAGTTAGATATTTATGGTCATCTTGTAGAATGCATACAAATATTCTTATTTAACGACCGAGTTACACATAAATATTCTAACAGTAAATGTCGAAGTTTTCTGAAACTACGTTTGTGTAGCAGCTGACCAAATAAACATTGACAATTTTCAAACCTTTAATCACAGTGTTCACACATCACTCGCTCAATGGAATACAAATAAGAAACAAGCAGTGCATAGCTGTTTAGACCGATAATATCAATAATTAAAGATACAAGTTTATTTTCTACGTTTCAGAAAACAGTCTAACCATATAATTTAAACAAATTTTCACAAAGTAGCGCACAGAATTAAACCAAACGAAGCGAAACACTTAAGAATAGGGAACTAAACTGAAATGCATTAGTACGATTATAACAAAATAAAATAAATGATTTACTGTAACAGAGTAATACAACGTGTAACGATGAAAATGGGAAAATAGTTAAATATAGCTCTAAGTACTTTTTATTCATTATCATTATATCATAAGAAATAAAAATCTAGGCTGAAGTGTGAGTAAAATATGTCATGAACTCTATTTTCCATCCGGTTAATATCAGCTAATGAAATCTTTCATTCAACAATGCCTTCCTTGAACTTTAATCATCGGACTGTTCTAGTCTTTTTGATATATCGAATCATTATTTCACTTTGAAAATTTTTATTTCTATCAAATTTTTTCCAGCAAAGAAATTGTTTTTAACCAGTTCATTTTCAAAACATTACACTCAAGTTTTTATATATTGCCGTATTAATCTATAAAGGAATACAATGTTAATTACTCAGAATGTTAAAATGGTTATTTCTGACGAAAAAATAAATAAACACATTCACTGCAAGTCCTCAAAGTGCTGGACCCGATCGCTGTTGCAAGTAGTCCCTTACTGAGACAAAATAACTCCCCAGTATCCTGTGTTTTTCAGTGGTTTTTAAACTGAAGTCGGTTCGTGATATCAGCTAAAATTTGATCCATCTTCTCAAACCTCTTATTCCAGTAAAAATAAAATATAGTTAGTACATAAGTTTTTCTAATGTAAGAACGAAAGCAGTCAAACCAGGGGCATATTAAAACAAAATTTCAACAAACTACATTTGTACACATTTTGTTTACCCTTAAAAATTTCTATTTTCAACTCAAAGCTAACCAAAAAACTAGACATCTTAAATGGGAAATAAATAACTCCGAACTCGTAAGATTATCTTGTGTTTTCCTTGATGTTTTTGTGAATCCGTCTTAGAAATCTGTTCCCACTTCACCATATTTCGAAGTTAATAAAATAACCTTAATATGTTAGGGATTAGTGATTTTCAGATCTTTCAAGTCATCTCAAGCATAATTGTGACCAATCACTAAAAAGTATTGTATATGATGTTCAGTTATTTACTCATAATTATGTCAACCGACCGCTGTAAATTATCATTCTAATTAAGATCATGAACCAACCGATGTTATACCGCCATTGAAAACCTGGAAGTACTGGACGATCGTTTTACCCTAGTATAGGACTTCTCAACAATGTTCACCCACGACCGTGCACGAGGGATTCAACGACTTGACGTCTAACTTCAACCAATCCACGATATTGCACTACCATCCATTGTCTTTGGTGAATAACTGCCTTACACGTGGTACGGTTGAATTCCACTGGTCACGGCTTCGTGATCTCAATTAAAAATCAACGGTCCCCATAATCCTATACAGATTATTGTTATTTGTTCAATTATTAATATGGCTTTCGTTATGCTTATATAATCACTTTATTTATTATTAAATTTGATGTTGGTAATCTTGGATGTTTCACATACTCCAAAACATCACATTCATTAATACATTTTTGTAAACTCAAGCTACTTGTGGCTGATGTAAGTTGTTGTTATATTCTTTATTTACTCAAAATGAAGTTTTGTTTTTCTAATCAATTAGAGGCTGAGAAGTTGGCTGAGGTTTCTGCGATAGAATGGCGAGCTAAACTAGTTGCTCAAGAGCATGAACGAAAAATAAGTGAAGTTGCAGATGCTACACAACTAGCTCGATCTAAAGCGCTTACAGACGCAGAATATTATCGTTCCATGAAAGAGGCTGAAGCGAGCCATTTAAAGTTAACCCCAGCCTATTTGGAATTAGCAAAATACCAAGCCTTGGCACAAAACTCTAAAGTTTACTTTACTGGTGACCAAGGAAATCTTATTATGGATCTTTTGAATCAAATGTCTTCAAGTTTGTCTAAGTCGAACGCGTCAACCAAAGATCAGGTCACATCTTCATTTGTGTAGCATTTCTTCGTCTTTTTACTAATTGTACTATCTAAATAGTTTTATATTTCATTCAAAGTTGTCTCTTTATGTACATTTTTGTGATATTGTACAACGAACCAGAAACTTTTTTATCTGTTAGTTCTTTTTTTATACACACCGACCACATAATGTATGCTTCATTTTTTAAGCCACTGACCTGTCATAACGTATGCTCTTGCAGATGATATGTTCATCTTTCGGTGGTACTGAAAACCATTGGTGTGTTTGTAATATTAGCGAGCGAAACATTTGTGTTTAGTAGCTTGATTAGATTCTACTAGCATGCAGAATTGCTAGATAAAAGCAACATTTCGTGTTATAAAGAAAAGCCAGTACAATATTTGTACCACTATGGTTGATCAGTACTAAAGGATGTTGGCTGGTGATTTAGTGAGGTTCATGTCGATTCTTTATCCTTTGGTAATATGCCGTCAGATATTTCTGTCGAGCAAGGCTTACACATTAAGATTGCCTAAGAAAGAATCAATAAACTCAGATATTTCGAAGCGGAGCGTCCTTCTGAGATGGCATTCGCTGTGATTACCTTGATGATTAAAACGGGAGTCTTAATCAACCCTGAATATCTGTACATTATTTTGGGACACGTAGGCGCATGATGTAGCACACAATTGCGACATTCTTACTCTAGGTAGCTTGGCCCCAGGTTGCGGGTTATCCATATCTCTACTGAAGATATGACTATTGGCAAAATTTTAATTTCCACGTAGTGCTTTCTTTTTCAAAATGTGCCCGCATAGTGACTAGAGGCGTTAACGCAGGTTTAGAGGGCTATATATAACTTACTTTTCTAGCCAAATAATCCCTAGACCCGGAAAAAACAATGATGTTGGTCTTTTTAGTGATCCTGAACTCTATGTGAGACGTCCTGTCCTTTTACGTGTGTACATCACTTTGTCAGAAGAGTAATCTCTTAATGATTCCTAACCTAGGCCTCGATTTTTTCCCTAGCGGAATCGTCACTTTAGTCGGTTTCGCAATGTTAAAATTTGTCTTTCAGTCTCAATATAATTGACATAAGACTTACCGGCACATAAATGGTGTGACGGAACATTAGAGATTTCTTCAGAAATCTAACTATACCTAAGCTTCAGTAATGTTCGCCAAATTTAAACATGTTCAGTAGTGCATAGCAGGTTTAGTTGACTTAAGCGAAAAAGTGAAGCATGTAAATAACCTAATAAATTCTCTTGAGAAACAATTACAGTAGAGTGCAATATAAGCACTATGGAAGGGTCACAGTATGAGTCAATTGCGAAAATGAGTGGTTGTTTGTCAATTTGTGTGTCGTGTATGGTGTAGATAAGATGAATATGTATAGGGGGAACACTATCGTTTAGTCGAGTGGCTAGTGTTGCATCAGTGGTGGTATTAAATAAGGTATCAGCAAGGGTTGGTCACTCTTCAGGCTGACGACATAAGAACAGTGACAACACTACGAAATATATCCCAAGGATGCAAGCTGCGACAAACCAAGAGTCTCGCTTCGAATATCAAAATTATTATTAAAAGCGTATGCATGTGGAGATTTCCCAGATCCAGCTAATTAAAGAAGTTCAAGTTGGAAGCAGGGAAAATATATTCTGTAGCAGCTAGAAGCACACCAACATAAGGGGGAAAAATCCAACGTATATATACAGCAAAAAACTGTCCTTCAGCAGTATTACAAAATGACACTCAAAGAAACAATGGACCGATAGCGTTTAAAATATTTTCTAGAGGGAAATTCGACCCGATAGTGAAAAACTTTTGGCGCGAAAACCAAAAATTCAAAGTAACATTACTAAATTAAGCCATTTGCTGAGTAAGTGCTGGCGATTTGACAACCCCAACGGAGTTGCCTCTACAAAACATCCCATTGTTTTGAAATAAAAATTCCTCCGCATAAACATTTGAGAAATCGTCAACAAAAGTCCGAAGAAAGTCAATTACAGCAAGCATTCCTACATAAAAAATAAACTACCACTCTAGCGTCAAACATATCTCAAAGTGGAATCCATATGAGATTGTTCATGCTACTCCATCTTGGAGTAAGACTAGATTTGTTGATCTACGTGTTGAGACTAAAAGCGTGGCAGTAAACTCCATGTTCATCGACCAAGCTTAAATACATGGCACTGTTATACGCAGCCCTCACAATGAAAGTAGTAAGTGTAGATTTTACTGATCCATTATCATCGTGACTCCGAACATTTCAGACATGAATTATCAGAATAAAAATAAGGTGGTGACTTAGCTTAATTAATATATACAAGAAAATGTCTGAAATTTGTCAGTCTTATGGACACACTACATATACTTGAACACGCCATGGGACTTACAGATTACTTCGTTGGTATAATCTCCTATATGTCTCAACAGGCGTAAACTGAACTTGCTGACAAAAAAATTTGAACTTATATATCGTAAAATAATGTACAGTTCCAACAAATTATGACTGTACAATGAGTACGCTAGATTAAGCTTTGATGACAATTTCAGAGTGATTGACTGAAAAGAAATTAATATGGTTGTAGTGATAAGTAAATAACCAAAATAAGTTGTTCTGTAATTATTCGAAACTGACCGCATAAATTTTACTGGACTCACACAGCTGAAGGCTCTCGATCATGCATCTGCACCAGATCACAAGTGGTTATACAGTGCTTCGCATCTCTTGAAACTACTAAGCAGCTTAGATCAAACGCTTCTACATATATGCATAACTTCCAAACATATTTCGAACCCCTTCATTCCAGAATTTTGCTTTGACTGTGTTGAAATACTTTGACTATGGTGTGACGTGTAAAGGTATTGCCAAAATCCGAATGACTGTGGCATCTTTATTATTACGGAATTTATGAAGATTAACCTGTCCGAAGAGAGGCTGAAATCAAAGACCATAATACTATGTGTCCAAATATCCAGGTAGATGTTTTATCACTATGTTGAATCACCAATCTAGATAATATTTATCAATGGTTGGGGGCCTACTCGAATTAGGCGGAAATGGTGTGACCAACAGCTAAGGTCGAAAACACACCTCACGGTTAGCACCTAACGTGAATTACCCCTTCGTCGTATCAAGGTACTGTGGATGCTTCGAAAACCGTACAACACGAGGGACACGTTTCGTGAATACGGTAGTAAGAACGAGTACAAAGAAAATTGACCAGCACGGAATAAACTAGTCTATGGCATACGACTAACTGAGGTGCGTTGGTTCTCCTTGATGCAGTTCGATAATATGTTCAATGATCAGGGACACAACTGTTGGATGATTTGGTTAGGGCTCAGTGAAATAGCACTGATCTCACAATTAAAACTGGTCGTGATGTTCGCATTTTTCGAGAGGAGCAGAACTAAAAACTATATGGGAGCCTTAGGTATCTCTTCAAGGCATCCAATAGGGATGGTAACAAACTTTTTAGCCAGAATATGAACTACTAGACAACACGATTTTTGAACTACTTGATGTAGCTCAAGCGATAAATATAGGGGAAATAAAGGCGAACAAAGAGGAAATAAAGGGGAAAATGCATTGAAAAATAATGACGAATTAGTCCGGAAATGCGCCAAAATGTCTACTATTTCACTTGTCTGGGAGTAATATTGCAGATTTTCCCCTTTATCTCACTCTGCGTTTCAAATGTCGCACAGCAGATGAAAGCAGTTTACACAAGAATTGAACTTCATGTTTCACGAGGTAACATCCGACAAAATTCACTCTGAAGAGGGAATGTCTAAGTGGACAGGGGTTCTCCTTACAGGACGGTCTTGAATGAAACGCTTTTCTAACAGCCAATTTAAGGAGATTCATAACGGGAGATTTGTTTTTCTAGTAATCTATTTTGTACAGAAGTTTGTTCATCCTCAAAAAACAATAGGTATTGTAGTTTGAAAACACCTATATTTGAATCGCGCCCACCTAGTGGCATTGAAAGTCAAACGCGAGGAGGTTGGAAGATATGTTTGATAGATTATAAATATATCGAGAACTGACTTATCTAAACTGGCTGATGATCGGAGGAGCCTTTGAGCTTGCGTTCTCACTTGCGATCTGGTGCGAATGCATCGTCGAGCGCCTCCAGCGAGGTGAGTACGATAAAAATGATGTTGTCGGCATCCATTTACGAGCACTTGTAGATCTACTGATTTTGAGGATATATTTACCGTTACAGCCCTGTTTTGTTTCTTCTCTAAGATCTTTTGCGTCTAGAGTACCCAGCATGCCGCTTTATAACGTGATGACGTCTTGCAACCCTAATAATTTAGAACGAAGATATTCATCTGTTTCGTAAATAACTCAATTAATGAAATTAAATGTTCACACTCATCACAATGGTCATGATAAAGTATATGAGTTTATCAGTATTATCATGAAGAGAATGCAAGGAAATAAATGAGATCTTGGATACTAACCAAAAATCTCACCTAAGGAAATGAACAAACAAGTCACACCAGAATGAAGATTTCGAATCATCATCAAAATTCAGGATACAAAAGTTTTCTAACCGCCCGAATTTTCCGGTTTATAACAGGGATATTCATCTATGTTTTACTGCGCTCATATCACCTTGATGAACGAGACACTCAACAAAACTTAAGCGGATTTTCGAAAATCCTGTTATTTGTTTACATTTGGTTTAAAGATGCCTGGTTAGTTTCCTTAGTCTCGTAGTTTCTGAAATTTTTGTCAGCCAAACCTAATCGTACTTTCTTTTCAATCCGTAATTTATTTTGTTTTAGGATGATCTAGTATTTTAGTAGATTTTTGGTTTGCGAATTTCGTTTTCTTTTTGATATTATGGTACTTATAAATATAATTTTTGTCTTTAATGAAAGTAATAAGCCCTAGGGTTTTAGTAAAATCTTAGGGAATTTTTGGTCGATATCGAAGAAAACCGACAATTCACTCAAACGTGTGAGAGATTTGATCAAAATGAATTGTATGTGTAATCAAAAACCACAGTTCATGGGAAATGCTCGCGATTAAGCTATCATTTCTTCGAAAGTATATAAATTTTGTTTTTCAGCTGCAATAAAATCTCTGCAAAACTGATAAACATTGTCTTTCAGAGTAAAACATACCGTAGAGTAAAGTTGTTCATATTCCTAATATGGGATATTTATAGAACAGCTTTAATCAGTTCTGAATTTTATTCATGCTTTACAGTGTCTTATCAAAATTAAATAACATTGAAATATTTTTTTCACGTTTAATGACTCTCTGTATGTGTACTCGGCTATAAATCAAGTGAAATGAAATTGAACGAATCCTATTGCATTATTTCTTATAAAATTGTGTAATAATTGACTATTCAAACCAAAAATTATTCGGTGTACTGTTGACAAAATAATGTTAGAGGCAGATACAATATAAATTAACACAAGTCTTAATTGCAAAAGTCAGGTCTCTTACATGATTTCCTAAAGGCTTTAAGCTTAATTCACTAGAAATATTTTAAACGTCATTCGTTATATGAAGTTATATTAAATGTACTTTCTTTCGGATAAAATCAGTTATGCAAGTTTTTGTATCTTATCCACCTTGAGAAATCACTACGGTTGATGATGCAACGGATATTCTAGTTTTACAACTAGATACCAGTAGCACCTTCTAAATTCGGTTGTTACCAGTCAGATAGAAAATCAGAAGTCAAACGAGAAGAGGCAGGAAAGATATATTTGATTCGTTACCAATATATCGAGGACCTTTTCTATGAGCTGGCTAATGAAACGTAGGAGCTGTGTCCCACGCAGTATTGAAACGTGATCTGGTGCGGATGCATGACCGAAAGCCTTCAGCTAAACAAGTCCACTTAAACAACGTGGTCAGCATCCAATGTTGAACACTTAATGAGCTATTGATTTTGGGGAATTATTTACAGCTACAGATCACTCCCCCCCTAGTGAGGTAGTGATGCCCCTAAGACGTGACCAGCCAGAAGTTTAAACCCAACGAATTTGTCGTTGGTAAACACTCTTCTGATAGCTTGCTTCGTTTAGCAGCGTCTGGTCGTCTTTCCTTAAACTATGGGACCAAAATGTACAACGTAGCAAATAAAGAAATATAGTACAATGAAAATTTCTGTTCCTTGCGAAACTTCGTCGTTCTTTTCCAGCCGTCCTGGAAAAGAGGAAAAATAAAACGTGTGAGTGCATGTCAAAAATACACTCGTACTTGCGTAAGGACACAAGATGAGCGGAAAAAAAATAAACTGATACACTTACAAACAGCGTAAAAGCGATCGGAAAAAAGGTTTTCTTTTGGTTTTTTTTTAATATATAAATATATATATATATACGTTCAAAAAAAATGTTTTTTTTTGTTTGTTTTTTTTACATAAATAAAAAATGAGCATATTAAAAAAAAATTTATAATAAACTTTGAAAGGGTAATTCCAGATAAAGCTTATGTCCTACGTGCAATATTCGTTAAGATGTTCTGGAAATCTTACTCGTCTTCCAGAACGCGTTGTTTTAGGTTTTTCTATCAACGTTGACGAAGTATCAAGTTGTGTGTCGGTTGTCGTGTAGGGTACTACGAGTGTAGTAGCTGTGTCGTTTGCTTGTACCGAAGGAAAATCGACGTAGCTAGGGTTTCCTTCTAGGTACGCAGCTTTGAGTCGATCGATACTGATGCTATCTTTCGTACCGTTCTTGTCGACTACATAGTACTTAGGTTCGCGTTGAAGAACTTTGAAGGGTCCTTCGTATGCTGATTCGAGGGGTCGTCGATGTGAGTCTCGACGAACGAAGACGTGTGTACTATGTCGTAGTTCGGGTTGAACGAAAACATCAGTTGATTGAGGTCGAGTGTGAGCAGGTTTAACTGAACGCATAGCGTTTGTAAGCCTACTCGTGTAAGAGTTTAGATCCATGTTCAATGAAGAAGCTGAAGGATCCACGAATTCTCCTGGGAGTCGGAGTGTCGTTCCGTAAACGAGTTGAGATGCCGTGTATCCAATGTCAGCTTTCACTGCATTGCGGATACCTAGCAAGACGAGTGGAAGAGCGTCTGTCCACTGTGAAACGTTTGAAGCTGATAATGAGGCTTTTAGTTGTCGATGAAAACGTTCTACCAACCCGTTTGCTTGTGGGTGGTAGGCGGTCGTTCGGAAGCGCGTGATTCCTAAAAGTGTGGTCAGACAACGGAAAAGTCCAGATTCGAACTGGCGTCCGCGGTCTGTAGTGATGGTTGAAGGGCAGCCGAAATTTGCTACCCATCGTTCGACGAAAGTGCGAGCCACTGTTTCAGCAGTAATGTCCTTAATCGGTACTGCTTCTGGCCATCGAGTAAAACGGTCTACGCATGTTAGGAGATATGAGTATCCGTTCGAGTCGGGTAAGGGTCCTACCAAATCTAGATGGACGTGGTCGAAACGAGCGTCAGGGGTTTTGAAAGAACCTAAGGGACATTTGTTGTGTCTGATTACCTTAGATTTCTGACAGCTTACACAGGAGCGTGACCACTCCCTCACGTCTTTATTCATGCCAGGCCAACAAAAGCGTTCGGCTATAAGTTCGATTGTTGCACGAGCACCTGGATGAGAAAGATTGTGCAACGTATTGAAGACGTTGTGGCGATAGTGTTTTGGTACAATTGGACGATCCCTACCTGTAGATGTGTCACAGAGTAAGGTTTCCTTACCTGTTCCCATCTGCCTAATACTTAGTTTAAGAGTTGTCGAGGATAACTCATGCTGAAGATCAATGTCTTCTTTTTGAAGCTGAGCGAGTTTAGGAAGGTCGATTCCTTGGAAACTGTTCAAGGAGCTAATTCGAGACAAGGCGTCTGCGACTACATTGTTTGCTCCAGAAATATGTTGTATGTCTGACGTAAACTGCGAAATGTAGTCGAGTTGTCGAGACTCTCTTGGTGAGTACTTGTCTGAAGATGAACCTAAAGAGAAGGTAAGAGGTTTGTGATCGGTAAAGAGCGTGAATTCTCTTCCTTCGATGGAATGTTGAAAATGCCGTACAGCACAATACATAGCTAGGAGTTCCCTACCGAACGTGCTGTACCTAGATTCAGCGTCTAGCAACCGTCTCGAGAAAAATCCTAAAGGTTGCCACGAGTTGTTAACCCATTGTTGTAAGACTGCTCCGATTGCTGAGTCGGATGCGTCTACGGCGATACTAATGGGCGCTTGACTGTCCTGATGAGCAAGCAAGGTTGCTTTAGCGATGTGTTCCTTAACTGTGGAAAATGCTTTACGGGCTGTGTCGTCTAAACTAATTGATTTCGCATTTCCACGAAGCTGATCGGTCAACGGTTTCATTAGGGATGCGCATTTAGGTATGAACCGTCTATAGAAACTTACGAGTCCGTTAAAAGTTCGCAACTGCTTGATCGTGGTCGGTTCTGGGTAATCCAGAATGGCCGCCACTTTGCTCCTAAGGGGTCGGATGCCTTGGGCATCAATGGTGTGTCCTAAGAAGTCTAAGCAGTTAGTTCCGATTTGGCATTTCTGAATGTTGACAGTAATGCCATGCCTTTGAAGTCGATCGAAAACAATGTCCAGATGCTTGAGATGCGATTCTCTGTCCGGACTTGCTATTAGACAGTCATCAACATACGCATGTACGAAGTTGAGACCTCGGAAGACGTCGTCTATAAACCTTTGGAAGGTTTGAGCCGCGTTTCTTAAACCAAAAGGCATTCGTAGAAATTCGTAAAGACCGAAGGGAGTGATGATGGCGGTTTTAGGAATGTCGTCAGTTGCCATCGGGATTTGGTTATAAGCTTTAACCAAGTCGATTTTCGAAAAGACAGTTGTACCTTTCAAGGTAGCTGTCAAATCGTGAATATGAGGCAGCGGGTAACGATCGGGAATGGTTTTAGCATTCAGACGCCGATAATCACCAGTTGGCCGCCAATCATTGCTGTCCTTTTTAGGGACCATGTGCAATGGGGATGCCCATGGACTATTCGATGGTCGAATTATTCCTAGGTCCATCATGTGGTTGAATTCGTTTTTAGCTAACCTAAGTTTTTCGGGAGCGAGTCTTCGGGCTTTCGAAAATACAGGTGGTCCTGTAGTCGAGATGTGATGTGTAACATTGCTGGTTACACAAGGTAATTTCGATTGCGATTGGTATATCCCGGGGTATTTGTCGAGTACTGCTTGGTACAAGGGGTCTATGGCGTGCTTAATCGTGACTGGGGATAACCTGCAACCAGGACAAGGAGTTACGCAAACGGACAACTTAGTGTTTCCGTCTATTAACCTTCGTGAGCGTGTGTCGATAAGTAGATTGTGGTGTTGTAACAGGTCAATACCAATGATTGGCATAGAGACATCTGCAACCACGAAAATCCAGTGTATGGGTTTACGTAAACCCACGTTAAGGTAGACGTACCTTTTACCGTAAGTAGCGATCGGTTTTCCGTTTGCCGCCTGTAAACTTAAAACAGACTCGCGAAGTCTGTCGTCGAGATTTGCTGGAAGAACGCTAACTTCTGCGCCAGTGTCGACGAGGTAGCGAACTTTCGTAGTCACATCCGTGACATATAAGAGGCGGCTGTGTTCGCCGGCTACGGTTGCCGTTAACGCGTGCCGGCTGGGAAGTTTCCCGAACTGTTTTTCGTGTCACTCGATTTTGGGGTCGGATAATTGCAAGGTTTCCTGCAGTTTCTGGAAAACTTACCGTACTGGTTATGATACCAGCACCAGTCGGGATTGTCTGTCTCTCGTGGTCGAGAGCCAGATCGCTTACGTGAGGCACTTCTACGCGGGGTTTTTGACCGACTACGGTCATTGCGAACTCTAAGATATCGTGTAAGCGTGTGACATAGTTCGGCCATGTCAGTCGAGGTCGATTGGGGTTTTTCTTTGACGGAAAAAACCTCGGCCTTAGAAGATCTAGTGATTTCCAAGATTCGATCGGCAGATGCAGCTAGTTCATCTATGGCATTGTTTTGAAATGAAACAAGCACTACCTGCACCTGTTGAGGGAGTTTAGACAAGAAAAGTTGTCTAAATAGGCCATCATCGAAAGTTCGTTGGCCGATGACTTCTCTCATTCTAAGCAACATGTCCGTCGCAGAACCATGTTGCAAGTCGATATTGTTAAGGAGTTGGTCTAACCGTTGTCGATCAGTTAGGTCTCCTCGTTTTAAAATCGATAGCTTAAGCGATTCGTAAGGTTCGGAAACATCACTAGTAAACATACTAGGTGTTACGTACCTGTTAAACTCGCGCGGTAACGCCTTAACTACCGCGAGGAAACGTGTGCGCGAGTCCGTGATTCCGTGCATGCAAAAATCGGCTTCTGCATAGCAGAACCAGGACTCGATATTGTCGGGCCAAAATGGCGTTAACTGAATCGAAATAGGGGGAATAGACTTTAACTTAAGAACCTTAGGAGAGTGTTCCGTCATAGTAATATAGATATCGAAAAATGTCTAAGTAAAATATATCCGAGAAAAAAAAAAGGTATATCACAATATATAAAATTCAAATAAAGAATAACAATAAATAATAATATTCCAAAATGGAACAGACTCACAGTATATTGACTTGGTGTACCAGATCACGTCGGGTTCACCAATGATGATGCAACGGATATTCTAGTTTTACAACTAGATACCAGTAGCACCTTCTAAATTCGGTTGTTACCAGTCAGATAGAAAATCAGAAGTCAAACGAGAAGAGGCAGGAAAGATATATTTGATTCGTTACCAATATATCGAGGACCTTTTCTATGAGCTGGCTAATGAAACGTGGGAGCTGTGTCCCACGCAGTATTGAAACGTGATCTGGTGCGGATGCATGACCGAAAGCCTTCAGCTAAACAAGTCCACTTAAACAACGTGGTCAGCATCCAATGTCGAACACTTAATGAGCTATTGATTTTGGGGAATTATTTACAGCTACACGGTAATGGCTTTTGTATTTTACCGTCAAAGCATGGATCATCAGCTTAATATTTTTCTACAATAAACAATTCAGTGATGGAGCAACTAGCATAATCAACTCTGAGTTACTGTGCAAACCAACGATATTACTAAAAATCAAAACTCTATAGAGATCAGACTCAACCAGCACCAAGTAGATGTTTCTTAGCCCCCGCTTACCATTCTATCAATGTGTGTATAATGTCATTAAATCCAAATTTTATTTCCATGAGTTCTTAATCGTTTAAACCATATAAAACAGCAGTAATATCTTTTAGTCTTTACAGTCCACTTATTTTCTGAGAATCTATATTGATTCCAAGTCTCTATTTGCTAAGAGTGTAAAGTTTTATACGGAATCAACAGTCTGTAATGTAACCATCAAAAATATTCCGTATGAAACCAGAGTTGTAGATGCAGTTATCATTAGACTCAAAACCTCTCTCAAACAATAATATTTATGACGTCGTTTCTAAGTAAAAAATATTTCTGTTTTCCAGGACGATCAAGCCAAATTTCAGACCACCCTAATCAACGTAATCTTGTCCAAGTTTATACAGTTTTACCTCCAGGAATCGATTCAAAAGTAACAGCTCATCTCATATTAATTGTCCGCTTATTTCGCCCATACTCGTCATACACTGGATCGAGACGTTTTGAATTTGGGAGTAATTCTTTCAATGATATTTATGTACAAGTTCGATGGTGGGGTGAACCAGCTGGAGAGAAATGTGCCATATTTTACCCTCGACTAGCGCATAAAGTTGGACATAAACAGGCAACATGCACCAAAGCTCGCTATAAAATTACTGTACCATTAGATCGATTTAGTGCTTATCTTAAAGGTATAATATTGCTAATTACAGTAATTAAACTTTAGTTCAAACAATTAACTTCAGTTGTATGTTGCATGGTTATTTCTATCTGAAGTATTTCGATTTTGTAGTGTGAAAACTTTTATTCTAAAACTTATTTCGACTACTTACTGACCTTAATAGCAGAAAAAGTCTAAACCAATAGGAACTAGATGGCTGTTTTGTCATAGTTTGGTACTTCTTTGCAGTATACATTCATGGCTTACATCAGACCAAACTCAAGGTTTTTATATCTCTCAACAGTTATTATAAACTTACATCATTGAGATGGAATTTAACAGTTTACATTTATAATTGCGTTCTATTCAAAATATAGTGTTATCTTTATCTAACAACTATCTCACCACTGAATTGACAGACTTTGAATGTTACAATGATTGCTGTAATTTTGGGGGACTCAACTAGAGGCTTGCCAGTAATAAATATATGGTTATTTGCTCACCAAATTTGTTTTTGAGTGGTTACGTTATTGACACTATTCAAATCATTTTGCTTCATTAACTTGGATAATTTATCATGGTCTGAAAAAAATACCGACACGCGTTCACAAATTCTGCAAATAACGCTGATTAACATAAGATTGATTTTAAACTTTAGAATACGAGTTACAACGTTGAACAGAATATCTATTTTTTGTATATCATATCTAATACACAGGGTTGTTTTCAGTTAACAGATTAACAGATAAAATATTACATTGTCTTAATATCTTGTAATCAGTTAATTTGTGGATATTATATGTTGAGATATTTATATGCACGTTTTTTTCAAGATATGCGTGAACTGCGTCTGGATGTTATTGATATTCGTCATCAACGTATTATTGGACGTGGACGATTAGATAGGGTTGATCGTTTGACTCCAACTACACCAATTGATGCGTAAGAAGAGTTGTAGTTTTTAAAGTGTCATTTAAATACCTTTAATAATAAACTTTGTACGTACAATCATTAATCGCTTATCTGTAAAATAATGAGACTGTAAGTTTACGGTTATATGCAATAAAAAGTTTGGTTTATCTCTTTTTAAACATTGGAAACTCCATCTTATCAGTATCTAATAGGATATGTGCATGCTGAGTGGATTGCCTTCACACTGCTATTAAATCGTAAGCTTATAAGTAAAGTCGGATTGTGTCTAGCAGTGGGATCCAGAAGGCCAGTCCAGCTAACGAGTTTTGAACTGATCGAAGTGCTTGTGCTGCATTTCATGACTAGTCACTAATCCAGTTTTGCTTAAACTTATATTTTCAGGTTCAAACTAGTCACTGATATGACATTCTAAAAGCGAAACTTATATATTGTTGTAGTGTCTAGTAGTATGTCAAACACGCATAGGTTACTGAAACTTCTGGACAGATCGATTTATTTCTTCTTTACGAGTCACATTCTAAACTTGTCAATTGTTAGCTGATTTTACATGAGCGTATGTTTGTATTGCGTACTTTATTCTTAACATGTCTTTAGCTAATTTTTGCCCGGCTATAAATACTAAGTCACGCTTGGTCAACTTCATTCGGCACACCTTCTCCTCCTCACTTCACTTTCCTGCTTCTCATTCTTAATTTCTATCTGAGTAATTAAGTTCCTGAAATAAATTTATCAAATTAAACCTTCAGTTGGCTTATTATTACTGCGTCGCACAAAGAGGGTTAACCTGGGTGTAATATACTGAGTTAAGTGGAAAGTTTATATTCATGTCATATTCATTCGTTTCTTGAAATCTCTTTTGTAGCTTAGCCTACAATAACGAAATAACAGCCTTTAGAGTCTTAATAAACTCACAGAATGTCTTACGTAGGACAAGTACCAACAACAGAAGTGAATGATAGTCTATCAGTATTCCAAAAAATCATTTCATCTAACATTTTTCTACATTTTTCAGTTTGAATTAACTGTTGAATTTCGATGTTATTTTCTTTGTACAACTTTAAAGCATTTTACCCGTTATTAATGAAATTGGTGAAAAATTGGGCGACTTAAATATATCACTAATGATCGAACCAGTTATAAGTAAGCTTTATTTAATAATATTGTAATTGCGATGGTCTCGTTTCGTAATTTGAAAACAAATCCATTCATTAATGTAGTAGTCTATCTATAAGGTACAAGATTATGTACTAGGTTAAGCAATTAAAATCTTTATAACTTAGAAGACAAATGATATCATACATTTAATATCATATTTGTTACAGGGTCACTCGATTTACATCTTTACGATAAAATCAAAGTAGCATCTTCTCAATTAACTCGAAAACCAATCTGATTTTCTACACAACAAAGCTAAATATATTTTATCGGTGACCGTTCAGTTTTCATACAATGTCTGTTATTAAGAGTCGTACTAAAACGAGAGCATCATTCTATGAGAGGATCTTTACTTGAGTAGATTTGCTGAAGTTATAGTTAAGTGAACGACAACTCATATGAGGAAAGCCAATTTTATTGTTTAATGCAAAATCATACGATGGTTAAGTAAAATATACAAGTCATACATTAAATACGTCATCTGCACATCTTTACGTTGTCCTTTATATACTTCATTATTCCTCTGATTCTGTTATTATTTTGATTGCTTTACGATTTCCTTCCTGTTCCATTCATTTCAATCTTCTGCTGCTAGGCATTCTACCTTCAATTTGTGCTAAATACTACTTATATTTGTTAGCATATGTAGGATGCACTACAATAACACAAAGTGGATCAAAATATCATTTGATTTTGCTACATCAAATTACCACTTATCATGGCTATCGACTTTTATTACAAAAGTTGTTCACCTTTTCTACGTTCGATTGGTTTTAACTAATGCAATAACTATTTATAATCCTAAATCTACTTTGTGCTCCATTTTAAATACTTTGTTCATAGTACCGTTGTTTGAAAGGTATATATGAATAATAATTCATAGTTTTTCGCATATAACTCTCATTCATGCATCTTATTTAAAATCTAAGTAATATGGTAAGCAATGACTTTATAGGATTACAGTATAATTGACAAACATGACTTATGGGCCACTGATCAATAATTAGCCATAATAAAGTTATTTACTTTGTTTGTCAGAAGGAGGTTTTTTGGAGATTTTAGTAATTTTATATAGTTGAGATCATAAGATATCAACTCACTGAAGACATTGGTAAATGATTGCTCAAGTTCGTGGATTGGTTGAAGTTAGACATTAACACCGTTAGATGCCGGCTCAGCGGTCTGTCGATAAAGTGCTCTGGGGCGAGACTGGTAGGTCCTGGGTTCGAATCTCGCTCGCGAGGCGGGATAGTGGATGAGCATTGCTGAAGAGTCCTACGATAGGACGAAACGGCAGTCCAGTGCCTTCAGGTTTTCCATGGTGTTCTAGTTTCAATTGACTCACGATCTCAACTACATAAAATTTACTTTGTTTTTTTTCAGTTATACAACAGAATTATTTATTTATTTATTTACGCATTCAATCTAATATTTTCTATATATTATATTTTTATTATAAGATCCAAATTCTAAATCTATGGTAACACGATTTAATTGGAAGAAAATAGATCATAATGTTACTGATAATATTGACAATAATCATGATCATGTTAATAATAATAAACAACAACCAATAGAAAATGATGAAATTTCAATTAGTAGCAATGATCATATAATTATCAATGAACAGGTAACAGTAATTTGTTTTTACTTAATAATAAAATTAAACAAATCTGCCGTTTGACTAAATATCATCATTGGTCTGATTTTAGCATGGACTAATGATGATATTGTAGTGTGGTCTACTTATATCCATATAAGTAGTATATGGCGATGGTCAGACATAGAACGTCTTTTGGCAGAAGACCGATAAGGAAAGAACTGAAATGAAGCGCAACTGGTAGGAAAATGCATGAACAATGGAATTAGCGAAGATAAATGATATTTGGAGGAGGAACAGTGAACATCGAGACAATTCATTGTTAATTCGCTAATTAATTGTTTGTTGTATGCTTATCAGAATTCAGTGAGATAGTCTGCAATTTTTGATCAAATAGAATTCAATTGTCCCCGCTCGTTTTCTGTTCATTACAATATTAGTTAGTCATTGTGAAACCTCTTGAAATAATAAATATATTTTATTTATATTAGACCGTTATGGAAGTAGATTATGAGAAAATACTCCGTATCTATGATCTTTTCTAGGTCACAGTAATCATTATTTCTATGGCATATAAAACTGAATGGCTTGTGGTTAAAGAGTTCGGGCGACATGTTTCAGAATGAATCATAGTAGCACAGCTGAATTAATTGTCCATCTTGTCCTAAATATTGAGTTCCGAAATTCCTTCAGGAATAACGTCTTTATGAACTATGTTCTACAATTTACTTAGTATTGTTTGTTTGAATCTTCCCAATGATTTTTATAGGACTGCAACTGGTCAGTCTCTAATTGGCATATGTGCATACTGTGCGTATTGCCTCGATATAGCCTAAATTCACAAGCGTGGTAAGCAAAAATGGATAGTGGCTAGTAGTGGAATCCAGGACTCGCGTTTCGTCCTATTTGGGACTCGTCAGCTGGATGTACCTGCTTGTGAATTTAGGCTATATCAAGGCAATACGCACAGTATGCACATATGCCAATTAGAGACTGACCAGTTGCAGTCCTATAAACATCATTGGGAAGATTCAAACAAACAATACTAAGTAAATTTCAACTTCGCCCTATTGCACAAGCAAGTGGCTATCAGGACTCAGTAGCTGAATGGATAACGCGATGGTGTTTGAAGCGAAAGGTACTGGGTTTGAGTTCTAGAGTGAATATCAACTCCGAGATGCAGGTACATCCAGCTGACGAGTCCCAAATAGGACGTAACGCGCGTCCTGGATTCCACTGCTAGCCACTATCCATCTTTGCTTACCATGTTCTACAATGTTTTTTTTCTCTTTCTCATTATCATTAAGATTAGAGTTATTTCGACTCATAAACTATTCATTTTGTTAATCTCATTTCATCGTAGTAATTTTGCGTAGCGAATTAAACTAACACATATTCGTGCTAGGCTCTGTAGTAATTATGACTGACTAAGTGATTCATTACGATTTTCACTCGCCGTCTAGTACAAATACTCCGTTAGTATCAACGAATTTGGATTTTTGATTAAATATTATGCAAATTATAATTAGCTTATGTGACACTCATTTATAATTATTAATTTCAATTAAGTCAGGAAGACTTTGGTGAGGTCTTTTATTGTTAGTTGATTATTTTTTTTTGACATTATCGTTACTGTTATAGACACATAGTCACTGAAGAGCAATCTTGACTTCTTGGAATATCCAGCTTTTCCTGAATTTCTGTCTTCTTTCTTCAATCGGATTTTGGATTACAATTATTAGAGTGGTATGATGCCTAATTATCGAGTGCTTTAGGACTAGGAAATTCAACTCATATTAAGCAACATCGTTCAATTGTTCACAATTGAGAATAATCGTAAACTATCTCAAAATAGAACGATACCTGTTAACTATTTAATCCGTAAAAATAAAAAAAATGAAAACTCGAAACAAATTCATGAATGTTCATTCTAAAATTGTATTCGTTCTTTATGTATTAACCATCATCGTTCAAATTTCTCAACTTTTTTTTCTTGTTACATAGATTGATTCAATTCAATCACAACAGAATAATGGTGTTGTCAATGAACATCCAGTTGATTTAGACATTGGATCACTTGATCAAGATAATTATCATTCATCTCATAATGTGAATTTACTTGATAATTCAAATAATTATAGATTACGTACAACTATTCATGGTCATGGCAGGGAATTAACCAATACCGACAAGGATAGTTTTTCAACTCATTCAGGAAATGATAATGATGTTAATTTTTCAAAAAGAGAACAATTGTTATCTCTTGCATTAGAGAAAAGTAAACATTTACGTGAAGCATTAAGTTGTTCATCAATTTTCAATCATCAAGATTATAATGATAACGAAAGTGATGATAAGAATAATATGGATGGGTTGAAAGCATCTCGATCTTATACCAGTGATGGACGCTTCTCAGGCGGTTTAACACCAAATAAGTTAGTCAAACGTTGATTTTTTTGTTATTCGAGTCGTATGTGTTTGTTTATTCTCTATTTTAGTTTGTGACAATTAAAAAATGTTGTTCTGTGAATTCTTATATAGATTCGTGTATGGTAAAATTCAAATAGAGTCACCTTAAAAATAAAAAAAAATCGGATATCGGAAAACAGTAAAACTGTGTATTATTATGTTAGACGTCACAAACAGAAATCAATGATGATTAAACATTTAAAATGTTGAATGAATAAATTATTTATTCCTCACAAAAAAGCTTTTAAGATAAACAATCACAATCTGTTATTACTTTCTGTGGTTTGAAATTTCACCATGTGGAGAACTACGAAAGTCATCATCCAGAAGTTACAGGTGTTTATTAGCAATTGTTTACGCGAGATATTTCGGATCCGTTGGCCAAACACTATCAGCGACATTCTACTGTCGGAGAGAACAAACCAGATTCTAGTGGAGGAAGAAATCAGGAAGAAGCTCTGGAAGTGGATAGGGCACACATTGAGAAAAGCACCAAACTGCATCACAAGACAAGCCCTCACATGGAATCCTGTAGGCCAAGGGAAAAGAGGAAGACCAAAGAACACATTACTCCGAGAAATGGAAACAGATATGAAAATAATGAACAACAATTGGATAGAAGTATAAAGGAAGGCCCAGGACAGAGTGGGTTGGAGAATGCTGGTTGGCGGTCTATATTCCATTGGGGTAACTGCTGTGGTGATTCAGAAAACTCGCAAAAGACAGGGAAGATTCAGGAAACACTATGAAGAATTTTATCCAATCAGCGTTCACTAGTAGTTTTGCCGGAAACATCACGAAAGTGAAAAGTTACATGTAGAGTTTCTGATTGGTTGATTACTACACTGCTTCTATGTTTAGTGGCACTCCAGAATTTTCGGGAAAACCCAAAGACATCTAAGATACTATAAAAACCCTATATTTTCTGTACATGAATGAACCTTTGGAGTAAGGTGTTTCTCCTATATTTTGCGTCTTTTCTCTCGTGTTCAAGCTACTGTGTAAATTTAGTTTGGGGGTTACGAGAATAGCTTATGAACTGAGTTTTGCGTTCAATTACCAAGACTTATCAGTAACAGACGTAAGTAAGTAAGTAAGTAATTTTCCACCATAGTCTATCAGACGGAAAGTTGTTCAAACGGCAAAAACTTCTCTTCTTTGTATTTTTGTAACTTAAAATTAATCTTATTCAAATATTCGAATGGCATATTCCTTTTATGTCCAAAATGAGCTATTTCTTAAGTAATCAAATGTTTTTGAAAACTTATATCTCAGATATCAGTCATCATTAACCAAAATCTACAGATCTCATTAAATGCTAATAAATGCAAAATTCAAGTTTAAATAAGACTCAGTTTTACCAAAACAATAAGGTATCTCTTATCATTATTAGTATTCTAAATGTTTTAACCAGTAGAACCATTTTAGATTCACTTAGTTTGTCTTTCAAATTACAAATTATAAGAAGTGTGTATCAAATTACAAGAGTTCCAGCTAATGGATAATTATACGTAGATTCATTCTATAAACCTGTATTCTCATGCCAAATGTACAAAACCATATTTTGAAGATGATATACAAGTTTTTTAGCTGATAACATTCGAATCAAGTGAATATGCTCAGAAAGTGAGGAGGGCGAGAATGCCATGCCAATTTTTTTTCTAAAGATATATGAGCACTAATTTACATCATTTGGATAAAATTCACTTAGTTTCAATTTTATAAACTCATCAAATTATTTCATATTAATTATTAATTTTTTTTTCATCTAACGTAGATTACATCATTCAAGTCCCGATCTCCGGAGTATCATGTTTGAAAAGTGTATACATAATCGTGATAATCGCATTCATTTAGCATCACAAACGAAAACCAAATCAAATAATCTTGATTTAATAAAATATATTCTTGAAAGTGAATCGCTCGATGATCCAGTTCAAGTTAATACACAAAACCATGATAACCATCATCGTCAGCATCACGTTAGTTACAAAAAAGGTGTGCATTTACAAAATATAATGTTTGCCAATGGCAATGATAGTAATCTACATGCAGATAAGGGAATCGGTGTCACCCAAAACTATCCATTGTCAAATAATAACATGGTTGTTCAATTTGGAAATTCAGAATATATAAAAGAAGATGATGAATTAATTGAAAATTTATTATATAGTAATGAAGTTAGTTGTTTATAAATGATATTCAGTGTTTCATACTTTTAATTAAATGATATATATGAGCAGAACATATTGAATCAATTAATTTGTAAGCTTTATCTCAGAAATTAGATAGGACTGAATGACTGTTGACTGAGAGAAGTAAAAGTCACTTAATTAGTTGGGGAATCGTCAACATTGTTTAGGATTAAGGTATGTATTTTCATCGCGAACTGATATCAGCATCTAGCATGGCTGCTATCCACTTCTGGAGAATCCTACATTAGTGTTTTCTCATTTTCAGTGATTTTGCAAGTGATATCCACTGTAATTGAAAATCAATGGAAATTAAAATACGGGTTACTATTAGTTGTATGCATCTCATTTGGAGTACCGGTGAAAATCAGTAGACATTGAACTGTTATCCAATCCTAGTACGAGACTCTTCAGCAGTGTACCCACGACCGTGTCAAGAATCGAATTCAAAACCTTCAAGGGAATGTTTCTTGCTTTGGTTTCACTTTAAATTAGTTTTTATCTGAATCATTTAACACTATAGAAGTAATCAAAGCAGTAAGATATGGACTGAACTGAGTTAATACTTGATTTCAAAAAAGGGATCCGATTTAATTATCTCACTTGAACGTCAACGATAATCACAGACAAGACAACTTAATAAGAACAAGTAGAGTAGTAATAGAAGTAATATTAATACAAATATTATTATAGTACTTGAAAAACTGGTAATTCAAACAAACATCAGAGCAATTCACAGAATCAGAATAGTCAATTACATGTACGTTAAATACCACAAATAATAATTACTGTAATATACTTTCTGAATGTATGCTAATTTATGGTCATGATCAGGTTAATACTAGATGAATGCAATAAAAATAAAGATATATTACTATTAAAAAAGGTGATATATGTATCATTTACTGTAAAGATATTCAAAATATGAATTATATGATTCAGGTAAACTGCACAATCGGAGTTGATTGGATTTTAGACAACGGCACTGTAATGGTTATCAATCTTCTAAGTAAAGAGTTGTCTTTGGTAATTAGTATATCAGAAACATAATTTTGTTGGACAAGTGTCATAGCTACAGTGTCATGTGTATTTTGGAATGGCAGATAATATTGTATAGGACGCAGCAGTTAAGAACTAGTATTTTCTTAATAGGAAAACTGAAAGATAATTGTTTGTGGGGAGAGAAATTAATTAATGTAGCATCAGAAGATTTAAATTCTTTTATATGATATATATAACTAACTACAATTAAAGAAAAAGAAACGAAAATATAGCGAACGAAACAATTATAAAAATAACTGTGATAGATCTTTTGTCCGATATGTGCTTAATTGTTTCTGAACGTCCTGATTTAGACCTATTTATGCTCAAACTGGTATGGGATTATCTTGTAAATTTGTTACAATGTACTGTATTGAATTTTAATGTATTTACATGTATCCAAGAGTATTGTTTTATGAATGTGTATTTTTTATTTTGCTCACTTGGGGCGGGACTAAGGAAGGTAGTTGATCACTGAGAATGTTAGAAACTTAATTCAATCATATTCATTAGAAAAGATTACCAGCCACTCTGTTGATCATATTCTTCAAAAGTAAAATTCCAATTATTCATTCAATATTATGCATACATCTCTCTACCACTTGGAAGCATTTCTTTGAGCACTGACCTATTCAAGTATTCATTTAAACTGTACATCTTCATAATTGGAATATATATATTTTATAAAAACATGGATAATTATAACGCTATTTAATGTACGATCGATATTACACTATGATATGTTAGTCTATGTCTTCAGTTAAGTATCGATGGAAAATTTACCTAAAAGAATCTATTGTTTGTGAAGTCACCAGGTAACAGTGAATAATAGTAGTTGCTCCACTTCTTAAATTAGCTGAAATTGAATATTGCAGACCATGGGCTTATGGCTCAATATTTTTATGTATTCCATGTGCTGAAAATATAAAACAACAGTCATTAAATCTATAATATACAGTCACTTTCAGGTTTTATTTTATTTTAGACTAAAATCTGAACCAAGTAGATCAGTGAATAACACATTAAATTGGAGGATTCCGAGTTCGAGTCTGGATATCAAAATCTATGCTAGAATGAAGATACTATCCATCTAACTAGTCCCAAATAGGATCAAACGCACTTATTGTGTTCCGCCACTACCCACAATCCAACTTTCATAAAACTCTGTGACTAAATTGCAGTATCAAGGTAATCCTCTCACGATAAAGACTGATCAACTACAGTCCTTGACATCAAAAACGGGGATATATAAATCTTTAGAAATCGAATCAAGATTCGTTTCTTGTACATTATTGCACTCACATTAATGTAAACATTTTGTCATTATTATTATTATTTTTAAGTTCGTTTATTTATTTGTTTTAATCCTTTTTAGAATTCTATCGACGAAAATGAATTGTTGAATTCAAATACTTTATTCAAACAATCTAATAACGTACAACCATTAAAACAAGTTACTTTGAATGGAAAAATTGTGAATCAACACTGTCAGAATAGTCAGTAATGTTACTACGCATCTAATATGCTTTACTTTATGGATATAAAAATGTATTCATTTTTATCAGAAGGGGGTGTTTTTGGGGAGATTTAGTATTTTCATAGTTGAAAGCGTGAGGTAATTGAAGCTAGACCACCAGGGAAAACCTAGAAGCACTGAATGGCCGTTTCGTCCTATTGTGGGACTCCTCAGCAGTGCGCATCCACGATCCCGCCTCGCGAGATTCCAACCCAGGACCTATCAGTCTCGCGCCGGAGCACTTAACCGATAGACCACTTAGGCGGCCTGCTTCCAACGGTGTTAATATCTAACTTCAACCAATCCACGAAATCGAGCAACCGTTCACCAATTGTCTTCATTGAGTTGATATCTCACAACAGACGTGGTTCGAACTTCATTGGTCACTGCTTCTCACTAGAACTCCTGGATTTACCTCTTGAAGTCAGTCACAATAGGACGAAGCGGCCGTTCAGTGCTTCCAGGTTTTCCCTGGTGGTCTAGCTTCAATTGACTCACGCTTTCAAGTATTCATTTTTCTCTAATTTTTATATAATTTATGTTCTCTGTATTATGAAAATTTTGTAGTTTAATTCGCTGAACATTGACTGTATATATTACGTCAACATACGAAGGTGGTTTACCATTCAAACTTATTCAGTCACTGGTTTTATGTCTATTTTTCAATGCCTATATGAGATATGACTTGGGCGAGTGTGTAATTATAGAATCCTCGAAGTCTCTATCCGTTTACTGTTGTGTTGCTAATTAAGTCAACTGTAGTCAGTGGAAACTCATTTTCTTCACATTATTATCGGCCAATCAACCGTCATACATTGAAGTAGTAGTATGGTACTTACAACACACAGTTATATGCAACGTAGAACCTGGTACAAATGTATACTGGTTCAAGCTGCGACAAAACATCAGCACAGCATGTTGAAATAATGAAGCTGAACACCAAAGCAAAAATAGTATCAATGTTAGTAAAAAATGAACTAAAAAATCACTTGCGGAATTATTGGGAGGCTCACTTTTACATGGGGTACGTGTGGATGTCCAAAACCACGATGAAAGCTCTGGAAGTAAACTATCTAACTCAAAATACTGAATATTGCTAAACGTTTTCATGATTATCACATTACCTTATTTTAACTTGCCTTATTCTTTTATATTTACATCTATAGATTTATCTAAATCTGGTTGTAATCTGAAAGGAGCCAATTTACACTTTAAATGTTTAAGTTTATGTAGAAAATATTCCGAAAATAAAATGTCAAACGTTGTTAACTCTTCTAAATCTACATTATATAATAAAACATCAAGAAATCCAACGAAACTGTTATCACAAAAATCTCATCCAATATCAGTATCATCAGTATTGCCATTTAATAAAGTCAAATCGAATGACATCAAGTAAGTGATTAATAAGGATTTGAATCATATACAATTTTTACTAATTAATAAATGTAGTAGTGTGGTGTGGTCTACTTATATCCATATAAGTAGTATATGGTGTTGGTCAGACATAGAATGTCTTTTGGCAGAAGACCGATAAGGAAAGAACTGAAATGAAGCACAATCAGTAGGAAAATGCATGAACAATGAAGTTAGAAAAGAAACAGTGAAGATTGAGACAATTGATTGTTAATTTGCAAATTAACTGTTTATTGTATGGTTATCAGAATTTACTGAGATAATCTGCAATTTTTGGTTAAATACATTCAGTTGTCCCCAACTGGTGTTCTGTTCACTACAGTAGTAATAACTTCTCTATAGAATTTGAAATCATTACTGTTATATGTGATTTTTGTGTCAAGTAATTATGAACCCCTTAATAAGTTTATATGTTAAGAGCCTGTTAACAGAAAGCCGTAAGAGTAGATTTCTTTCAGCTGACAATTATCATAATGCGATATTTCAATGATCTAAGAAAATTGATGCTCGCCAACATATTCGACTCAGTTCAATATTATATCTAAATTTTAAAAGTTAGGATCATGAGTCGATTGAAGCTAAACCATCATGGAAAACCTGAATGCACTGGACGACCGTTTCGTTTTAATGTGGGACTCCTCAGCAATGTGAATCCACGATCCCGCTTCGCGAGATTCCAATCCAGGACCTATCGGTCTCGCGCGCGAACGCCTAACCTCTAGATAACTGAGTTGGCATCCGACGGTGTTTATATCTGACTTCTACTAATCCATGAAATTGAGCTACACATACATCATTGTCTTCAGTGAGTTACTATCTCATAATAGACTCACTAAGCTATGAGATTCATAACTAGTTTTCTGTGGGACGGATATACAATATGGTGACTTTAACACTGATATTATTGATTCTTTCAGGATTGAAGATAAATCATTTGAATGAGCACTGAGTAGTGAAAACTCATCTTTACGATTTTCTCCATATGTGTAACATCAAATTAAAAATGCACTTCAGTGTCAAACTACATAATTTAATTGTCGAAATGGAAGTGTTCGGCGAATAAGCAAAAACATAGCGTCTTGGAACAATTTCAATATCTTTTACACCTGTAAATTACTGTTCATCAGGTATAAGATCATTTAAAGTCAAAGAATTAGGTAATAATGTATAAGAAGATAGTTTGTGTAAGGGGTTTGTGGAAATTTCTGTTTTACATCACTTCAGTTGAACAACCATTGAAAATCCCAAGGCAGTAAGTAGCTTTTTAATTCCAATATAGCGCTCGCAGGAAGTGGGCATATTCAACTCCATCGACAATGGAATGCAGGACCTTCAGGTCTCGCGACCAACACTGAGTTGATACCTGGTGGCTTGCCTTTCTGAAGAGTCTCACACAAATACGAAACAGCTGTTTAGTGCTTCTCGATCTCTAATAATAGTCTAACCTAGATGGTGTGAACTGTAAATTAGGTTGTAAGTTGAAAAATAATAATCCAGAGTAATAAATAATAAATTATTCAAGTGGATATTATCTTTTAACTAGTTAATTTGAATCATCTAATCGTTTGACATAGTCAATGCAATTTAGATGGATAAAGAGATAGTTTGCATATTCCAGTCTATGCATAAGTTAAAGCTTGTAATTTATATGCTGAGTTCTAAATAACATGACATCACCTAAAGATTTTTCATCGATTATCACTTCGAAGTGCTATTCATAAAGTAATGGTATAAACGTATAAATGTATAAGTGCCAATGCTTTTCCATGACCCTGAATCGAGGAGTTGAAATCACGGCCATCGTTTTCGCATGATAATGCTTAACCTCCAAACTAATGAGCCGAAACCCTATGATGTAAAAGTTTGACTTCAATCCATGTAATACGGTCGAGGAATATGAAGGATTGATTGAAATTAGCTCTATACACCACTGACTCTTCACTCAATGATCTAGAGGCTTTCTTTGCACACAAGACCTGAGTTCTTGGGTTCGATTCCCAGTTGTAAGTATACACTACTGAGGAGTCCCATACTTTCATATTTCCGATGGTCATCAAACCTAGAGCTCAATTAAATTCAAAAGCCTTTTCAATCCTATACTGATATACACAGCATTTAACAGTGATATTTCGATCAGAACGACTTTAAAATGGTTGTGCTTTTAGGATGTTTTCACAGTCACGCATTATCATAGGGTTAGTTAGTTAATCCAACCATATCTCACCTTCATGTCATTTACTAACTGAATGCTCATTATTATTTGAAAACTTAGCTAAGTTTGTGACGTTTGTTGGAAGCCCTTGAGAATTTCTTGGGATTGTCTTCAGAAGTTGGAAAGAGGTATTTTTTCAATCAGCTACTAGTAGAAAATTACTCGAGAGTTCTAAAAAACAGATTTATAATATTTTCTGATCAGATGATTTCCGATTCTGCCGGTAAATTTGGCATATTTTCAGAAACTCTCAGTTTATTAAGATCGCCCATAACCTACCTATAAATATCCTTTTTTACATGCCCAAACTAATCTCGAAAGCTAAGACCCTTTTCATACCCCTGCCATCTCTGTCTTTCATCCAGTGTTCAATTGTAGAAGATTTTGAGAGACTTGTGAGCGATTAAAAAAGTCGGTATTAAGTATCCAAGTTCTATGCCTTTCAGTTAATATAGACATCAGAACAATCGACTAACAAACTGTAATAAAATTTTGATTTAATTTGTAATGGTTTTTATACTCTCTGTTGTTGCTGTTAGAGATTGTTATCGATCAGTCAACAACCGGAAAGTTAAAACCATTAAAAATCAAATCAAAATGCAATTCATAGAATTTGCATGGACTAGTGATGGTTTGGACACAGTAGCTAAGTGGATAATGCGTCGGCCGTTTAAAGCGAAAGGTACTAGGTTTGAATCCTGATGTAAGGATGAACACTAGGATGTAGTTAAACACATCTGATAAATTCTTATTAGGATGAAACGTGTATCATAATACAAATTTTCATACATTTAGGTAATTCAGTCAAATTATTTTAATCATCATAATCATACTGGCTATATTCCACTAACACTATGAACTCTTGTAATGCAACTTAATACAATGTATCAATAAAAAACTGTAGTAGTTCGTAAAATCATTGGTTTTGTTGTTTATTAAAATGGCTGACGAGTCATTATAATGAACAACTAATCTTTCTACTACTTACATCTTTTCCCTCATATAATTATAGTACTTTATCGGACAGTATTTTCATGGAGTTAGAAGTATCTGTCCCAACATTGTCTTCGCTATCATCATCCAATAAAATCGGTGGTACATGGACTACAACTAGTTTTACATTATCTACAGAATTACGTAATCAGTTTGAAGTTAAATCAACTAAACGAAAACAACAAAATGATGATGCATATGTCAATTTCTATTGTCTAACAAATAAGAAAATTAATAATTCTAATGATGCTTATATTGAAGTCAATTTCAATCATCAATTACATTCTAATGATAAAGTCAATAATCATGACAATCATATTCGTTTACGTCTATTTCGTCTATGTAACCCAGTAAAAGAAGATGAAGATACTACACAGTGGGAATCAGAAGTAAATTTCATGTTTTCTAGGTGTATTATTTTTTTTACGAATAGATAATGATGGGAAGTTTAGTATAAAACTATGACTAAATTAAGATAACCTGTAGATTCTATTTATCACAGGTTAATCTCAGTTTTGGTTTCTTTTGGAAACCGGGGGACAGCAAATATTTGTTTTGTCTGGTATGGGCTCTTCAGTAGTGCCTAATCCAGTGTTGTTGGAAAGTCGTTTTAGGATATTGCAAGTTGCAAATTTACATCCTGTCACCTGTCTTCAAATTGTTTGCAAATATTTCATTGCATTTTTCTCTTTTTTGGATTGCTTTTCTAACTGACTTAGTATTTGAAAGTGCGATGATTTGGGTGTAGGAAAGAAGCAGCAGTATCATCTGGACTGCTCAGGACTAAGTCTTTATTTCTCAGAAGATAGTAGTCGAGACTCATGTTAACTTGAGACAATGAGTTTCTTTCGTTGTTTCAACATGTATTTAATCTACTTCCAATATACTAAAACGCCTTTTGTAAAAAGCTCACTACCTATCGTCATGAAAGCAATTATTGCTAAATTCAAACTTAGCTATCACAGTTGTTGATATATTTTCATCCTTTTATATTGTTTAAGTAGATGAAAGCTGATTCCATTCGAATTCGTACATCAGTTATGTTATTATAAAACAAAGACACTACAGAAGTAAGACTGATGCAAAAATAAAAACAAAGGTGACTGTCAGCTAATCAGTGTTGAGAAATATTTTTGTCACATACATATTTTGAATGATAACTTAAGCGAATAATAAATGGAAATTTTCTTCACAATAATGCATATTTATTCTGTGAATTCTTGACTGTATTCGAATATATAGTACTTAGTAAAGGGATTTGGTGAGACCAATAATTATTAAGTCTCAATGAATTTGATTTGAATAATGTAGATGAAATGTAATATTACAATCTACAATACTTTGATTTCTAGTGAAAAAACATTTAGAGGTTATCAAATTAATGTATGAAATACGCTGATAGATTCCTAGTGTCCAATGCGACTAAACGATAATTGTCCATAAGACAATTACTGGTATAAGCTTGCCCACTTCTCAACTAAACTGATATCAAAAGACAAGATAACTGCCCAATTGAATAGGCTTTTCTTTTCTAACAAAACACAAAATATTAAAGACAATTGTTATATCTTGTGGCCGAGTGGATGCCCTGTTAACTTATGACGTGATAAAACCGCCAATCAGAGAGCAGTGAATTATCGATTGGAACAGTGACACACGAAAACCTTACGAGCAGTCTAGAGTATGTATTGGTCCGTCTTTCTGCCTATCCCAGTCAATTAAGTCCAGAACAATAATAACAGCCTCTGCGGTATAAATTATTATATTTCAAACACACTGAGTTTATATGCCAAACAGACTGACCACATCGTACCAATAAAATAGAAAATAACATTTGTACAAGACTTAGCCAAATATAGCTGTGAATGTGGGAGACACTAATTAATAGACTAGGGATAACTCAAGAATGGTAAATTGTATAATAATAGTTTATAGTTAAAAATAAAACTCATGATAAGGGGAATATGATTACAAATAGTTTAGTTATTTAGCAATTATACGATAAAAAATATACGCATAATATTGGTCCACAAAAGGATTCCAAAGTTACCATTCACTATTGTTATCGGGACGTAACAATAATAAAAAAATAATTGGCAATCAGTTGACAAATGTTGATCATTCATTGTTCAATGGAATCAATCCTTAATTATCAGGTTTAATTCTTGCCCATCATATAATGATCGTAATAAGCGCAAAGTATCATCACATTATGGGAGTTATAGAAAATCAAACAGTACTTACGTTTATTTAAATAGTAATAATAACTATATCCGTGGTTATACAATTTCGAAAACGTTTTTTTCTATCTTCATTTAATGTTTTAGTTGATTGGTGTGAATTTTGTCAATCCAGATGAAATTCGTTCAATTATCTTATCAAAAGTACATTTGAATTCATCTAATCCTACAACTCATTTATATATTCATCTATGTTCTGGACAAAAAATGAAAACTAATAATTCAAATGTGATTGGTCGTTTAGAATTTGAATTAGAACCAATTTGGAATACCACTGCTACATCTAGAAATCAAATGAATATCAACATAATGAAAAAAGGTAACAGAAGTCATTTTTTGTAGTTGATATCACGTACTGATATCAGTTAGACAACCATTGAAAACAAGTAAGCACTGAATAACCTTTTTTTTCTAGTACGATGTTATTAAGCAATGTTTATCTGTCTGATCACCAGTCAGAAGATCGTGTTACATATTCATACACATCCAGGTTTAAAGCAAGGCTTCCAATTCATGCTGTGGTCATTAATACTCACCTATTTCTGGTCATATTGTCAGCATCAAGTCAATAGGCTATATGAATTTGTTTGGCTGCCAAACGCATTATGCTTTTTATTCATCTTGGCCAAACAGTGAGATACTTCGATTCACCTAAAAATCTAAACACGGACGAACATTTATGATTCCCTATCCTAGCCGTTACAAGCAATCTAAATGACTAGTCTTATATTCAGAAATCAGATAGTGTTCAGCAAACCGAGTAGCTTTTGAGTATTAACATGTTTTCTTACAATATCTTTAAAAGTGGAACAATACATTATCACTTGTAACGGTTGTTTGGATCTTTCCACTGATTTTGAGTACCGGATTTTATCAGTCTATTTTGATGTATTTGCATCCAGCTCGGATTGTCTTGATATTGACACTGGTCACAAGTATTATAAGTAGTGATGGATGGTGGCTGTCGGTGAAATCCGGATTTCATTGCTAGCCACCTTCCATCACTGGCAATAATAGATTATCGTATTTAAACAATCGTCAAACAAATTAGTTGAGTAAATGCACTTTTAACCAAGTCAAAATTGAATAACACATATGGTCTCCATGAAGATATTTAGTGAATAATGTAAGAAATTCGGACCTTCAGAGAAAAAGAGTTGTAACAAAATAGTGAAATACAAAACAGATGTTAATCAAAAGACTCTTAAAACTCTCCTTTTCAACCGAAGAAATGATCGGTATCTGCTACAATAATAACTATTAAACCGAAGTACAATATGTGAATTGAGTAAACGTTTGTTAGAATTTCTGAAGAACTATTGATTACAAAGAATATATAAGACCAAATGACGGTTTGTTGAATAATCATATTCGTCCAACATTTAATAACATTCGATGTTGTGTTTACTACACATCTTTTAATCTGTTCTCACTGGCTGCTATTCCAACAGAATATCAAACACTGATATCTGTTGTTTTCTGAAGTAGCAGGTTGAATGTTGTATTACACTAGGTTGGCCATTTGATCGAATCACTTGATGAGAGAGTCGACTAGTTACGAATTTGTTTATGGATATCTGGTGAATAGGGTAATTTTCAACGAATAACACATTTACCACAGATAAATTCTAGATTTTATTGATGCAATTCAGCTGATCTATACCCGAATAGGTAATCATAGAATGCAGACACTAATCTGATGTATGTTGTATTATTAAGAGTGTAACTTTACAGGTTTATATACCATAATTAAATGACTACAACACGGCATACATAAGAAATCTTCATTTGTATACAGTCTAGTCGTTTGTTATATAGGACGTAGATACGTGCGACCAGTTAAGTGCCTGCAATGACGGAATGGTTAAACGTATATCAACAGATAATAAAGTAGATAAAATATTGTCATTAGGACAATGTAAAAATACCATAAACCATATATTTAATAGGTATCAATACCAAGGTTGAACTTGATTGTTTCAAATAAATTGAGGATTGGATAGAGAGTTAGTAATAATTATATATAACAAAAATATATTCATTATCATATATATTTAATAATTCTTATAGAAGTTTCACCCCTTCCTAGTTATTCCCCTTTGATCTCATATATAGATTACTATATTTGATTAACATCAATATACTTGAAATTTCTAATTGTATTCGACATTTACTTACATGTTATTATGAACTAAAAAATAACCATGTAGAGTCATTTTCAAGGGGGAATATTTTATCATTGCTAAGTATTCTAGGTAGCAATGATCTTGAAATAATATGTTTGGTTTAATTTTTTTGGAAAATTTAAATATTTTATTTCTATAATACTATCTGGTTGAATCCGCGAGATGATAGCAATCGATGGTTAGAGACCTTGAGTGACATGGTTCAAAATCGTTTGCAATGGCGAAAGTGCATTCACTCTTTGTTTTCTGCCAAATTCTAATCTTCTGAATTCTTCATGTCTCTATCTTTTTTCTCTTTCCAAGTTTATTTCACTGGATTATGCTCCTTCAATAACATCTTCAAACCCTAATCTTTCACATTAGTGCTTATACTCTTACTACTTGTACCACTATGGGATTTGAATCGTCAACTGCATCTCTGTGCTAATGTGGTATGGCAACTCAAACTGATGTACGTACGTAAAAAAGTTCTACGTCGTGACTGACTGACAATACTTTTTATTATTCTTTACATATCTTCAATTTTGAATGCATCATAATATGTGTTAAATTTTGTTTGTTTTAATTTAGACAGTGAATATTTCGGGTCAATTCAAAAGGCTGTGAAAAATGATAAATTTCATTCAGTTCAAAGTTCAATGGTATGTACTGTTTAATTGAAAGTATCAAATTTTAATAAATATTCGAATCTTGCGAGGCGGGATCGTGGATGCGCACTGCTAAGGAGTCCCACAATAGGACGAAACGGCCGTTCACCGCTTCCAGGTTTTCCATGGTGGTTTAGCTTCAATTGACTCATGATCTCAACGATATAATAAAAATGTTTTGTTACTTCGTTAATATTATTACTTTCTGTATAAGAAATATCTGTCGTTAATTAAAAGTATAATGATTGAAACCAACATGTTAATTGGTGAATATTGGTTATGATGACGAGATAACTGATTTGTAATTTAGTAAAATGATTGAGATAATCAAACATGAATGAATGGTAAGTTCCAATGGTAAAGATATCAAAAGATAGACACACTGGCCAATTAACAGAACATTTATTTTAATGTATCAATCAATTATTTACTTAAGATTAAGAATCTGTTAATCAATAAAAGAAATTTATAAAACGACTATAGAGAAAAGTAAGTTGTAAACTGTCTTAGGGATTCATAGCGTATATCCTGAAGTGAACTTAGTTAGCCAACTTTTAGACACTTTTTTCGTCGGAGTATAAGACTCTCATGTTTCCTCAAGGGATAAAGATGAGGAATTAAACTCATAGACTTCTATTCTTTTTATTTTTTCCAAAAATTACACACCTGCTTAGTTTGATGTATTTCTCGTCTCTTTTTCTCATTATAGGAATCAGGTTAATGATGTAGTTGCTATTTGACCACTATTCACTCTATTTTAATGGAACTTAGATAGTCATTGACTGTTAAACTGAGCTGTGTAGGTAGGTGAAGACTATTTGGTTGGAGTCCAAGTGATCATCGTAACTACTGATTAAAGACTTTAGATGATATGACTCAAGATTGTTCACAAATTAACCAGGTTCATTTACTCTATGTTTCCATTCAGATTTTAACTTTCTAAATTATCTAAGAGAAATAATCAAATAAAAAGTATGGCTATTATTGTTTGTCAATTTGCATTCCTACTCACTTCGGTCTTCTCATTCTCATAAGGGATTTGATGTGACGTAAAAGAGGTATATCGTACCTGAATTGAACAACAAAATCACCACACGTCCTCGCTATGATAAGTAACACTCCTGAGTGAGGTCATACATATGATCGTGGATGTATATAGTCGCAGAGACCTGCTGGTGTTTTCCAATTTTCAAAGGTTCCCTAGCTAATTGTAGTTGTTATTTGCGCAGAAAACCTTGACTTTGTATGATTAAGGTATATGTCTTTCGTTTTTTTTTCAGTAGAATTCAGTGTAAGATACAGCTTGTTGTTTTCTTTTCCATGCCGACTTTATCATGATTGATTCATTGAAACATTGTCCGAATGTGCTCATTGTTTTAATACTGCTAATTACATTTTATTTTTCGACATTTTTGAAGTATCATAAACCAGATCATTCAAAAGAAATAATACCGTCAAATACTGTCATATTAAATACAATTCTACATATATCTGAAGGCAAAGAATTAAAACTTTCAAATAATTATCGTAATAAACAATTATTAACATCAAAATATATTACGAAGTTACCGAATGATTGTATTATGATTGAACATTCTTATTTAATTGTACGTTTACCTTGGTGTCACCAAATTCACTCATCATCGGATTTGTCGACGATTAACTTAGATCAATATCACTCAAATGTCGCCTGGCTGAGTGGATCATGTCCACAATATGCATTCACTATTAGATCACAATGTTTATTAAATCAGGTAAGTGTGTGGTTTCTTTTTTCACCATGTACTAACTAGTGACCAATTTCAAAAGAGTTTTCCCGAAGTTTCATTGGGAAACTGTGACTAATAGAGTGCAACTATGTAAGGTATGAAGAAGATGCCCACCAGTAGCATTGAAAGACGATTGAGCAGTATAAGAAAATTGATTGAAGCTAGATATATAAGACATTGGATGCTAGCTCAGTGTTCATATAGAAACTTAAAGGACCTGAGTTCGACACGTGTTGGGGTTGTGTATGCTCACTACTGAAAAGTTTCCCACTGGGACAAAACAACTACTTAGTGCTTCTCGACTTTTGTTGATTGTGTTGTTAATATCTGTTAATGTTGTCAACCATAGAATAAGGTGAATCGGTAAATATTTCCGTTCAATTTTTCAGGCATGGTCAAGAACGCTATTTATGATTTACTCATATGTGTTTGGTAGAATTATTGACTAAGATAGGACGTTATGTCTTATACAGTTGAAAATACTAGTGATTTAATGCAACTCATAAATGTTTATTCGATAATTTGATCGACGTAATTAGGTTTATGATCATTAGCCTACAAAATAAAACAATATGCCTACCTAAAGAGTGGGTTGGAGAATGCTGATCGTCGGCCTATGTTCCATTGAAGGTAACAGGCTTAACGAAGAGAATAATCTCGAAACATTGTGTAAAGAAATATTTTTATTGTCTTTTTGTTCAATTCCCTTCTAAATTTCTTCGGAAACATAATAATAGACTTTGGAATGAAGGTGAGAAGAGCTGACGATATTCTACAAAGATAGTGAAAATACCTTGATATCAGTTTCTCACAAAAAATTGAAGGGAACTGTTTAGATTATTAATTTTAAAAATCCTTCTGTAAATACTCAAAACTGATTGACAGGTCTTACGTAATAGTAGTGATAATTATTCCAGGTATTTTTACATTAGATGATTGACAGACAATACTTAGCTATATACTTGAACATTTAGTTTATTGAGGCAAATATTCTAATAATAAATAAACCCAATAAAGTGAGAATTATAAACACTGATGTTGTATTCTGCAGTCCTACAGTAAGCCATAACTGACTATGAAAACAAGAATGAAACAAATCAGAAGGTTTAACTACCGATTCGAATCATGTTGTGCATAAGTCAACGGCATATATGAGATTATTCTTCTGACTCAGACAACGATATGCAGGCTGAGATCTTGAATAGATGAATAATTGGCTTTCTCTAATAGCTTTCTTACCGTTTAATGATGAAATAGTATGCGAATACAGCCACGTATAATATGTCTATAATCTCCTAGTCTATTATGAAACCAACAGTAGCAAATTTCAGTAATGCGTTTAAAACTTCCACTTTTTATTAACTAATACTTAACACGTATATAGGTAGTTACCTTATAATCGACTTTGTTGTAATCGTGTATTCAACTTGGATTAAAACCTTGGTTGAAGTTGAATTACAACTTTTGATCTATATATTTCCGATCACCAAAAACCAGGAAGCACTGAACAGATTGTGTAATGTTCCTAATGAGTGCACACTCATGACTTCAATGGTGAATGGTATTCTTCTGACCAGTTGTTAAACGACAAAAGTGTGACGCAGCAACTAGTGGTTATGATCCGTCGACCATCAGGTGTCCGCTAAAATCCCTTCTATCAATTAAACAAATATGTAGGACCGATATCCACAACCAACAGGTTTTCTATAGCACATGATACATAATCTATTGTGAGACCAACTTTCGTGTCTCTTGAGAAGTTGTAGGTCGATTACCATGACTCTTCATCTTCCATAAATGTTTCATATAGAATTCATTTAGTTTTCGATGAAATGGAAAAATGTTTCATCCTCATAAGCTTCTAATTGTTTGAGAAATTGTGCTTCAGTCGGAAATGTTACACCAACAAACATCTCTCTGTAAATTACATCAGCCTCATTATTTGAAATAGACATGAAAGGTTATAGTGATGATAATTAAAACAATGATAAAGACAGTGGAAAACCACTAATTTTATTGTTGTGTTAGTATAAAACTCATTGGTCGACTGAAATAATGACTTTAATTGGTGGGACAAAGATACAAATAAGTAGTTGATTTAGGGGGTGAATATGAATTATTTATCCAGTTACTTGACCCTTTTGACGTCATTATCGCTTTTAGCAAATTTAGATTTTACAAATCATTTGATTTTAATCATCCCATATACGTATGTCTATCATGTTTGTTGGCTGAACAACTGTATACAGGAGCGCTATGTATGTCAAAATCTTGTATTTTACTGCTTTTTTAGAATTTGGCTTATATATTTGATTATGTTTTCCCATGTAAACTGTTTAACTAACAAGGTTCCTGTTAACCTGATTGTTAAAATCTGAAAATATTGACTGAGGTCAATAGAAACTTTCTGTACAATAGTACTCAAATAATAAATTCAATATCGTAATTAGTTGTACATCATAAATTTTTAATAGGATTTCTACTTATAAACGTTGATATGACAACTTAAGTACCTACAAGTTATTCAATGACGCTAAAAAATTTTAAAAATAATATATGACTTAACAAAACAAGTGAGATTGTTTTCTCAATAAATGATCTGTCCAAAAGAAGTACACAGAAAACTAGATGGAAGTAATCAGTATGAGAAACCATATAATCACTTAACTGTTTTGTGAAGAAGTTGCGTGAAATCATTGGACTACAGTTTAATGAGTTAAGTACATTAAGTACTCTTCATATGGTAAATAGACCGCTCAGTAAGATATCTTCAAGAAATTATACCTGTATTTAACTGTCAGTGAATTTTTTATTAGATGCTGTGATAATATTACTAACAAGCTTCTAAAGGGAAGGTGATTTATTCTGGCGTTAAAACTGATGGGTTTTAAAAAAATTTCACTCTACAAAGATTTCCAGTGTAATGTTAGTATGGTCAAAATGAAACGTTGTGTAAAAGTCTGTAAATCATATGCTTTGGAAGCTCCAGTTTCATGGCAAACTTTAACATACGATAAAAGACTGGAGCAACACCCCAGCGATTAATTTAGATCATGGTTAATTTTTCTCAAGCCCCTTTATTAACTTACTTAGCAGACGATTGTTATTACTTTAAGCTCGGCTAGTTATCACTGATTTATTCGCCAATCGAAATACGAATTATTCGATCTTAGCACTGTGCCAAACCAATGACATTCGATCGGTATGAGCAGCCTAGCATCCTTATTGGTCCTTTGTTCTCCTAGCCCGTCCAGTATAGTTCAGAACGCCAATAACAGCTCCCACTATGCGAATCATTTATTTCAAACTTACTTGGTTTTTGTACCAACCAAACAGACATCACACCATTAAGTAGAAAATATTTTTTATACAAAATCAAGCCAAGATGTGGTTACAAACGTAGGAGACTGTAATCAATAAACCGGACATATAACAGTAAATTGCATATCAATAATCTATAGGTCAAAATGGAGCTCATACTGTGAGGAATATATATATATATGCGTAACCGAGTTACTGAACCTTATACGATATATATATATATCGGCCAAGAATTAAATAAATATTTTGACAATACAAGGAATCAGTAAGTTTAACAAACAACATTTTTTTTAGTAGAGTATTTCGAGCAGTTCTAAGCATACTTACAGGTAAATTTTTAAAAGATCAGATTTAACATTTGAAAAAAGTGATTCGGTATCTCAAGATGGTTTGTATTGTAAAATCTTTGCTTAAATGAGCTTAGGTATTAATCGAAGATAACTGATACGTTTCGGCAATAAAATATCTCAAAAAAAGAGATGAATAACATCTGCATATTTAAGTGTGATTAAATTTGGTTTCTGACTTCACCAGACATAAATACACTCAATCGGCAAGTCCTAATTAAAAAGTGTTCGTATTAGATTCATTTAGTAGTCGTCTCTCTTCGATTTCATCCTACTTGTTTTTTTCTTAATATTTATTGGATATGTTTTTGATATCTGTTATCACCATCTCATTCTTATGTTATCTATTTTAATTGATTTTTAATTATAGAAATCAGTTACTCGTTTGGTCAAATCATCTATTGTTTTAGAGGTGTGGTCTAAATGGATGAGTGGTTTACCGGATCATTTAATTGGACTTGTGAAAATTCCAACAGACCAACTGGTAAAACTTTATGCTCACTGCGATTTGATTACATCGCAAATATGGTGGCATTCAGATAATGTGATACAAAGTTTATTGAAAGCACAAGTGAGTTATTGATTTAATTGATGCAATTTTATTTAGTTATATATTGATAAAAACTCTATTCTGAAGTCCAACTGAACTTGACAAACCCTCTTATGTGTATTGGTGTATACACTGACTGGCTTAAAGATAAATCGTTCAAGTAACACCATTAGTAAAAGAAAATAGCTTGTGGAGCTAATCATATCGATATTGAGAGAAATATGTCATAAGTAGTATAAAATGATTTCGCTATGTTGCGAATCAGTTAAAGTTTTCAAATGTAAAATTCTGAGTCAAGACTCAATAATCCAATTTCATCATACTGGTCTCTGTAGACATGAAGATTTTAAGTTCGACTATATGTGTGAGTTCAGAAGCACGGTACTAGGGAAAGACGGAAAATCGGTTTCTTAGTTGGTGAATCTTCATCGCCCAGGAGTACGTAGGTTACTCGTGCTGAGCTACTGCCTACCTGGATGTGCGATATTGGATGGATGTAGTAGCAATAGAAGCGAACTACAGGCCAGACTAAAACATGATATCAGTTCATGAAGTCATCGGTTGTTAGATTGAACCATGTACAGACTGTGAGGTTAAAGTCTTCGCAGTTATTGTAACCATTGGTTGGAGCCGCTGTTTAATAAAATTTATGATCAGTTTCATGCATCCACTCTTTATTCCCCTGAGATCCTAGGGTTTAAAGTTATCATATACCTTTTTTGCACCCATGAATTCATTTTTCTAGAATTATATTATCTATCCCTAATTATTTCTACTACCACTTATATTCTTAATACTATTTCTACTACTTCAAAATTTATCCTTATAATTTCGTTTCGCTGCTCTGATGTGGCGAAATAGCTTCAACTCATTTAAATGTTCGCCAATTTTATATTGGTTATGTCGGACTGATTGATAGGATCATTGATCATTAACAATACAAAAATATGACGTAATGAACGAGAACACAGCTAAAGTGTGAAAAATCATACGTTCAGTTCTTCATTTACATATACTCCATCAGTTGTCTCAAACTTCAGTGTTCCTTCATTTCTATAACAATTACTCTTTGTTCCCGTTCTGTTCGATTCGATCTTCTCAACCTTCTGCCAAACACTCAGTTTCTGATTGATGTTATATAATACTTATTTCGACATAAGTAGCATACACCACAATGTAATCAAATGAAAAATTCTTATGAAGTATAGTTTGCTGATTTACTTCATTTACTGACGGATACTAATATTTTACGAAAGATAAAGCAAGTAGCAATACGCTTATCATAATCCCTAAAAGAAATAGTACGCCTGCCTGTATAGAAAAATATGTGATTCACTATGCCATAATCAATTAAAAATCTGTTTGACAATAAATAATTATTAAAATGTGCTAATAAGCCTGACGTAATTATTTAACTAGCTGGAGCTTATTCTATGACATACCTAGCAAAAAGTATCGAAAGAGTAATGAAATATCATTGCTAGAAAAGATTTTAAATAAAGATGATACAAAGTAGTAATTGTTTTTGAAATATTTCACTGGAGAACGCTTATCATCTCATACACTAACTTACCTGGTTGCCTAACTATTAACTTACTTACGCTTGTTCCCTTTTCATGAAGCATATGCCCCTGGCTAGGATTCTTCAACCAATTCTATTCTATTTTCTCCGTCTACAACCCTTCTAGGGTCACCGCCGGTTACAAGCTCGGGTAAAGAAGAGGTGCTATCGATGAGGTTGGCAACTCCATCCTGTAGGAATGAACCTTGCTTAAAGAACGCTGACCAGAAAAAAACTACTTCATTCCTAAGTAACTGCAAATACTTGTGGATTTAATTGGTGTATTGTTCCTGTAAATGAATATAATCAAGCATTTTGCATCAGATGATATCGTTATAAATACAGGGCTGTTTAAATTTAGTTGACATATTATCATGGAAAATTTTAGTTCCAGTATAACTCATTAGAATATAGAATTTGAGAAAACTGTTATTTTTCTGGCTTAGAACTCCTAACCATTTCATACACTGTCAATCCTATATAGAATTGAATGTTTCGTTGACCTTAGTTAAAAATACATTACAAATTCAACTATAAACTGAATGAGTTAGGGCGAAATGTTAAACTTTCACTTAGTCACTGATTGATAACAAATTCAAGACTGGTTATTTCCACTTTGATCTCATATTGTTGTCGGAATGTTTACACTGTTCAAAAGTTTATAAATAAAAAACTACACAATGTCCCTCAATGCTTTTCTAAATTTTCACCAACTTTCAATTGGTTCCAATTGTCAGTACAGCGTTTCCGTACACGAGAACACATATACGTGTATTTGTCAAATGATTGTCTTTACTTTCACGCCTGTAAATGTTTCTAATTCGTTTTTTTGAAATGTGGATTATTTGAGTCCTCGACACGCTGATTGTTTCAATTATTCGATTCATTATCATTTATAATCAAATATTACGTTTGTGAATTATATATAATTGAAACAAAAACTACAAAACGTGTAATCTGACATATTTTCTTGCATGCATACCTACTTTTACCTACAAGCATCCAATGATTCCTGTGGACACATGGTTGCCAATAATTGATCCATTCTCTGGTTGTGAAAATGGTCAAATTCATGTTCTACTCGCTGTTGGTACACAAGAACAAATCGATAATTTATTAACACTACAAAATTTGAAATGTACTATTGATGCAGATAACAATATTATTACGAATACAGCAGATCAAGGTAGAAAAAGTGGTATTATTGAATGCAAAGACATTAAGAGGGATAATTCATGTGTAGATTTAACAGGTACGATAAATTCCTTTAAATACTTAAGAGTACCAGCATTATTGTGTATTTTTATAATAACTATGAAAGTGGAATGATATATCATCACATTTAAACAATTGTCAAACAAATTAATTGAGTAAATGCACTTTTAACCAAGTCAAAATTGAATAACATACACCTTCCATAAAAATATTTTGTGAACAATGAAAGAAATTCGGATCTTCAAACAAAAAGGGTTGTAACAAAATAGTGAAATACAAAAAACAGATGTTAACCAACAAACTCTTAAAACTCTCCTTTTCGACAGTTTAACTAGAGCAAAGAAATGGTCGGTATCGGCTACAATAATAACTATTAAACCGAAGTACAATATGTGAATTGAGTAAACGTTTGTTAGAATTTCTGAAGAACTATTGATTACAGAGAATATATATGACCGAATGACGGTTTGTTGAATAATCCTATTCGTCCAACATTTAATAAAATTCGATGTTATGTTTACTACACATCTTTTAATCTGTTCTCACTGGCTGCTATTCCAACAGAATATCAAACACTGATATCTGTTAAGCATAGATGGATAGTGGCTAGCAGTGGAATCCAGGACGCGCGTTTCGTCCTATTTGGGACTCGTTAGCTGAATGTACCTGCATCTCAGAGTTGATGTTCACTCTGGGACTCGAACCCAGTACCCTCGCTTCAAACGCCATCGCGTTATCCACTCGGCCACTGAGTCCTGATAGCCACTTGCTTGTGCGATGGGGTGAAGTTTGAATTCACTTAGTATTGTTTGTTTGGATCTTCCCATCGATGTGTTTAGAGACTGACCAGTTGCAGTCCTAAACACATCGATGGGAAGATCCAAACAAACAATACTAACTGATATCTGTTGTTTTCTGAAGTAGCAGGTTGGATATTGTACTACACTAGGTTGGCCATTTGATCGAATCACTTGATGAGAGAGTCGACTAGTTACGAATTTGTTTATGGATATCTGGTGAATAGGGTAATTTTCAACGAATAACACATTTACCACAGATAAATTCTAGATTTTATTGATGCAATTCAGCTGATCTATTCCCGAATAGGTAATCATAGAATGCAGACACTAATCTGATGTATGTTGTATTATTAAGAGTGTAACTTTACAGGTTTATATACCATAATTAAATGACTACAACACGGCATACATAAGAAATTCTAATAGTCATACACTCTAGTCGTTTGTTATATAAAACGTAGCTAGATGTGAATAATTAATTATTTATATGGACTTTTATTATTCAATTTACTTGTTATTTTGATTGAGACTACTTATAATTCAGCATTCGGTAACAATTTTCGTAGATTCATTTAACATTTGTTCAATTGCTTCAGCTTCCATACTTTGTGATCCTTGTATCTGTTTCAACTGTTGTTTACTATTTGGATTTCGAATACACCTCCCATATGTTTTGTAATTAATATCTGTTAAAGTTTTACATGAAACTCTTTTAATTTAATTGTATATTGAAGTGATGAACCTCAATAGACACCTAATGAATTGGATTTTGTAAATATATTACATTTATTGTCGTAATAATGGCACCAAATTTTCTACAAAATCTCTTGTTTCGAGATTTTCATACATACCTAAGTTATCTAGTCAGAAGCTTCGACATAAATGTAGCATAGTATGATATATTTTTCTGTTTACGACTTATCTTTCAATCTTGAAAAGAAGGGGGAAAACTTCACATAATTTAGTAATATATGGTAACAAATCATGTTACAATAAAATATTCCGTGTGTATTATTCATGTTAAGAGATTTATTACAATTGTTGTCAAGCCAGATATGTGCGAATTAGTGTTAAGTTCACTGGAGAGTTCAAGGCCGAACTATTTAGTAACGTGGAAAATCCAGTATCAAAACAACAGATTTGTTAATAAAACATAATCAACGTACTATTACAAGCCTTAATTCGTGAATTATATAAGGCATTTATATAAATGCCATGAGAAATCTCACGTAATAACCAAGAGACGGAAAGCTGTAAGCTCAAAAAAAGCAGTTGACAGTGACAAGTTAAGAAAATTAGTGAATTATATATTATAGTACATACGAAGAAACCGATTAAGAAAGAAATATTGTTAAAAAGAACAAACAGAATTAACAGGTCTCTTAGTAATTATTATACTCAATTATCAACCATCGAACCATAGGTTCAAACCTTTGTCCCATGAGTCTCGGTTTGAGCGGCTGAGCATTGATAACCGCTTCTCTCATGGTAACGCTAAATGGCTGAATGCCGATTAGAATTATATTTTTTGAAATATGCGGTATTTTACCATACTTTTGTTTTATAAATACTATCAATCCGTCTATTTCTTTCTATTTTTGAAAATAATTATTCATATCTACTTACTAGTTGAGCATAGAATCGGTATAACCTTTGAACAGTTGTTTGATTTCGATCCACACATCCCACTTCAATATGATTCAAATTATAATGGAGCTGTACCATGGGGTGATTTAGATTGTTATGTTCAATATTTTTTTCCCACTGGTAAGTTAAATGGTCATATTCAATAATCGTCATGTTGCTTCCACTCTTCGTTTTTCTGGAATTAAAAATTCTGAGAAGCAGTAACTAGTGGAGTTCAACCAGGTCTGTTGGGAGATATCAAATCATTGATGACATTGGTGAATGGTTGCTCAATTTCGTGGGTTGGTTGAAGTTAGACATTAACACCGTCAGATGCCGGCTCAGTGGTCTATCGGATAAGTGCTCTGGCGCGAGACTAGTAGGTCCTCGGTTCGGATCTCGCGAGGCAGGATCGTGGACGCGCACTGCTGAGGAGTCCCATAATAGGACGAAACGGCCGTCCAGTGTTTCCAGGTTTCCCATGGTGGTCTAACTTCAATTGACTCATGATCTCAACTCTATAAAAATTAAAAATTTCTTAATTGTTATACTTTTTGTAAATAGTACCAATGTCAATGAAAGTATTAAGTTAAAATGATTCTGATATAATTAAAGCATTTATAGGAATTCGTTCAGTTGAAAATTAGTAACTTTCCTAAACTGTGTGTGATAATCTGTCATTATTATATTAAATTGGAATATGTCAACATGAACAAAGATACTCAAAATTTGACTGTTTAACCAAGAATCATGTATCTGCAATAACAACTTATGTCGTTATTACAACAAATTGTAAATAAACAATTTACAGTATAATATAATCTTACGTGACTTATAAGGATTTTTCTATCTACCCATGCTAGAAACTTACGGTTAACTTTGATGAATATATTAGAACCACTAAGAATCAGAGAATGTTTCACAGTTGTTTGATATTAGCTTACAACTATTTTTCAAATGTGCACATCTATCAGCTCTCATGGAATCGAGTCCAAAACTTTCAAGTTGCGTTTTGAGCACGATCTTATGATTGATCCGCTTAGATGACATTTAGTGAAACTTGAAGGTTACGTGCTAGTTTGTGGATGTACATTATCTAGATGTCTAATGTTATCTTAAATTTAAAAAAAAATTAAATCAACCAAATAAAACTGCATTATATTTTGTTAAAATTTTCCTTTTTCTAGATACAAAAGCTAAATGTTTAGCTAGCACTCGTACCACTACTCAAATGCTTAGTAAGCCGTCTATGATAACTAATCATACTATTCAAGAAAAAATTGCGAAACATATCTCCTGTGAATTCATATCTGCGAATTCATTGAGTAAAAAAGAAAATGCATCATCATCTAGGATAAAATCACCACCATCCTCTTCATCATCATATTGGAGCCACACACATAGACTGTGTACAAATATACAAATAACTTCAGAATCACAGAATAAGATGGATTTAATCAGGTCAAAAATTGAAACGGAATTTATTCAGTGGATTTTAGATATGTTGACTCGTGCAGATTTTGAAAGTAGTGAGTTATTTTTCTTGAAATATTTCAACAGTTATTGTCTTGTTTTCTTTAAATTCTTACAACTATATTACTTGTAGAAAGATAGAACGATACATTTAATTCTTCGGTCTTACACCAAGAATTAGTTAGCGTATTTTAGCAAAGTTGTTTTCTACTGAATAGGGTTGCTGACTCCCATGTTCAACCCTTCTCCTTTAACCGGGTTGAAACCGGTAGTAACCCTGGAAGAGCTACAAGCGGATCCATGGAAGACAGCTGACAGATTCACTTCAAAGGACCACCGGTGTCAGAAAAGACTGCTTACTTTTGCCCTTTCTCTTTCTTCTGGTGGTTGACTGGATTATGAAGATCACCTCTAGATATCAGAGGATGCACGGAATATAATGGACAGCTTGGATGCAACTGGACGATTCGGACCTCTCATATGGACTGGCACTTCTATTCCATACACATATACAGATGCAGCTGAAGACAGCCAGTGTACAGCAGCCACTGTATGGAGATGTATTTGTTATTTAGACTTTATTTGGTTATTAAATAAGATATGGACTACTGCTTATCAAAATAAATTAAAATTTCCATGTATCAAATACATTAACATTTATATGTTTAAATTTTGTTTCCATTGTTAGATAAATTAAATTTGAAACGAGGTTTATTAATTGAACTTTGGTTACGTATCTATTCACCAAATCTACATGATTGTTTAGCTGCGAAAGGATATATTCCTGAAGAATTATTATGCAAATTAATTAGTAAAAATCAATCATTAAAATCTGGAGACGACAAAGAGGATGATCGAAATGATGAACATAATCATCAATCAATAAGATTTTGTATTGATCTGTATGATGTGAACAGTAGCAGTGGATGTTTAAATGGGAGATTACAAATTAGTATGGATTATTGGTATGTTCAGTAAGAAAGTATAAATACATAGTTTATTTCGGTTTACTTTAGTAATGCTCGTTCCGATCATGCTAACTATACTGAAGTAATCACCAAACTCGCTTATCATGACTACTGAGTCAAACTGTAACTGACATACGGTGTTGATTGCACATGAGTATAGTGCCATTAGTAAGATATCTGTTATGAGTAACCGGTGTACTGAACAATGCTGAGGCTGAATATTTAAAACCCTAAATATCACACACATTTCTTTGTCCTAAGAATATACTTACGGTTTTACAAAGTTTGATGGAACTTTATAGTTAATGAATTGAATAAAAACAACTACTCCTACAGTGGTCGTGTGTGATGAGCGTCATTCAGTTATTTCTTGAGTTAGATTATTTCGAAGTCAAAAAAAGTCACCAGAGTTTTTCAGGTTCTTCAACAAGAAATTTGCATTCACGGTATCAACAGGTTGGTTTTCTTCGTGGATTGACATTGACCGGGTAAACAAAGAGCCCTAGATATCTGTTTCATCCACAAATAAGACTTCGAATGACTTCTAACGAGAATTTCGCGACTAGTGAAATTCAACTATATGTGAAGTGTTACAGACTGAATAATGTTGCACTGTTTAACGAATGAGCTCAGTTACTTTCTTCGCTTTCATGTTGATGTGTTGGAAGTACCTTGCAAGAAGCTCTGTTTAACATGTGACCATACATATTCATCAACACTACATTTTCGCATTCTTGAGGAAAATAATGGTCCCTATGTAGTTCGAAATTCCGTATGAGATGGTTTTCGAACTCGGTATCTAAAAGTTAACATAAAGTGAATGAATCTACGCTATTAAGGTCGATTCTGAGCCATGTCACCCAACGTTTCCAACTATGGACTATGGTATTTAAGAAGACCTCAATGTCGTAGTCTACATCTACCAAAACAGATTGATGCCACGTGTTTGTTTGTAGGCCCCTATTTTTCTGTCGGCTTACTCTTACTCCACCCAACATCGGCAGTGTACGTCCTAAACACAGTCGATAAAAATTGATTACGTTATTAGTTGACTTGTCATCCTAATCTAGTCTTCTGAGTCCAATCTCAGGTTAGTCCACTCGATGGTTTCAGCATCCCACAAAAATACTTCGAAGTCACCTATGATAAAATATTAGTAATCTACGAGTGTCCTATACTATCACAGTCAGCCACCAAATAAAACAAAACAAACGTCTGTGCAGTATACTAGTCCTTTGGTTGAGAGACAGAGATCTCGTCTATACCACATGTGACGCAAGTTGGGTTTTCTGAACCCGTGTCAAGATCTCATGAGACACCCACACAACTGAGCTTATAAGACTTCCTGATGGTCAATATACTCAACTACTTCACTCGCTTATGACCAATCTAGATTATAACTTAAACCAAAAGCAAAAGTCTTACTAAGAGGAAGAGTAACTCATTCTTAACATGCTTACGTTGTTGCACATGACCGATACCAGTTTTACCTTTGTATCTACATATATATCCTTTTTTTCAGTTATAACATCATCAACCGTAGTTCTACAAAATTTGATAACACATTAACCAAATCAATAACAACACAACCTACAACTTTGTCTAACAAACAATCTATTCTCATTTCAACTTCTTCAAATCAACCCATTCATAATTCAATATTAATTCTACCAAGTCAAACACAATTTAATCATCATATTCAAATATGTTTAAATGGAATAAGTGGAATGAAATTCTCAATCATGAAGCATCTTAATGAAATCTCCTATACAAATAGAATATTTCATGCACGTTTACATTGTTTATTATTAATACCAAATGATAAAAGATATTCCCATTCACTAATGAATGAATTATATCATATTCATTTAATTAAATCTACTATTAGTTCACCAATATATAATACACATTATACAATGGAATTAAATTGTAAATTAGATATACAATTACCTACTTCATGGCTTATTGCATATCAACAATATAATAATCAATCTAATTTAATAAATAATCAAAATAGAAATAATTATGAAATTACATTATTAGAAGCTATTTTAAATGGTGATCAATATCAAATGGAACAATATAGAAGACCAATAATAAAACCATGTATTATAATACAAGTTGATATATGGTTACATAATAATATGTCAGAGAAATTCAATGAATTTAATCATAAAAATATAAAATATTGGGGTAAGATTATTTAATGTTTAAACATTGTAAAAATTAAAGTGTAGTCCCCAATTTTGATGTCACATAAGACAATGAGTAAACACTACTGTGTACTTCTACAAACTCATCAGAAATAAACTGTTCAGGTGACACCGATCCCTAGTAAAAACTACCTTCAAAAAATTGAACATTCTCCGTAATTCCCACCTACCTTAAACAGAGTATGAGGAGATTTTTAAATCTCACTGAAATCTTGAACTCATTTGAGTTATACAACCATTATAAACCTGGAAGCACTGGACGGCCGTTTTATCCTACTGTTGCAGATTCAGAATATATGTAGTTTTGCTATGATTATAATGAAAAAAATGTAACCCTGAAGCAGTCCTCGGGTATGATGAGACTTTCAAATGAATCGTTCTGAGATTATATATTAACTTCTAGATAGAAAAATAGTAAGCTGACTGATTATTAGACCGGAAAAGCACATCGTTTTGGGTCGCCTTGCTTTGTTTCTGTAGCTAACTAGCTCGGAAGATAATTATGAAACTGAGCCATCCGTTATTTAATGTACTCTGATCATTTAAATAGAATTAAGATGGAAAAAGTCCTGCAAGTGAACGTTAGACCATAAAATCAGTCCACATAATCTCTAAGTCTCGTAAACTGGTGTGGCGTTCATACAATATTAGTTGATAAACGTCGAATATATCGAGCGAATATAGCCTGAATTGAAGAACATTCACTTAACATCAGCGTCCTATGAATTTTAATCATTGAATACTCTTTATTTTTTCGTTGCTCTGTCTTAGCAAGCTTTTTTTTTAATATTGGTATTTCTGTGTTTATTAGTAGATCCTTTTATGGTATTACCACGGGTTGTTAACTTTCTTTACGTTATCTGTCCTTATTCGCTTGCCAATTCTTTTTTGTGCATTGTTTTATACTACTTGCTCATATTCAGTAAACAGTTGTATTCCTAGCAATTTTTACGCGAATGTTGCAACGCAAGTTTATTGTGTTACATCATCAAGTATTTATATATGTTTATAACATATATTGTATTTATCATTATAATTACTTCCTCTCAATCCCAGTAATAGTTATTCTTAGTTCTGTATGCTCGTTTGTCCTCTGGCTCAACGGTACTTTTTTCATATTTGTTTACTCTTGGTTTCGTTTTTGCTTGTTTATAGACTGTTATCAAGATTAGAAACAGCTGTCATTTACACTATCGTATGTCATAATTATTCTTCATGTTACTATTTTAGATAGCCCTTTTTCAGACTTAGAGACGCGCTGAGCGCTACAGATACCTCACGAGTTGAGGTTTGCAACTAATTTATGTCTATTTTCTCAATAAAGAACTGCTTCTTAGACAAATTGATATTTTATGAACTTCGGTTTCGTGTGTGTAGTTAGACACTTTGATAAATTTAACATGCACTTTGTCAATTAATACACTTTGAATTCAGTTCTACGTCTTCGTTGTTCATCGCTTCTCATATTTTGTTTACATTACTTTCAATAACAATATATGAAACCCAACCATCTGTTATGTTATTAGCTTAGTAATGCTGGTTATAGCATGTTTTTATGTAAAACGTTGAATGTTTAACTGACCTTTCTATATTTTTGGCCGATCGATTGCATTCATTTGATGTAAAAATTAAATTGTAGTCCATAATTTTGATGCCACATAAGACAATGAATAAACAATACTGTGTACTTCTACAAACTCATCAGAAATAAACTGTTCAGGTGACACAGATGCCTAGTAAAAACTACCTTCAAAAAATTGAACATTCTCCGTAATCCCCACCTACCTTAAACAGAATATCTCATCATTGGTAAATTATGTTTTTTTAAATAAATTGTAGGATTCGATGCCTATCGGTATTGCTTTAACGTAATAAACATCTATGTCCTTTGATATTGAAATAATCATCCAAATTTGTTCAGCTTACTTCGTGTGTCAATATCTAACTGAATAGATGTCGCTTTTTGAAACCTTGTGTTTGGTCAATCAGTCACAAGCAACCTAGATTGTGCATCAAATCATGTTGTCACACCGCCATAATACATTGAGATGAAAATATGAAGATGTCATATTAATGGAAATGGTAAAACTATGAATTGCCGTAGAAAACATTAGGGATAGCCAATATAATTGGGTAGGAACGAATGGGTATAAGGGACACAAAATATAAGACTATTCTGAGACTCAAGATTTAAGAGAAGACAGAGAAAATTTATCTGCCGTTTCACATTAAATTTAACCATTTAATCTGCAGCGAACTACATGGCTCAGTTCAACAGTTCACCATTACTTTATTTGATATAGTTGTATAGTATTTTCCCAGACCATTGAACATGTAATATTCATAACTATATTAAGATAAAATCATCTAACATAATAGTAAAAATTTGAATAGTTGAATGCCAAAATACCCAGAAAAGACATATAGACTTTTATTATTAGCAGCATGGGTTGTGGAGATTGTTAAATCTCGCTGAAATCACGAACTCATTTAAGTTATGCAACCATTAAAGACCTGAAAGCACTAAACAACCGTTTGATCCTACTGTGGCCACTCAATTATGCACATCCACGACTCTGAAGCTGAGAATCAAACCCAGGACCTTCATTGCCTCGCGCGAAAGCTTGAATTCTAAACCACTGATCGAAAACCCCAGGGTTTGGAGGTTTAACTTCAATCAATCCACGATATTACCCGGCCATCTTACATTTGTTTTCTGTGGATACCTTCCTCACATCCGACACGGGTTATTATTATTATTGTTTATTATTATCATCGTGATTATTTATGATCAAAATCTTTTTGGTTTTAGTTTAATTCCCAGTTTAATAGTTGTTTGTTCAATTGCTTTTTCTGTTCAGGTCTACAATATACTAATTTTGAACAACAGTCAAATGAAAATATTAATTCAATCATTAATCCTGGTAAAGAATATCAACTGATTAGTAGCTGTCGTGTTCCTTTATCTGCACTTATTTTCTCTTCACATGGTAATTTGCCATCACGTTGGTATCCATTAACATCATTTATTAACGTTGATGATGATATTGGTAAATATGGTGACGATAATTCATTGATTTCTTGGCAAAGTAAATTTAGTGGAGCTATCCAACTCAGTATGCGTTTGATTGATCCGCATTTGATTAAAATAGTTCCATGCAATAATTTAACTACTACTATTGATAATAATAACAATAATGCAATGAATAATAATCATAGTCCATCTCTAATTAATTGCTTACATGATTGGAATATTCTATTTAATGTTGAAAAATTAGAAAATGGACAAAATTCTATTGTAGCATTTAAAAATGAATTTGAATTATGGAAAGATGGTCTAGGTAAGTAGAGACATTTCATTTTTAACTCTTTGATAATAATAATAATAATGATTCTTATTATCAGAAGGGGTTTTGTAGAGATTTAGTATTTTCTTAGTTGTAAGCGTCAGTCAATCGAAGCTAGACCACCACGGAAAACCTGGAATCACTGGACAGCCGTTTCGTTCTATTGTGAGACTCTTGATGAGGTTTTCCTTGGTGGTCTAGCTTCAATTGACTCACGCTTGCAACCATGAAAATAATGATTCTATTTTTTTTAAAAGAAACAATACTTTTTTATTGTTACCTACTTTCAATTATAACATAGTTAAGACAAGTGAAATTAATATTAGAAATACTTTAGAACTCAAATATCAATGAAATTATGTATTGATTCCAGTTGAAACTCCAACAAGTCTAGAACAAGTGCATTTAAAAGACTACTTGAAATACAATACTACTAATATAAAATATAAGATGATAAATAATAAAAGAATAATCTTCAATTGTGATATATATATTTAATAAGGGAATTCACTTAATGTCCAAACCAGAATTATATAGTGGTTTTCAGAGAAATCAGTATGGATTGATCAATGACCATATATTCAATAGTTAGAGTAAAGCAATTATATGATAACAGAAAGTTATCTTTACATCAAACTCATAATATATATCAAAAGTAACTAGAATTTATTAAGATATCTAGATACGTTTATTGGCTTCTAACTCTATATAACACTAGAAACAATGTACAATACAATCTTTAATTATTGCTTAGCTTCATGATTAACATTGATCAGTAACATAGGGTTGGATAATATAATGTCTATTATAAATCTATCATTTAACTTTAATCTAATCAGATTTATCATATATGTACGTATAGGTTTGGTGGGAGAAATGGTCACCAGACTAGATATCAGTTTTTCTTTCAAGTTTATTGTCAATAAATTATTTAGTACTAATCATTCAATCATTTCCCAATTATTACTCTAGAGGGTTTACTTAAACTAAATTGTCGAATTTTTAAAGTTTAAACCACGAACTGACCTGGAAACCAGGAAATACTGAGTGGTTGTCTTGTCAAACACAAAACCTTTAGACCACTGGGACGGTATTCAAATGCTCACATATCTAAATTCTATCTTAACACAATATTATGCAGTTATCTTCCAATCTAATTGGTGAGTAACTGACTCACCTGTTGTGGTTAGACTCGATTGGTCAAAGTTCCTAACTAGGGCTCTGAGAATCACCTCTCGAAGTCAGATATTAGTAAGGGCACGATTGCCGCTGTATTTTGACTAGGAATTTATATCAGTCATAGAAGAGATGCAGTCTGTTTATATTCCTACGGTAAGAATGAAGCAATTCATATTTGTTGTTGATTCATTCATTCTGCTAAAATCAATCTATTTATTGTATTTTATTGCTATATTGTTCACATCAACTTTATGTTTTTCCTCTATAGATGAATATGGCTGTCAGTATAAACATTTCACAATCTATCTTAATTTTGCATATCTTCCAAAAATTAAACAATTATTAAACGATACTATTGATTTCAATAATCCATTACCTAGAAATTATACAATAGAAAATAATTTCAAAGCCTACACATTTGTTCGTTTTCAATTTCCCAATTATGGTACACAAATGTCTCAGTTAATTTTCCTGCCAAATGATGATGATCATACATCAGATAGACAATCTACTATTGTTGAAGTAAGTATTTGGAGTAAGCTAATAAAAATCGGTAATATATAGGTAATATGTGAAGTTCATATTACTGACAAAGATGATTGATCAGTTATGAAAGTGATTTGGAATGTTCTTAGAGGTGGGCTGATGGTTGAAACTTCCAGGTTAAACATACTGTGGACGATTACTTCTTCTTAGGACACCTGAAAATAAAATTTGATTAGTGATGCTCTTGTTGACCAGGGAACTTTTATCCGCGATAACCAATGGACAACTGTTTGCAGCCGGTCACTTATGACCTTATGAATAACGTTTGATATGTCTGGCTCCTTACTTTAAACAGATTTATCTCTGGAAAGCGAAAACTGTAAGGGTATGCAAGATTTGCAACATTTACTAATCCTTTCCTTCCGTTGTAAGATTTTAGCATCTCTTCAGGTTCTTGTTGTCTGAGGCAAATATTTTACTGTCATTAAACGTCACTGTACTTAGAGGTAAGATTTCGTCTTCGGACCTTAGGTTGATGCTTCTAGTTTTACCCTCTTTAATAGACCTACTTGGCATGTTAGGACCTAAAAGAGTGAATCTTCCGGCCAGTATAGGTCATTTTGGTTACTACGATAAGCAATCTCAACTACAACATAGAGGTTGCAGCTACGGTCGGGAACGGGAACTGATGAAACTCAATTACTGAGGACAATTTCATGTACTACTCGTTAAACCATACTTTTTATGTATGACATGTAATAATACAACACTGTTCATCAATGCAAACAGAGAATACAGTAAGTGGTGTTTGAACCTGCTATGTAAAAATTTAAAGTTGAGTGCTTTATCCACTAAAGTCCACATCCTCATTAATAATGACTAATAGTAGTAATCCATCAAAATACATCTTTCATTGGCAGAAACCTCTCAAATAATAATGTTTGAAGATAAATAATTTTGATTGAAAAAATTTCTTGAAAATTAATGGAAATCTACTTAATTGACATTCAGTTATATAGCCGATTTTACATGTCGACTTTAAAATTTCTGATTCTTTTTTTCAAGTCTTTGACATTTGTCAAGTTTCTTTGTTTAAAACAAACTTTTACAAGTCAAGAATTAAGTTGAATCTGTTCTGATCTACAAAAGTACTAGGTTATTATAAGATGATTTGTAGATTGTTGAATATGAAGTTTTATATCATGAAGTGACTTAAGTTAGAAACCTGTTTAAAAAACACAAAGCACTGGATATCTGTTCCATCATAGAGAGTGGGACTCTTTAACAATGTATATCTATAATCCTACCAGAAATTAAACTCAAAACTTTCAGACTTTACAGCAAGCTATTGATCTTTAGATCACCGAGTTGCGATAGTTTACATTTTGCTGAAATACTTTTTTGATATTACTAATAGTTTTAATTTTTTAATATAATTAGTTAACCATAAATAAATAAATATATCTGTAGTATTCCAGTGAGTAGAAAAATTATTTTTCTCTGAAGAAGTGGCTTACAATGTGTCACGAAACATCAGAAAATTTAATTTTCCTAGTCATTGGGATATCACAAACATATTAATCTATTTATCACAATCTACCTAATGCTCAGTTTTTTTCGAAATTACCAAATTAAACCTTGGTAATGATACTTAAAAACTAATTAGTTAACCAGTTCTGTTTTCATTTTAAATCAGATTGATTTGATTATCATTTTTCATGAGATAGTTATTCATTCTGTCAACGTATTCATTTTATTATTTTGTCAATCTATTAAGATTTAATGACTGAACAAAAATTGGAATTCAGCAAGTTTTATTAAATCCACTTGTTGCGACTCAGACTTTCAACCATTATCATCCCTCACTCATGACAAAGTTAAAATGAAACTACCTCAACTATGTCTGCTATGAATGGTAGAAGTTTTCTTCCCCTTAAATAGAGGCTATATATACTATTATTGACAGGGAGTATACAATAAAGGTAGCTTTTAACATATAATGTGGTTGAAGCCAGGAAGCAACCTAAACCTAACTTTGGTAATCGTTGGCACCAAGTAGCACTATGTATTTACAATATTTAGGCAACTGATTCACGTTTCCATCATCATCAGCATCTGATGTCACAATTAGAGACGTTGACACCAAGCTTCCGCATTTGCAACTAGTCTGTATTTGAATTGAGATAATTAAACGTTAGAATGACTCAGACGCTTATTAATTCTCCAGATTTTGAAATTATATGGTTTGTGGTTTGATCTTAAGATAGTTTTTTATCAAGCACTGAGGCCCACTGAAAAATCCTCCAAGTTTCATTCCTATGTATAGTCCTTGTTTAATGGTCTTCAATAATTCTTCGGTTTATATCTGAATCATAAGCGCTCACTGCAAAGCCCGAAGATCCTAGATTTGATTTACAATGGGGTCGTAGATGTTCACTGCTAAAGAGTTCCACGCTAAGACAAAATAATCGCTGTTTTTCTCTGGTTTTACAACGAAAGTTCGGCTAGGATATAAAGACTATAAATTCTGTCTCTACTGTGTACCTCCTTCAAATTTTTCTCTCAACTTATTGGTTCTGTAGCTGGTATTGAATAGTAATGAGAAAATACTTTCATAAAATCACTTATTCAATTTTGTCCATTCCTATTTTTTATCCATTTCATCAGTTCAAAGAATATAAAGAATTTGTTATCCCAGTCAGTGCAGAGTTACGAAATTTCTTGGCCGAATCTACACTAGAATTTCAAGTATGGATTATTTGGACAGATGAAAATTTAAAAGAATTAGACAAGAGTAATAATAATTACGAAACTGGACTACAAAAGTTTATCATCGATGAACTGAACAATAAAGAATATCTAAAAAGACATCAGTAAGGCACGATACAAATATTGTGATGTTAAGTAATACTGATACGATTTCAGTTTACCTTATTTATGCAACAGTCTTATTAAATAACTTCTTGTAATATAGTCGTTTAGTCCATTCATAGTTCACTTCACCGGAACAAACTACTCGAGTTGGAATAAATCTAAATATGATACACCAAAATAATGTGATAAGGAACAACTCAGTCTGGTACTAATCGTTTTTCCTGAGGTCGATTAATGTCAAAAGACTGTCATGGTTTCTCGAAAAATTTCTACACGAAAATATGAAATTAACAACTGGTTCTACAATGAATAATAATTAGCTTAGGTTAAGAGACTCTCATTCAATGTAATAAACTTAGCAATAGCAGTCAGCTCTCAGGGCAACAAAATAAATGAATGACTAGTTCAGTGTGACTGTACAAATATAAAAATATATATTCTAGTATGAAAGCCTTTTGTTTTATGATTATTCAATGAAATACATTGGAGAAATTGTTTACTAAAGTTCTAGGTACTTATGAGTAGTATAAATTTAACAAACGATTCCTACACTCATTTATAATGTTCAGTGTTTACGTACCTGGCGTTCAAGCGCCGTTATTTGTGCTCGTTTTAAGTGATACTACTCTTGGCATTTCAAGCCGAAGTAGCTGTGACCTAGCTCGAAATCTTTTATTCGGATGATTGAAATTCGAATGTTCTAATCATTGAACCACCTCTCCGTCATATAAAATTACTCGTAGACAAAATGTACATATAGCTGACTGTTTTTTATCCCTTTAATAATAAGTAGTCAATGAATCAGTTGTCTTATCTTGTAAATATAGTTATTTCAGATAGTAACATTAGTTCATTTCATTTTCTTCTTTATTTATAAAATTATTACTAGTCTAAATATGTTAAATATTTTGATTGTATTGTGTTCTGTAAGCTGTATTGCTTAAGTTTGATGCTTTCATTATAGTTCTGGATAAACTTGTCAGCACTTACATTCTATATCTGAATGTTTAAGACTTGTTTTAAACCATATCACCTAAAATTCCTGTTGTGAATAAAGATTTCACAACTGAACAGGTTTCAGATCACTAAAGTTAATGAATCCGGTACTGATCGATTATTAATATTCAGTAATATAATATGACTGAATTTCAGCTGTTCATGGGACCGAATTCTTAGCATAAGCTTTCAACTGAACAGATAGCAGATGGTAGGACAGTTGTCCAGAAGAATAGGGTTTTCTATTTAGTAAAATAAAGCGCTTTTACAAGAATATTAAACATTAAATAATTATAAATTCGTTTAGTATTATTATTATTATTAATGGCTTTATTCAATATTATATTGTTTGTTTGAATCTTCTCATCGATGTGTTAGGACTGCAACTGGTCAGTCTCTAATTGGCATATGTGCATACTGTGCGTATTGCCTGGATATAGCCTTAATTCACAAGCATTGTAAGCAGAGATGGATAGTGGCTAGTAGTGGAATCCAGGACGCGCGTTTCGTCCTATTTGGGACTCGTCAGCTGGATGTACCTGCTGACGAGTCCCAAATAGGACGAAACGCGCGTCCTGGATTCCACTGCTAGCCACTATCCATCTCTGTTTTTAAAATGATTATGATATAAAGCTATTTAAAACATGAATGTTTAGCAAAGACGAATATTCTAGGCTACCATAGTGTCAATAAGATAAAAACCTAATCATCAATCGTTATTCCTGCCCAATTTAGGAGTTTTTAACCATATATTACAAACATCTTGTTCGGCCTTTTAATGTGTAATATAAATTTATCGATATGACTTATTCTAACGGTCAATGACTTAATGAACTGATGTATTGTTTAATATTGGCCTTCTGTAATCCTTCTCCAACCTACTCTTATGGATTACTCGATTGATTTCTTATTAGTATTCAGATTCACAAGTCTACTAACTGCAATTTATTTACTTTTGTACATTGACTGGTCATTGAATAGTAACCAGTCCCATATTTGTTAAGTCCTTTGTACTAATCGAACTCTTTCGATAGATTTACGATTTATCTAATAAATTAGCCTATAACGCTTTCTGTCGGTTTCATTCACTAACCCATCATCAAAACATAGTCCAGACAGTAATATCCTGGTAGATAGCTACCAATCAGTTATCAACCATTGTGAAAACATCATTTATACACGAGAGATTAGTTGTTGTTGAAAAAGCCTGATGGTATAACCTGTTTAACACGAGGGTTAATCTTATGAAGATCATCAGTTTCTTCAAAATTACGTATAAGCCTGGTTGACGATAATTAATTGAATCACGAAACGTAATTTTGGATCTATCTACTGATTGACACCAACCAGTTACCATTTAATTTTTTATCGGTTTACATGTGGTTGTCCTATTGTTGAGTTTTGTATTTGTGTAAACCTTGTGCTCAATTATATGAATTAGTAATAAATTGACTGTTTTTCTATTGGTAAAACTCAAGAGTTCCTGCACCTCGTCATATTGGCACTGCAACTATCCCACTATATCATTTATTGTATCCAAGACCACAAGTCACACCACATTCAAACACTAATTCTATCAACTGCCTAGAGGGTGATCCATCTGGGATTCGTTGGTGGAATAATCAACAACAATGGATGGGAACAGATAGAATAAATTCAAGTGGATTGGCAGTATATCCTTTATATCGTGCAAATACAGCAAATTTTTATGATAGTTGGATTGCTGTACATATTGAAATGACCGGATCAAAAACTGAGAATTGTTTATGGGTATGTAACATTACGATTAAGTATAGAATGAGTCATAGTACTTTTATTATCTATAGTTATTTTTTTTCATTTAATATTCAGGATATTAATAAGATAAGAATATGACCATTAGATTATTGTAATGTTCTACTAATCTGCTGATTTGAATGGTCCTATTTTACAGATAATTATAGTGTACGACATTCAAATCAATGACCAGACGATGCTTAACTAATCCGTAAAAAATGATGAGATTCCAGTGAATTCGTATGGTGATAGCGGTGAAATTCAAGACTTGCGTTTCATCTGATTTGGGACTTTTGGGCTGGATGTACCTACATTTCAGCATTGATATTGATACAGTTACTGGAGCCCAGTACCTGTCACTTCAAACGCCAACATGGTTTTCATTCAGATACTGACTCAATGTTATATCTAGAACTTAGATTCTTGCCATACTGCATACAACTTGAGCACTCGAACGCAAGAACCCTCCAAGTCTGAAGTTAGAAGACATAAGATGAGTGGGAAGGAATTTTATTCCAAAAAAGTGCCAAATATGGTACAGAAACACTCGCGTATTTATAGTTTTTAGTAAAAACGAAATCATCATTGCAGTGATCCAATCCGTATGCAATGGTTCTTAGCACTTGTTCAATCGAGAATCTACACGTTGAGACTCTGGAATTTTCTCCTGAACGACAACTTGACGCAATGTCTTTGGCTTTTTCAGAGCTTCCTCGAGTTCACTGGAAGCCGTCTTTACACTCCAGATGGCCACTGACTTGTTGGACGAGTATGAGGGTATTTCTGAAGGGTTTCTACTTCTCTGTTGTTGATATTAGGGACTCCAGTTGATCATTCTTTATTGACTAACGTGCATCACACTCAATTCAGTCAAAAAATACAATTAAAATATGAATTGAACAAGAGTAAAATTACAACATGTACTAAAAATCAACAAGCAGTTTAGAGCTACTTCAAGTAATAATATCAATATTAATTTAACTTTTCGTCTTCAAAATAAGTGGATCATTCAGGCTGAACAGTTTTTCCGGGAGTTTCACCCACCGTAAAAATATTGTTTAATTTATAAGATTTACCTTTATAAGTAAAAGCTCTGGATTTAGCTTATTGATGGATTAAATTAGTGATTCGTCTCAAAAAATTAATTATACTCTTGAAATGCAAGTTTTAAAATGATTGAATTTGTCTCAAACTACTTAAACGTTTGAAGTAGTATACAGTGGACCAAAACATGAATGGTATGCTAAATCCGTACTTAGCCACTGTTGTATTATTTGGAGTAGTTTTAATCAGTGTGTGTAATGCAATTTTCTGAGCAACAACATCGCTCCAACTAGAAATTGATATGGCAAGCCAACCAGAAGTTTAAAAATGCGAAGTTCAATCGACGACAATTAACAGTGACTTGTAGGATAGGTGCATTTCATTGGCTGGGAAATGAATTAATTTTCGTAGGGATAGAGTTGTATATATACAAATGAGTATTTGCGAAGTTTATTTAGTGTCCCAATTTACTTTCTCACTCACCCTTGTGCTCTCCCTCAAGTAATCAGTTGGGGATTTAGCTCGTAGCACGTCGTGTATCGGTATCAGATTTCGGACACCGCCCGTCATAACAGAAACTATGCACCTCTGGACGCAGTTTATCATCAACTGATACTGTATTTTTCTTTGACTCTCTACCAAGCCACTCTTATGCTATTCACAGTAACTGAGCATTATTGTAATCTAGTTCTTAATATTATAGGTTTGTGTGTTTGTGAATTGACTGAAGTTTGGAATATTCCTCGTAATAGTCTGACTCGTTTGATTAAATGTTTTGTACTTACCTCGATAAGTAAATGTCTTGAGTTTGATCTTCAATGACCGTCGGTTTGCGTTTTTCTTTTATGCTCCCAAGTTTCTATCGTTCTGCAGTTGAAGTCATTCAGAGTAAAATTGTCTTTGAATTGAAAAAGTCTCCACGAACTATTGAAATCACTTACTTACTTACTTACTTACGCCTGTTACTTCCAATGAAGCATAGGCCGCCGACCAGCATTCTCCAACCCACTCTGTCCTGGGACTACCTTTCTAATTCTAGCCAACTTTTGTTCATTCTTCTCATGTCTGTCTCCATTTCTCGGCGTAATGTGTCCTTTGGCCTTCAGGATTTCTTTTAAGGGCTTATTTTGTGACGCAGTTGGATGCCTTCCTCAATGTGTGTCCTATCCACTTCCAGCGCTTCTTCCTTCACTGAAATCTCACTTGTTTTCTCGCACAGTAGGTTGTTGCTGGTAGTTTCTGGCCAACAGATTCGAAGTATTATGCGTAAACAACTGTTAATGAACACCTGTAGTTCTCCAAGTTTCCGCCCAATACAACAGAACTGTCTTGACATTTGTATTGAAAATTCTGATCTTGGTATTGGTTGATAATTGTTTTGAGTTCCAGATGTTCTTCAGTTGTAAATATGCTACCCATGCTTTGCTGATCCGCGTCATCACATGTTCATCAGATCCATCGTGTTCATCGATGATGCTGCCCAGATATAATTCAAATTAACCATATATATCTATTTTTGTTCTATTAACTGATTACTTGTATTTTAACGAAAAACATGTATAAGAGTTTATTAAACTTTGGAAATTTCCCACTGATTATCGCTTCTTTTTAAATCAAATTATAGTTTGGTAAGCAGAGATGGATAGTGGCTAGCAGTGGAATCCAGGACGCGCGTTTCGTCCTATTTGGGACTCGTCAGCTGGATGTACCTGCATCTCAGAGTTGATGTTCACTCTGGGACTCGAACCCAGTACCCTCGCTTCAAACGCCATCGAGTTATCCACTCGGCCACTGAGTCCTGATAGCCACTTGCTTGTGCGATGGGGTGAAGTTTGAATTCACTTAGTATTGTTTGTTTGGATCTTCCCATCGATGTGTTTAGCACTGCAACTGGTCAGTCTCTAATTGGCATATGTGCATACTGTGCGTATTGCCTCGATATACCTTAATTCACAAGCATGGTAAGCAGAGATGGATAGTGGCTAGCAGAGACTGAACAGTTGCAGTCCTAAACACATCGATGGGAAGATCCAAACAAACAATACTAAGTGAATTCAAATTATAGTTTGTTTTTTAAAATAATTCTCTATTTACTGTCTTATTATATCTAATTGATTTGTGTTTGTATTTTCTTTTCATCTACCATCTTTAAGTCGAAACGATATCATACTTGTAAAATGAATAAATTAATTTCACCTGAAATCGATGGACATTTAGGATGGAATTTAAAACATTACAAATTGCCTCCTTTGGTCAATAATCCATTATATAACAGTAATAATAATAATAATAATTGTCATTTAACTACCGAATTAGATGATGATGATAATTATATAAAAAATGAAACATTTCCTGCTGAAATTATCGTTGAAAAAGCATATCATTTACGTTTATCTCATCAGTAAGTTAAGCAAAGAATTTCATTTCAATTATTGATTTTATATGAATCAAGAAATTTTCTGAGTTTATTTTCTAAATATTTATTTATATGAAGAATTATATTAAATATGGTTTGAAATGATATTGTCTAGATTTTACTGAGACGATGATGCTCTGGGGTGTGTGTGTGTTTTTTTTTTGGTTCGTACAAGTTGACAATCATGAATAACTGTTTTGACCTAGTTTAGGGCTACCTTTTGATGCATATACATTCATTCACCGTTACATGAAACTTAAATTAAGACTTTTAAATCGCACATTATGGATATGATGGTCAGTGTGTAATGTATAATAATCCTCTTTTATTATCATAGGTGTTTAATGCTTCCTCAAGCTTAATCTTGATTGAATCTGCAGGTTACAGTTTGCCACTAAAACTTCATAAAATATTCAAACGGTGATTATTCACTAGTATAAACACAAGATTATTGATTTTCGAAATCAGTTCAGTGATGATAAAGGAATTTTATTTTAAGAACACAGGAATTCCCATATCAGAATAATCAGTTTATCAATAGAATTACCGTCAACGTATAAACTTCCAGGTTTTCAGTGGTAGTCTATCTAAGATCATTTCGCGAATTACACTATGAAGATAATTGTTTTTAATCATTAACAAAAGTATAAGATGGTATTACTAAAGGGTTTTCATATCAACTCGACGTATATCGCAATATAAGTTAAATTGATCAATAAATGATAAAAATCAGTTATTCAAGTTTCATTTCGACCGCTACATCGTTTTGAATTCATATTTCTAATCTGAGTTACACCTTTAATTTTTGCCCATTTGAATTTGCAATTATTGATCGTTGGTTGAGTGGAATTAACGGAACCATTAAGAATAATAACTACTGAATATCTTTAATAAACCTGTACTACTTCAAAGTAGTCGATGTACTCAACTAGATAAAAACAGTTCTTGTGCAAATTTAATTACATTTTCTGATTTACTGTCAAAACTTTGTTTTTGCTACTAATAGTGCTACTCTGATGACAGTCTTTTCGGGCAATAGAATCATCGAACAAAACCTGTAAAGTTAATATCATATTTTTAGATTGAACACTATGTATCTATTTATAAAGTCATTTACTGGTAGTTTGATTTACACTTGTGCATAGAGATTTTCACGTTAGAATTGAAGAGTACTGTGATCAGAAACGGGTAAAATGACCCTGTATCATTTTCAGTGACTCAGTTGCGTTCACCCTGTATTTTCTCCGAAAACTTGAGCGTCTAAATCACTACACAGATTTACTTCTTCGATCTCATTTAATTCCTCTCAAATTTATTTCATATATTATACTACCCATTGCGTTTAATTTAATTTAATTCTCCGCCTTATCACCATTTAGATTTCATTTCCTGATGTTCTGATGCTAAGCGTAAAACTTTACCGAGACAAATATTTGTTTCAAAACTTACGTTGTCTTTCATTGACTAACTGATACACTGTCTACGTGATACTTTATATACACTAACTAATATCAGTGAAAGAGACAAGTAATATTAACTATCTTTTTCTCCATCCTTTGAAGTCTATTCAATAGTATAGATCTACAACTTTGGAGTTCATGATAATCATAGAACCATTCAGTTGCTTGTTCAGAATTCTTTAATTAAACTTCTATATTTTACAGTATTCTTTCAACAAATGTCATTCAGTAATTGTTCGCTCTACTCTTGAGTTAGTCAACTTGATAGATCATATCTCTAGTACAATAATATTGTAACACGTTTTAGAATATTTGGCAAATGGTCAATAATAAAATCCAGGGCATGCATTTTGTCCTGCTTGGAACTCAAAAACTAAATATTTCTATATCTTAGTGTTAATATTCATACTAAGATTCGGACTTATTACTTTTCACTTCAAATATTAACGTATTATTGATTACGTCTAATGAATCTAAGCATATAAAGGAATAGAAGCTAACTAGTTACAGTCCGAAATATCGACAAAAGACAATTAAACATTTTTTTACTAACAATACTATTGTAACCATTTTAAAAAGATGATATAATCCTTGTTAACATTTTACTCTTCTTATTATTTTCTATTTTCAGTAATAAATTTGATAATTCCACTGAATCAACTGAAAACAGTGAACCATACTTTAAAACAAATGATGATAATAATAATAATAAGGAAACAGCTAATTATTCTGTATTTGTTACATTTCCTGTGAATGGTGGTAATCATTATTGTTTTAATAATAAACATTCTATTACTGGTAATACTAATCAAAATGAAAAATTATGGAAACAAATTATTAAATTATCCAATATTAATTTAAATCGTATAGCTTTAACACCTAAAGTAAAAAATCTTGAATATGCACACTGGAATTATTGCCGTTTTGTTCGTATACCATTAGAACTGATACAATCTTCATGTAATCAGGTAACAGAAACAAAAACTTCAATAGTATAAATCTACAACCTTTAGAGTTTATGATAATCACTAAACCATTCAGTTCCTTGGTCAGATAGGCATTTATTCTGTTAATTTTCACAAGGCCATTAATATGAATGGGATATATGAGGTTCAGTATTAGTAAAACGCTAAATGTAATAATTGGATGTAAAATTATAATGTAAATAATCTCAGCTATTGAAATTTAAACAATTTTAGTGATTCTGCTAGCAAACTAGACCGAGTGTTTCCAAGGTAATAACAGCTGGAGAGTCCAAATACATCTCTCGTCAACGACCCTAGAAACCAAGAAAACGTTAAGATATATTTTTTTCCTAATCAGCATTGAATAAAAGCCTCTTAAAAATATTTCGAATAATGAACGATCACGTGTCATGTTTTTGATTAGATAGTTATCTATATCGTTGCTGTATTTAGTATGCTTACAAAAGGTTCTAGTAGACCAGGGTCACATGAAACCCCATGAATACACTTGATTTTCTGCACATACCTAACCCAGAAGCAACGTTCTTACATTTTGCACCTTTTTATGTATTGTTTGAACTAAAGCGTAGTAGTGTAGGGTTATGTGAAACAGCTAGGAAATTAGTAGTCAGCGTTCCAGTAGCAGACTTAATAATAACTGAAGTCAATATTATGGAAAATCTTAAATAATTTTGATTATTTCTGTTTATTCCTGTTTATCAGAAATAACGTTAAAATTATTTAAATTTCGATCAATGAGATTACTTACAAGAAACTTTTACATTTAACGTCTTATATATACTTGATGCTCAATTTCTGCCAAACTGTTCGTTCATCTTTTGACGAATAGTCATATTAATTATTTTACGACTTAATACAGTATGAAAATAAATTGGCTGATGTGAATAAGTTGTCTATATCACATTTAGTCTAACCATATTATTCACTATTAGCTGTTTATCTTCAACATTTCAGTCGATACACTGTCACTTGGCTTATTAATGTTGTGAGCAAAACGTTACATAGAGGATATTAATCCTTCGGGAATTCTGATATGTTCCAAAAATACAGTTTGAAATCAATTAATAAAAAAACATTCTGTAATCTGCATAAGCATTCCCACACTTCTATAAAAATGCATGCCATATTCTTTGACTATCACAGTGGAGTTTTAGCAATGAAACTTTTAACAGGAATATTTTTAGTTTCATAGAACAATAAACATTGGAACACCTTAGATTCGGATAAATCTCTTTTGATATGGTACTTTTTAACCATGGATTGGAGAATTATTTCAAAGAGTTGTGGAGCGTTGGACAATTGTTTCATGATTGTTTAAGATTTTTCAGTAATGCGCACACGCGACCACCTGGGGAATGGAACTCGAAATCTCGGTTTTATTTTATGCCTTCTCTCTGACTTGCCTGGGATTGGTTAAGTGCTCTGGCGCTAGACTGGTAGGTCCTCGTTTGGAGTCTTGCGAGTCGGGATCGTGTAGGCGCACTGCTGAGGAGTCCCACAATAGAACGAAGTGGCCGTCCAGTACTTCCAGGTTCTCCATGGTGGTCTAGCTTTAATTGACTCATGATTTCAACTTTATATAAAAAATAATGGGTTTTTCAATATTTTCAACTCAATCTTTTTTCTAACTTAAAATTTTTCACTATAATTAAAATACATCAATGAAAACTAAACTTCATACAATCACCATTTCTTACCACATTTTATGTGAATTTTTTTCTCTTATACACGAATATATAGGGATTAATGTTTCATGTATGGGCTGTGAAACATGATGATGATGATGACTATGATATGAATAATGATAGTAGCTATGCACCAAAATTAATCGGTATTGCTACAGTCGACTTAACTACCTTATCACATTTATTCAGTGATTCAATTCATTCAACAAATAATGAATTTAATCAAATTTATGGTTGGTATCATGTATTAAATAATGATACAGGATGTCCATCTGGTCAAATTTTAATTGGAGTTAAACCATTAATCAATATTGGACAACAACAGATAATTACTTATAATTTGTCATCACTGAACAATAATGAATTTACCACAAATAATAATTTTAGTAGTTTATCACACAATGTATACACTGATCAGGTTAGTTTATTTGAGCCATTATGAATAAAAGTTTTGTTATTTTTCTACGAAAATAAAAAAATAATTTTTTTGAGTTTAGATCGATATCATGAATGGATCAATGTTAGACCACCATTGAAAACCTGGAAGCACTGGACGGCCGTTTCGTCCTAGTATGGGACTGCTCAGCAATGCGTATCCATGATCTATCACGCAGGACTTTTTGGTCTCGAACACTGCTGGGAAGTTGCATACTAGCATGGGACGGCCGTCCAGTGCTTTCATATTTTCAATAGTGGTTTAAGATTAACCCATCTATGATATCAACCTAAACTCAACGATTTCCATAACGATATGCTGATAATATGTTTTTTGTTTGAATTTTGATTAAATAAGTCTGAAGTCGAAAACAGAGTATTCGTTGCAAACTGACATCATTTTAGGGAACTATTAGGAAATCACTTTTCAATAAACAACAATTAGTCAGTCATAAACAACTTAGAATCTGGAATTTGTGCACATCGGTCTAAGATGAATATCAAAATGTTGATAGTTGTTGTTGTAGTAATGGTGTCACTGATAGTAAAAAAAAATCATTAAGCATGGAGAATGTGATCCGAGAAGAATAAAAGAATTTTCCAAATTAAAAGTATAAAATGTTTTCGAAACTATGAATCTAATAGAAGATAAATAACCAGTGTATTTCAGTCACTGAGTTCAATTTTGAACAGTTTTATCCAATTTCTTTAATTATTGATCATGATAATCGTGTAAACCTTCCAGACCAGTTCGAACTAGGAAAACATGGTCGTTGTAAACTGCTTCCTAGTATCTTATGGTTCATTTGATAATACCAGTCCTCTATGAAAACTATCGACTAAAACTGTATTATTATTTTTCCTTCTTGTTAAGTTAAGTTTAAAACGAATAGCATCAGTGAATACCGGTATACTATTTTGACTTGTAAATTTAACAGTATACATCACTGACTGGTTTGAATCAGCAATAAAAAAACGTAGAAATTACATTATATATCTTTGACAGCTCTTGGTCCCTGATCGAAAATAGTTTTTGATTGGAAGTATTCTCACAATTTTGTTAGCGGGAATATGAAGACTCTGTTTGTATAATTATAAACATAATTATTGGGACCGCTCTGAAAAGCATGACGAAGCCTTCGGAGGCTCTAAAGTAACTGAAAAGATCCCGTCCAATCGGAACCTGAAAGAACCCTTCTAAAATAATCATATAAACCTCTTACTTGTGGATTGGCTAGATTAAAACGATCTTATAACCAATACACTAATAACTATAAATACCCATATTTTTCTGCACATTTTCGACTCTTACCCAATAATCGCTTCCCCTGCTTCTTCCACCTTTTGGTTTGCGACTGTGTTGTTCTACACGTCCGAGTACTGCTAGGCGTATACCGTATTCTTCCCTAATCAAGTAGAGGACGTAACCATTACAATTGTTGTTCGTATGTTTTTACACATCAGCTGTTATTTATGACCCAATAGTCTTTATGGTTGACTGTCTGGAATTTAAATAATTAGTTATTGGTTACAGGTTAAGTCTAACTGAAAGGCATCAAACTATTGGAGTATTATTATACTATTCATCTATAAATTTATAGATAGGATGAATTCCTTCTTAGGAACTAACTATTAGCCATAATCACTCTAGAACTTAGTAGTTCTTCCTATGGACATATATATTTGAACTAGTTATTCGTGAAATGCATAGTTTAATGACAATCGATTTTCCTTCTCTTCATTTCTTTTGGTCCAGATTAAACCATTTGGGAATTATTCAATTTTCCAAAATGGTTTAAACTCGACATTATCAAATTGTGATTTGGCAAAATCAACGCACTCATTAAATGATTGTAATACAGGCAAAGTATCTGATGATATACTTGTGAATAAAGAAGAATCTAATCATTCTGAATTAAATCGTTCTGTGTTATTCGAGAATTTAAGGTACTTACATATATATATATATATATTCTTTTTGTTGAGTCTATTTCTTTATTTTTGACTAATGTGTGTCCACTTTACAAACCGATATCATTTAGCCAAATCTCTAACAGCCAAGAGTATAGAACACAGTTTTCTCGCCTTTACCTGAGACAGATTCTTCAGCGATGCTTACATCTGTAAACAAAAGCTAGAATGGATCCAGGATCATAAGTTCTTTTGGCTACGACAATACCGCAGAAGTAATAAGTTAGAATAACATCCACGCCACTGAACCTGGAGGTTATAGGTTCAGTTATGATTGGAGATTTATCACGAGGACCAAACAAAAATAAAACGACTGTACAAGGCTTACTGAGGCCCATCGGTTTTCCATTTGATATCAGTTCGGGATGAAACATTTTCTCTAATTGAACTAGTCACCTTGCTAGCAGGATAATGTTCTGAATGTTTCGCACACTAGTAAGACTCACATTGGGATACTATGACTGGTTTATTTGTAACCTATCAGAGTTATTGCACTGAACATGAAGTTGCCAGAAGATTTTTATGTGAATTCTGTGTAAACTCTAACATTTTAACTGCTGTATCTTTGTTGTTCAGGCCATTCGAATATACTTTAGTTTTCTCTCAATTCTTACTGTGATTTGGAAGGAGTCGATTGAATTATTATAGGTGAAGAATTTTGAACAGCAGTAAAATCCAACATTCCACAAACCACCTGCTTAAATTATTAACAAGCTAAATCTACATGTTATTTTCGCTCAAGTACTTTTTCTATTCCACTACTATGTTATTTCACTTTTCATTAATTTACTGAATTCTCACTTTCCATGAATCTTCAATCGAAACAAAAGATAACACAAATGTTCACAAGTCTTTTCGATGGTTTTATCTGAAAACATCATCTATGTTCATACTACAAAAAAAGAAATATTCACGACCACAGTGTATCATAATTCATATAAATCTCTATAGGTAGTACACAATTTAGAAACCTTTTAAAAAAAAACCGATTAACTGACTTCATGATCAACATCTGGTTCTTTTTTTAATCTTTAAAAAGCCTGATAATACATAGTGAAAGGTATAAATTAACAATCTATTTTTAAAAATTCATGATACTTAAACTTACATGGTTTATTGACTTTTCAACCATGAATTTCTTTAATTCGAATCCGTTACCGTAAATTCAGTTTAGGCAGCTAAGTTGTATCACTTACCAGCTATGATTTGTGGAATGTGGGGACTGGAGAAATATGAAAATGAAGATATTTCTAGCGATATTTTGTATATTGATATAGCTTAATGAGATTGGACCACTGAGCTCCCACTCATTTTTGAAAGTTTCATATAATCCCATTTGACCTACTTGAAATCAAACCCCACTTAGTTAGTATCACTAACTATCACACATTCAAATACCATAAAACTGGTGTATCACATGCTAATCGGTTAGAGGTAATCGAAATGAAACCCTAAACCTAGGTTAAGTAACAACTGGCACTAGTCATGAAGTCATGTCTACAATTTTGAGGGGACTGGTACTTCGTTTGAGATTCGGACCCGGATCACCAAAACTTCAAAGTAAAGTATAAAATCGATTAAACAATTATATTTGAATTTCTTTTGACTTGTTTTGATCATTCACAAATTCTCCTTATTTCTCTTTCCCTTATTTCAATCTGTGTGGTTTATGATTGAATTTAGAACACGTTTAAACGAACTAGATGAAATAAATACTAAATTGAAGAATCGTTTAAATTTATCAACATCCAATGAAAAATTTTTTAGTCATGCTGATAATAACACTAATGATATTGATAAGAACTATAATGATGATACAAATATGAAAAATGAATCATTTTTAAATCAATCATTTCAAAATAAATTACAATCCTTAAATGAAGAAATAGACTATTCGACTTTGGTGAATGATCTATCACTTTCTCAGCATCAACCACATTACAGTCAGCATTTGGCAGACTTACATGCTAATGATGAAAATATGTTGTATGTAAATAGTAAATTTCAATGTACATGTAGGTACTTGTCATTAGATTTTTAAGTTAATATGTTACTCTATCTATTGTATATACATGGTTTTATTTCATGATTGGTTACTTTATAGTTTTTAATCTCTTTTTTGATTGCTTATTTGCTAATTGACAAGAATAAATCATAATTAAAGTTTTAACCTCTAGACCACTGAGCCATTATCCAACGGTGTTAATGTTTAACTCCAACCAATCTACGATATTGCGCGACCATCTCCAATTGTCTCCAGTGTGTAACTGCCTCACACCCGACACGGGATTAGCTCCACTGGTCACGGCTTCTCATTAGAGCTCCGAGAATTACCTCTCGAAGCTAGTCACTATTGACCACATGGTCGCGCAATATCATGGATTGGTTGAAGTTAAACATTAATACCGTTGGATGCTGGATCGGTGGTCTAGATGTTAAGCGTTCGCGTGAGAGACCGAAGATTAGTTTTATTTGACTGTTTTGTAAATCAATAGTAGAATTCCCTTCCTAATGCACCATTATTTGTGTATTCTGTCAATTAACTATTAATTCTGTATTTACTGATCAACTTGATTGAGTTTTGAGGCTTGTACCTCAAATATTTAAACTACAACTACTTTATATTTCAGGCTTTAAAACTCCTTTATCTAAGGCAACTTTGAGTTATCTATCATATTTGATTTTTTTTAATAAAAAGCCCATTATTAGATAAGTTTAATCCCTAATTACCATAATTGTATTTATTTATCGATACAACTGATGAATAATACCAAAATATAGCTGCATGACTTAATTTGTCCTACAGATATTCTACTAAAACTGTAAACGCGATACTGGTGACCCTAGAGTCTATATGAAAGTTATAGTCAGAACAGGGAAAAATTGACTTGAAATTTTATCTGTTTCTAAACATGCAAATAAAAATTCGAATAATATAATCATTAAAGGAATTACAATCATGCAGTGAAACTCAAACACACCGACCAGTATTGAGTAGCTTATCGAAATCAATAAAAATTATGAGTCACGCTAGTATAATAGGATAATAATGTCCTTCAATCGGCAGGTCACATACAACAGGGATAAACTACAGACACAATGAACTAGATCAACGTGGTGAACGCTTCAGCAACGATTTGGTTGGTTAGTTATGGACATGACTAACAAGAACAACACAAATATAATCTTTTAGTACAAGAGTTGTGGGGATTTTCAAATTTTTTGTTCGACATCATGAAATGACCATAGTTAAGCAATCATTGAAAAATAAAAAGATCATGTCAGCTGTTTTGTCTTAATATGAGACTCCTCAGCAATGGGGATTCAAAAGCACAACACTGATTGAAGTGAAGACCATTAGGAATTCATTGACGTCGAGATTGAGGGAGTTACCCATCAGTGGTATCACAAGATGATTGCTCTAAATCGCGAATTAATTGAGACGAAACAAGTAAACCATTGGGCACTAAGTCCGTAGCCTACATATTAGGCGCTCGCCACCAGACTTGAAATCCGTTTTGTTAGATTTCTCATAGGGGTTATGAGTTCACACTGCTGAAGGGTCGTATACCAGGACTTAACAGATGTCTCCTTCTTCTCTGTTTTCAATAGTTGTCCAATTCGTCATGTAAACGACTTGTTTTATTCTCTTTTTATTTTAGTTCTACAGTCTCAGTTAAACCATAATAGTGATGATGATACTTATTCCGCACATAAAATAAATGATGATTTCACAATAAATAAATTTATAAAACAATGCAATCACCATTTTACTATCGATAATTGTTCATTCACAAATTCTACCAACGAAAATATTGACTGTTTAATTTCGAACTCATTAAAACAATCTACTGAAAATGGAAGATTGAACACCATCGAAAAAGACAATGACAACAATAATATTGACGTTGAAAGTGCATTAACAAATGATGGTGATAATCATGATGATGCTCATAACAAGGAGAACATTGTTAACACAGACAAGGATGATGAACAGTCAGAGATTTCTGTAGTTTCACCTTTACTACATGATCAATCTTCAAATATTTCTGATGCTCATGATTATAATGACGATGAAGACATTATCAGTATAGGTACAGACATTCAACATATCACAAGTTGTAATGAAATTTCTAGAGAATGCGGTGGTAGTTATGATACTGATTGTAATAATGATGAAAAGAAACTTGAAGAAGATAATGTCAAGCAACTCCATAATAATAATAATAACAATGATAGTAGAAGTAGTAATAATATAGTGCACAATGAAAGTGAACAATATTCACCAATGAATAACAAACTATCACATACAGAAATTAATAATGTATTAACTGAATTACTGAATCAAAAAAGTTTATCTGAAACTTCAGCTTCCTCTGTATGGTTACCAGATGATGATGATGATGATGATGATGATGATGATGATGACAATGTTGATAATAATAGTAATAATGGTATTTTATATGAAAATGATCCAAGTTCATTATATACACGATCAACTATTACACAATCACCTCCATCAATTGATAATCAATCAATTAGACAAGTTGAAGTTTCATTGACAAATAGTCAAAATATTCAAATGAATAAACCAATTATATCACATGAACATGAATTAACTCAGAACAGAATTATTCAAAATAAAGTATATGAGTAAGATCATTTTCACTATTTATATATATCTACATATATTAATGAGGGTTACTTTTTTTGGAGGGGGGATAATTTGTTCCCTTTTAAAAACTATTTGCCATTTTAAATTCACTTAGTATTACTTGTTTGAATCTTCCCATTGATGTTTTAGAACTGCAACTGATCAGTCTCTTATTGGCATATGTGCATACTGTGCGTATTGCCTCGATTTAGCCTTGTTTCACAAGCATTGTAAGCAAAGATGGATAAAGACTTGCAGTGGAATTCAGGACGAGCGTTTCGTCCTATTTGGGATTCGTCAGCTGGATATACCTGCATCTCAGAGCTGATGTTCACTCTGGGACTCGAACCCAATACCTTTCGCTTCAAACGCCATCGCATTATCCACTCAGCTACTGAGTCGTGATAGTCATTTTGTTATTCATAATTTTTCATCTTGAATTAGTGATATTTTATTTGGCCAAAATCTCGTCACATTTTATACATACCATAATCAAAGACACTTTCCACATTTGTGTTTGTTGGAGGTTGGATTGAGTATTATTTTTGTTATCCTACTTTTCTAGGTCATTCGTTCATACTTGTTAGTTATCTGTCTAGTCAATATTCATTGATCAATTTATAAAAAAATTTATTTATTCTTTAGCTGAAGTTGTGAATTATGATAGAAAAATGTGTAACATCGATCAGTGCTAGTGTAGTGTGGTCTACTTATATCCATATAAGTAGTATATGGTGATGGTCAGACATAGAATGTATTTTGACAGAAGATCGATAAGGAACGAACAGGAATGAAGCACGATCGGTACGAAATTCATGAACAATAATAATCACAGAAGATGGACTGATATTTGCAGAAGAAACAGTTAAGATTGAAACAATTGATAGTTAATTTGCAAATTAACTGTTCATTATATGGTTAACAGAATTTAGTGGGATAGTCTGTAATTTGTACTTAAATACATTCGATTGTCCCCACTCGTGTTCTGTTCACTATACTAGGAGTGATTTACTGAACTTTAAAAACGTATTAGTTTTGTGTTATAGTGTTCAGTCTCGTTCATCTGTAGTATATGCTCCTAACACTTGATCAACTCAACTAAACAGGAAAAGACTGAAAAATTTAATATGAATTTTTATCATTAGGTACTAAGGGAATATATTTGTCTTTACTGGTAGATCGAATGAAATTAGTGTGCAATCGGTAACCTTAACCAGATATGATTCAGTTACTTATAATAACTTATCTACAATTGTATTAAATTTCCCAACACAATAATTGGCTAATCTAATTCCCTTGGTACATTATTATTAATTAATAATAATTAACAAATAATTTAATATAATATGGTTATATTTTATTCGTTATAGACGAGTGAACTGTTTTATATTTTTCTATGACACCCGTTTGTTACTTTCCCAATAATTTCATTACATATAAATAATGCTGTGAATAAAGTATCGTTAGTTGTTTATCATTGTTTCCTTTCAATAGTATTATCATTTCGGCATCATGTACTCTCCATTCAACTATTATGGGGAATGTGAGTGCTAATAGTAATGTCACAAATATATTAATTTGATAAACTTCATAGAATTCTAAATTTCAACTTAATTCAAAGTGTTTTATGTCTTGAATTCACTGATCAGTATCATATGACGAGTCGTCAACGAGAATCCTAATTCTAATATGATTTATTTCGCATCTATTACTCCCTTGACAACCTGTTGTCTCCAAACCGACCAATCCCACGCCCGACCAGTACTGACTGACCTTGAACTAACATGAAAAGCTGGCAGTGGCGTTGAATAGGGGAGACTGTAAGGTATCAGCTGGCAACAAATTAGGTATAAAGGGATTGTGCGACATCATGAATTGATTGAATGTAGACATGAACACCTCTGGATGTCGATTTGATGGTCAAGATATTAGGCGTTCGTGCGCAAGATCGAAAGTTTGATTCCCGCAGGTGGTGCCATGGATGCATACTAACCAGGTGTCCTACAGTGAGATGAAACGGCCGTCTAGTCCTTCCAAGCGTTTAGCAATGGTCTAGTTAATTTCCGTTCGTGATTTCAACGAGATTAGAGATAGTAAATCGTACAATCACAAACGAACAGTTTGATTTCATTATGGTAAATTTTCACTTTTTTCATGTGTATAACTTTGTTGGAATGTTATAAATGTATTTGATGAATGTAACCTGGTTGACACTATTGCATATTTTTTCTAAATTATTTAGCATACAATATCTATTCTAAGTATATGACATTACAGTTTGTTCTCTAACTGATCATGTTTTTTGTCGGTTTAATTTTGACGCATCCGGCGCAAATGAGTCATGATAAGTTATTGAGCGCAGATAGAAACATTCATGTGTATTGTACACTATATATTTCTAACCTTGTATATTTGTCATAAAATACTTTGGAATATTACTGCCTTAATTTTGAAATCATTACTGGCAGATCTAGATGATGTTACTGTCCAATGATCCACGCTATATTACTTTACAACTGTGAAAAATATCTAACATATGGGTTGTACAAGCATTTTGTGATAAGGAATCTTAAACAGATTCATCCCTTATGATAATACCATTAAATAGCATTGAATCAATTAATGACATTTTGAGGCTTCTCATTAATTGAAGTGTTATGAACACTATGCATCTTCACCCACTCAACAGACTATAGTTCGTTGATTGCTGAAAGATTATACAGGAAAATAAAACTGAATCGATCATGGTAAATTTTTGCACATTTTGTCTGAATTCATTGTTTGTCTTTTGTGAGCTCTGTTGAAAAGTTCACAAGCATGTCTGATTACCATTTCAAGATGATCGTAATCTATAATATATAATTTACTTTATGCCTCGTCAGATCAAATGAAGAGAAAATGGATAGAAACAGAGATAATGAAGAAGAACAAAGAGATAAAGCAAAAATACTTCGACTAGACAATGAAGACGATGATGATAATAGTGCTGGATACTCTGACAATTTAAAGTTATTGAACAAAGATGATGATTTAGCTGAAACTAGTCGGTGGGATACAGAACAACCATTATCAGTGAATTCAAAGTTAACACCAATGTTTATTCCTAATTTCTTTCCTTCTACATCTCGTATAGAAAAATTATTTACTAGCAGAACAAATGATTGTCAAGAGGATAGTAATTCAATGGATTCAAATACAAATTTAAGTAATAATAATAAAGTGTGTTAAACTTATGATACAATAAAAATGTAATCGTGTTTATATTATTGTTGTTTAGTTTCTGGAACAAGATGGTTTAATTCTAAAGTTTTTATTGTTGTTGGGTAACATCATCAGTCTCATCTTTTTTATTTAAACACATAAATATTGGTACAAGGAGGCACCAGATACATATACGTCACACAAATCAAATGAGATTTGTGTGAGGGCTATGATACTGCCCGTGTGCCCAAACTGAAGCAAGTGGTTTTCTTAGGAGCCTTCGATTTAAAGGTCTGATCCACAAGGCAGTGGAGCATCATAAGGAGATGCCGTCCCATGGTAGCCGGTGACCAACGATTGATTCCTACACCATTTGTTCCCTCAGAATACTGGAATCAACCCATTAAACCATTGGTTAGAGATGAGGGTTTTCTAACTCCCCTAGGTGGACTTTGCGTGTCCACCAGTTCTTTTAAAGCACCGGACATTCTCTTTTCATGCTCTCAATTTCGTAAACAACACCCCCGCCACGAGAAGACAGTGAGTAGGACTTCTCTGGCAGAGGCTATAAACGCGTGGTCATGTGAGAGCGTTTTGAGAGGGAGAGCGGACTCTCCCCACTCTCGACCGTACCAAAGCATTTGGGATAGAAGACTTTTACAACAATGAAAATTTGAAAATTAAATCATCCAGTTTGTGGAACTCCTTGACACCAAAACTAATACAAAATAATTGATATTCAGTGTGTTTAGTATCAAGCACTGCGTTATTTGTATGGTCTTTATTACAGACAGTTATAGATAATAACAGACCCTTTAAATGAAATTTTCGGTAAACTGTACACTCAAATATTTAGAACTCACCTAAATGAAGAGCAACATGACTTGAAGTCGTTAAACTCAACACATTTATTGAATATTAAAATCGTTCCAGCTAACCTCGACCTAAGCGCCTTGTACAAATATTCACACTATACTCCCTTACAATCAATAATAAAAATCAGTCAACTTAAACACTAGCAACGCTATGCAATATCGAGTATAACAATAGTTCGTTCAAAACCCTACATCTCACTTAACAGAAGGAAAGAGAATCTGTAACAGTCTAAGCATATTAAAATGTTAACTGAACGAACTATAAATAGACATACAACAAATAGAGAATTTAGCGAAATCATCTACATTAAGATGTGCATTCGTACTTAAAATAATGAAGTTAATATAAAGATAGGAGAGATTTCGTCACCAAGTAATACGAGATTTCAAATATCATAAAGAATTAAGTAAAAATTAGATGGTTAAAAAAGCATAAAAAGATGAAGATAATTTATTAATTAACTATATATATGAATAAACAGAGATGGATAGTGGCTGGCAGTGGAATTCAGAACGCGCGTTTCGTCCTATTTAGGATTCGTTAGCTGGATGTAATTAAATCCAAGAGTTATTTCACTCCGAGACTCGAACCCAGTGCTTGTGATTTAAGGCAATCCGCACAGGATGCACGTACACCAAAAAGATACAGATCGGTTGCTATCCTGAACGTCAGTTGGTTTATAAATATAACTGAATATATAGCTTAAGTAAGTGATTTCGTCGAAAAGAAAATTCCCTTTATCTTTATTCAATGATACAATGGGTTACTTTAATTAATTGATATACGACATTCTAATTCACAATAATTGTTCAATATTTCATAAATTTTGATTTTACTTGTCAGTGAAAATCTGTAGTGTTAAATTTTCATTACCGTAACAAAGTTTTATTTAATGATTTATAGATGAGTTTTGTTGTAATTTAAAGACAGTCCATTACGAATCGATATCCACTGGTGGTAAACTAAAAAATATATAGATAACACTACACAACCACAGAGATCCTACGTTCCAAATAAATTGGCAGTGTGTATCCATAAATCTTCAATAAATAAAGGTTTCACATGAAATACTGGTTTATATTTTCTTATCTCCAGTCGATTTGTGAAACTGTAAGATCTTAAGCAAAGATGGATAATGGCTAGCAGTGGAAACAGAGATGCGCATTTCGTCCTACTCGGGACTCGTCAGCTGGACGTGCCTGCATCTCAGAGTTGATGTTCACTAGTGAGACTGGAACCCATTAACTTTCGTATCAAACGCCATCGCGTTATCCACTCAGCTACTGAGTCCTGATAGCCACTTGCTTGTGCGATGGGGTGAAGTCTAAATTCACTTAGTATTACTTGTTTGAATCTTCCCATTGAGGTTTAGGACTGCAACTGGTAAGTCTCATATTGGCTATATCGAGGAAATACGCACAGTATGCACATATGCCAATAAGAGACTGACCAGTTTCAGTCCTAAACATCAATCGGAAGATTTAAACAAGTAAGACTAAGTGAATGTAAGATCTTAGTTTCAAAATAGAATTTTGGATATCGTCTACTGGAAAAAGATAATCTGTGAAGTGTAAATCAGTAAATACTTGTCAAGATAATTCATGATAAAAAAAATTACCTGATGTACCAGAAGTTATTTTTCTAATATGATTTTTTTCAAACTTTTTTCCTCCTTATAGAATATAGATCCTTTAAGAAATCGTTTGAATAATCGTTTATCAGAAGCTGTTCTTTATACAATGAATACAACCATGACAGATAGTAACCCTCAAACAAACAATAATACAAATTTAATTATAAATGATACATTATCCGCTTTCATTACAAATGGTTATAAAACAAGAAGTTTAAAGAAAGCAGAACGTGTTTTTAACATGACATTTAAATGAATATAATTTCATCACATCATCTATTTGATTGTTGTAATTGAATGATGAAAACAAGTTTTTTATTACTATTCAAATTATTTCACCTAACAACTATTTTGTGACGTCTTCTTTTTCCCCTTGTATATAAAAATAAATATACATCTGATCCGAGTGAGTTTATGTTTAGATTATTCTTATCATTTCATTAAGTTAATTAAGAGAACAATGTGAAGCTTAACGTCGTACGACGATAACGCACTTTAATTGCTTAGTTTTCCACGTATATCATCCATGCTTAACCTTTTGGGCTAACAATGATTTAGTTATTATTGTGGTGTGGTCTACTTATATCCATTTAATTAGTATATGGTGATGGTTAGATATAGAATGTATTTTGGCAGAAGACCGATAAGGAAAGAACTAAGATGAAGCGCGATTGGTAAGAAAATGCACAAACAATGAAACTAGAGAAGATTGATTGATATTTACAGAAGGAACAGTGAAGATTGAGACAATTGGTTGTTTTTTTGCAAATTAACTGTTCATTATATGGTTATCAGAATTTAGTGAGATAGTCTGTAATTTGTGTCTAAACACATTCGATTGTCCCCAGTCGTGTCCTGTTCACTACATTAACCTACCATGGCATCTCGCTATACTGATGAGTTGTGACAAATAGAACCGATGCATATGCGTACAAGGTTATATGTTCCGATTGATTGAAAAATAAATAAAAGGAAGGAAACATTATTGAAGGGAACCATAGAAAAAAACAGGAAAAGTGATGAATAAGTAGATCTAGAATATTATCAGAAAGGGGTTTTTGTATAGATTGTAGTAATTTAATAGTTGAATTCATGAGTCGATTAAAGAAACAGCCGTCCAGTGTTTCCAGGTTTTCCATGGTGGTCTAGCTTTCATCGAATCATGAATTCAACTTTAAGATTTAGAATACATTATTATTTGTACCACTGACTGATTGAAGCTACTTTCTAAAGATTATTTATTCAATTCGTAATAGTTTTCTTCGTTTCATTTGGAATGTCAATTTGAAAGGCTACATTATATTTAAAACGAATCAGACGAAAAAACATGCAGAAGAATATAGTTATAATTTGGACTGTCGTATAAATTTTACGGTGTAGTACGTTACATATTTACGCGAATAGCAAACGCGTCTTCTATACCTGTGCTGCAGTTTATTCGACGACCAGTATGACATGTATATCACAACCTCGTATAAGTTAAAGTAATTTACACAGTTAATCACTACACTCCTTATTTTCACAGTACGTGTTGGCAAACACTAGTCTGAGAGGATAATTTTACATTTCGGAAGGGCGGAATTCACACAACGCGTTCTTAAATTTCCAATTGCTTTAGGATATATTGGACGCAGTCAGTGTCTTCATCTAGTATGGCTGTCACATAAGTCTGTTGGGGAACTCCAGGAATAATGTCAGTACAGTAGCTAACCGAGTAGCTCCACAAACGAGATTAGTGAGAAGGGATATCTTCCACGTGTATCACTATATATATGGGTAGAGAAATTGAATGCGCTTTATAATGCATGAAAGGTTTGGGTTATTGCACAGTTAGCGTTATATCTAAATAGGGGTGAAACTGAAGTGTAGCTATGAACAAGTAGACTGTCTCGAATATCTTTCACTAACCTTTCTTTTTCAGTGAAGAAGCACCTAACCAATTTATTTTAGAAGCCAGTTTGCTTTCATAAGCACATACAATGACCTGTTATTATGTATTTTTGTACTCACAACTGCTCGCAGTTGTTGTATAGACTCTTCGTCAGTTCATATTTAGATGTCATCGATTCGCATACTGGATGGATTCGAATAAATGTTATTACATATGTTGTACATATGTTAATAAAAACTTATGCCAGAAACAAGCTACTATTTTCGGTCGATACGCAAAATTACAAATAAAGCTATAAAGTGCTTGAATTTTTTTTTAGATAGCATCACACTTTGACCTATAACTTAGGAAATATGGGTAACAAGTATTACTTTCACGATGTATAATACCCTAGCCCAGAAACTCTAGACCGACTTTCTTGAATATTAAAGGATGAAACTCGGACGAATAAAAAAGTATTGAGATCCAATTGAGTTTATTTGCTAAAATGAAAACAAAACATTATTGTTTTTCATTTTAACGAAAAAGGATTTTTTTACATGTACACGTGTGTAAACAAATTAGCCTTTAGTAACTTCTACCGAACAATGTATAAGAAATTGCTTTACGAGAACAGTATTGGCGATTGAAACATGGTGTATCAGGAGCGGGACTACCACAAACCAATGTTGGATTAAAATCACAAGCGAACGGGATGCATAAACTTTTTGCCCCCATAGCTGGTGCACCAGGTTCAACAATGACATTTCTATTAGAAAAATCAGAATAAAATATACTTTAGGCATTTAATAAATGGTTTTCTATAAAATGAAAATATAGATTATAAAGAATAGTAGTTTGATTGACGAAATGCAAGGAGACAAAAAAACACTGCTTTTCAACAAGTTATACATAGAATTCCATTTTATGGTCGTCACTTCCCAGCAATGATGGCAGAGGTTTGACAAAGAAATGTGCGAACAATTTAAAAAGCAAATAAAGATCCCTACAAATATGTGTAATTTTTCAAGAAAAAAATTAACCTGGCAAGTCGATAGAGGAAATTGAATGAACTGACAGATTCTTACATTTCGTTTAGTGAATTCCGAAAAACCTTAGACTAGCCTAGAATATATGATGGAGCTAATTCACTAATTAGACATAAGTAGCATTTAAAGAAAATTGGAAGAATTGAACAAATGACTAATTTTGAGAAGCGAACTATTGAATGACGACTAAGTGATATGATTAAGCGTCAACCACGACATTTGAAGGTCATGTCATGGGGTTTGATCCCTGATAGGGTCGTGGGTGTATTGCTAATAGTAAGGAGTCTAGTTCTCGAACGAAACAGTAGTCTAGTGTTTTCCGGTTTTTATGGTTGTCTAAGGTCAATCCATAATGTAAACTATAAAGAACAATTACATTCTGTGGTCGCAAAGATACATAAGCTGGTTGTACATTCACTTGCCAATTAATGAAAATCATAATGATCAATCAGACTGATTCACATAGGACTGCAACTAGACTGTCAGAAAAGCATGTAACATGAGAAAGTGGATATATGTATCCTTGAAAAATCAATCATAACTACGTGCGTGTATAACATACAGCACATGTAAGTTATCATCTGACACAAAAGTGCAGAAAGATATTTGATTAAATACGTCGTAGAAACAATTAGGGGTATTAGATTATATAAGGTATAATGGAAACGTGTATACACGCTTTCCAAATAAAAAAATCACAACCATTTATTCAACTACAAAACTTTTAAAACACCACACAATTAAGTTATAAAGTTAAAGTAGAAACTAATATACCTGGCTGATTCATGCTTAATGACTTCTTCACAATCTCTATCACAGCAAAATGGAGCTAAAACAAGCGACTTTTGATCCAAAGCTGTACATAATTCATTTATATCATTCACAGGCATAACATGACTAGCTAATGATTTTGTTGCTTTGTTAAACATTGCATTATGAATATCATCAAGAATACGAGGTAGTTCATTAATAAGAGAATCCATGGGTACATTTACCTATCATACACAAAGTCGGAATAGAAAATACAAAAAGAATAGTGTATTCAATTAATGGAAGTATAAAATCGATATCTTTGATAGTAAATTATAACTTGTGTCTTTTTGCACAATCGGCTTCAAACAAAACATTTTTTTAGAAAAAGGGGATAGTGATATCATATAGACGCTCAAATCAAAGTAAGTAAAATGAAATTTAAACATCTAGATAACTGATGAACAGTTTAATCACTAAGCTACTATTTTATTTACTTATGTGGATGGTAGATCTCTTATGAGCTAAGATGAACTCAACTACTTCTTCATAGGAGAGATTAATAAGAAGTGTGTTAAGAATTTTGAGATCAGTATCCAATGAACAAGATAGGACTTATGAAGCTTTAATCACTTACTTAACCGACGTGAGAAGATTACTTAATGACAAACTTGTAGTGCCAACTCACGACGACCCAAAGCAACTTAGAAAGTTAACGCCAAATAATTTACTATTGTTGAAGAAACCTTATCTTCACGATGTCGAAATAAATTTAAGTTATTCTCATCAATTGCAACAAGCGCAGTTGTTATTATATTTAAGTGTTAGTGGATCAAAGAGTATTTGTTACTCTTATAAACACGAACAGAGTGGACACGAAAAGTACGAGATTTACAAACGGGCAATCCAGTCTTAGTTATAGGAGATACTTGTCCACGTAATCACTGGCTTAAAGGAAATATAGCAAGCGTTGAAAAGAGAGAGATAGCCTTGATAGGCAAGTAGACATTAGAACATCGAAAAAGTCGATCGCTAGAGACATACGTAAGGTCTATTTATTGGAAAAGGTAGACAATTGAGCAGCGGAGCGTAGGAAAACTTCCCAAAGTGATTGTGGTAAAAGTTGTAACATGGTTGTCTCTGCATATCGTTACGCTGAATACTAATTTAGTGAGAGCAAGAAGAGAAGAAATATGGTGTCATTTGCGGGCGGGGAGTAGGTTATGTCAAGTTAATAATAGAACCGTTCCTAAGATAAATCGTTACTTCTAAACCTAGGATTCACACGTGTCTCAATCACGCAATTGGACGCTTTGATAGAATTAAAGGTACTCTTGCTCTAGAAAAATCCGTGTAATTTTATTGACTTTAACAGCCGAAGGAAGAACAAAACAACTCGGAATACTTATGAAGAGCTAACAAACGATAATTTTTCATAATGCTTTTGGCACTAGGTTAATTCTAATCATAGATACCTTCAAATCTACCGCCACCACCGACGGTGCGCAGAGTATGGTCTCCTACTGGAAATGCTCTAATATGGCTAGGTGTTTATAGACACTAGCAGAGAAGTCCCACTAACTCCTTTCTCGGAGAAGTGTTGGCTGCGAAAGTAGGAGAATGGAAATAGAACGTCCGCAATTTAAACAAAATTGGTTAATACATATGCTTCATTTAGAGGAAACCGTTGATTTTAAATCAAAAATGAACATAGTCTCCAGGATTCTGAGGGAACGAGTAGAGTATGAACTTATTTAAATCACCAACTACCATGGGGCTAAACCTCTTGACGTTGCTCCACTACCTTGTGCGTTAGACCTTTAATTAAAAGGTCGGGGAAATAGCCTCCTAAGGAAAAAAAAACCTGTTTTGGTTGGGTGCCTATGCAGTATCTAAGTCGTCACTGTTATATTCTAGTGAAGACATAAGTACGAGTAACTCCCGGGCCCTGTTAATGGACTATTATTCTATATATATTCTTATTGTATAACTATTGAGTAATTAGATTGTGTATATCTATATTCATCTTATTATAAGCTTCATTTTGGCCTATGGATTATTATTATACGACTTACTGTCCCTGAATTATATTCAGTTTATTGATTATTGTATCCCACGTTCACAGCCACATTTGGCTTGATCTTGTACAAATATTATTTCCTATTTTATGGTGTGATGCGGTCTGTTTTTCTGGTATATAAACCAAGTATCCTTGATATAAATGATTCGCATAAAAGCTGTCATTGGTGTTCTGGACTCAATTGGAGGGGTTGGGCGAACAAGGGACCAACAAGGACACTAGACTGCTCATACCAGTCGAACGTCATCGTTTTGGTATAGTGCTAAGATTGGAGAAGTCGTATTCCGATTGGTGGATAAATCACGTGATAAAAAGTCGAGCATAAGATCATAACAAATTGGCGTACGGCCTTTTATTTTTTTTAATTCATAACACACACAATTACGGTAAATATTTCTGCGGCATATACCAATTTTGGAAGCCACATGTACTATTACTTGTGTCTTAGATAAAATTATTTTAGATATGTATAATTGAATATACAATCCATAAAAGCTTGTAAAGAAACTTACTCTTTCACCAGTATGTCGAAGGACTAAACAAACTTTTTTATCAGCTACTTCCTGTGGACCAATTTCTAAGCGAATAGGAACCCCTTTTAATTCCCAATGATTAAATTTCCATCCAGGTGATACATTATCACGATCATCACAGTGTACACGAAATTGTTTATTAGACTTATTTAATAATTCGAATACAGAATGAGCAGCGGACAAGAGAGTTTCTCGCTCTTGTACAGTTGTTTTTGCAGTAATACCGCAAGGAACAATAACAATCTATGACAATTTTTTTTAAAAAAAAACAGAATTTATAAACATATAATGATTTATAAGCATTTAAATCGTTTCGTTTTCTTGATATTCTTAACTCAGTTTGATAGCTAACAATAATAAAAGCATTATAACTAATTAACAAGTTAACAACTATCTAAGATCAGTAGCTCAGTGGATAACGCGTTGGGGTTTGAAATGAAAGAGACTGGATCCGAATCTTTGTGTGGACATCAACAGTGGAAGGTATGCATATCTAGCTGAAGAATTTTAAATATGATGAGATGAGAGAGGTTCACCGGAGAGGTTCACCAACGCTGAAGGAGTGGAAAGAAACTAATCATCATATGTGGATCTAAACCATCAAGTATCTATCCTCCTAATACAACCACCTAACGCCGATATCTTTTCAAAACACAAATGTATATAAATTTAAATTGCATAAACGATTATGTCTTTCAAGTTATGCCACCAGTTTAAAATACAAGATGATTAAAAAAACTACATAGTGGTCCACAGGCAAGTCAGTCATAATCTACGTAAAGTCGAAGATATGTGTATGTCGGTTCAATATGACGAGATGAAACTAACAAGATAAATAGCAAAGGAATTGAAATAACTTAGTAGCAATGATAATAATAAGAACTACGCACTATGTTTCGAAAAGACAGAAGAAAGGAATGTATCAAGAAATACTGAAACTCAAGATTTAAAGATAGTTAAGGAGTGAATCCACCTGTGTCATTATAATCGATTTAAAGCAATTCCATGGCAAATCCAACAACGAGTTGTGGTTATTATTCACAGATCAATCAGGTGGTCATCATCCACATTACTGCACATAATACTTAATCAGAGTAGATTAATTTGTAGTTACTTTATAGCACAGAGTAATAAAATGAATAGCTAACGAGCAGGCATAAATAAAGATAATTTAGTATAAGAGAATTAAAACACAGATTAATGAGGGACACATATTGTATTTATCCATGAATATGGTATGATCCAAGTGGGTTTTTTCAACTATTTACTAAACAAACTGGTTGGCACGAATATTAAAGGCTGCGCCTAAAAATAAGTAACGAATGAATATGTATACACTTTAATACAAAAACTACTACGTCAATATAACTCTTACATAAAATATTAATAAATTACCTGATATGGTGCAACTCTCGGTGGTAATACAAGACCTTTGTCATCACTATGTACCATAATTAAAACACCTAGTGTACGAGTGGTAAGACCCCAAGAATTTTGATAGACGTAGGCAGGTTTACCAGTCACTGGATGATCATATGTCACATCAAACATACGACTAAAGTTCTGACCTAAATGATGTGATGTAGCACCTTGAATTGCACGTCCATTCCCATCAATATAAATTTCCACAGTTGTCGTATAATCTGCACCGGCGAATTTTTCACGTTCAGTTTTACGCCCTAATAGATAAATAAATATACAGAAAAACTAATAACCTGTAAAAAAGAAAAAAATTGATCTAATATAGCAAGTAGTATCAAAATTTTCATAATCCTTTATAAGACAGCCCCTGAATACCTTGGTATGGCCAAAGGTGAGGAATGCCCACTCTCCTCGAAATGCCCACACATGGCCACGCGTATGCAGCCACTGTCGGGGAAGTCCTACTCATTGCCTTCACGAGGTGGGAGGCTCGCTTACAAAATTAAGAGAACGAAAAGAAAATGTCTAGCGCTTTAACAGATTTGGCAGATATGGAGAATCTACCTAGGAGAGTTGGAAAACTCTGATTCTGAAGCAATGGTGAGCATAGACTCTAGGATCCTGAAGGAACAAATGGAGTATGAACCTATTGTTGGTCACCGACTACCATGAGAATGCATCTCCCAACGTTGTTTCACTGTCTGGTGGATTAGACCTCTAGGTTAAAGACTCAAGGAGTGGCTCCCTTAGAAAACGACAGCGGCCTGTTTAAACATCTGGGCTACCTGTTCCTGTCATCTAGATATTTCAACAAGTTATCTAACTTCGTTTGTTTTAATACATCATTATGCCTATTAATCGCACAACCTATTCAGGTGCGTTTCTGAAAAGTGTAAGACCTTTCGTTGTAAAGGTTACAGAAGGCCTAATCAGAGATATCGCGGTTGCTGGTAATATGCAGCGAGAAGAATGTACATTATCCAGATGTCGATTGACTGGGCTGTTAACTTCTAACTGGTGATCACTCAATATTTATCGTCAGGAAGGACGAAGAAGTAAGAAACGGAAACTTGTTGAAGTACTTTGTGCTGAGAATTCTACATTGTACCAAAAATATAATATTGAATAAAGTTAATAATAATAATAATTCGGTTTAGGCTCCAGGGCAATATTCCAGCCCTCACATGAATAGAATGACGAAGTGTGGCGCATATATATATATATATATATATATATATATATATATATAACTCCGCCTGTAGCTCTTCTAGAGTTACTGCCGGTCCCAAGCCCGGGTAAAGGAGGAGGGTTGGGCATGGGGTTAGCGACCCCATCCTGTAGAAAAGCTAACTCGCTAAAAAAACGCTAACCAGAAAAAATAATCCAAACCATTTAAACTCTGCCCTGGGTGTTGAAGGAATAATGACGTCTCATGATGAAAGCCGAAATTCTTCGGAAGTCACGAGACCGATGCACCTTCTAACAACCAGAGCAACACTCTTTATAGGTACATGGAACGTCCGGACAATGTGGGAAACAGGAAAGACCAGCCAAATAGCAATGGAAATGAGGAGATACAACTTGGCAGTACTCGGAATCAGCGAAACCCATTGGACACAAACTGGACAACAAAGGCTAGGTACAGGAGAGATGCTGCTGTACTCCGGCCACGAAGGGGAAAATGCGCCACACACTCAGGGAGTTGCTCTAATGCTGTCCAAAGAAGCACGAAATGCACTTGTGGGGTGGGAATCTCATGGACCCAGGATAATCAAAGCATCATTCAGAACAAAGAAGCAAGGGATCACAATGAATGTTATCCAATGTTATGCACCCACCAATGATAGCAACGACGATGATAAAGATCAGTTCTATGAAAGGCTGCAATCAATTATAGCAAAGTGCTCACGAAAGGACCTCACCATCCTGATGGGAGATCTAAATGCTAAAGTTGGAGTGGACAACACAGGATATGAAGATGTAATTGGACGACATGGACTAGGAGAGAGAAATGAAAATGGGGAGAGACTTGCAAACCTATGTGCTTTCAACAAATTGGTTATAGGCGGCACAATATTCCCACACAAACGCATACACACAGCTACATGGATCTCACCGGACCACACCACAGAGAACCAGATTGATCACATCTGTATCAACAAAAAATTCCGAAGATCAATGGAAGATGTGAGAACCCGGAGAGGAGCTGACATAGCTTCAGATCACCACCTGGTTGTGGCCAAGATGAGACTAAAGCTAAAGAAACACTGGAAAACTGGACAAACAGCACTACAAAGGTTCAATACAGCCTTCCTTCGAAATATTGACAAGCTCCATGAATTCAAGATAACTCTCAACAACAGGTTCCAAGCTCTACAGGATCTACTGAAAGAACAAGAAACTACTTTGGAGGACAACTGGAAAGGGATAAAAGAAGCACTAACTTCAACGTGTCAGGAGGTTCTTGGTCCTAAGGAGCATCATCACAAGGAATGGATCTCTCTGGGAACCCTGGACAAAATTCAAGAAAGGAAGAACAAGAAACTAGCAATTAACAACAGCCGAACACGAGCAGAGAAAGTCAAAGCACAAGCAGACTACGCAGAAGCAAACAGAGAAGTGAAGAAAAGCATTAAAGCCGACAAGCAGAAATACATGGGAGAACTAGCAACGGCGGCGGAAAAAGCTGCAAGAGAAGGGAATATGAAACAACTATATGATACAACGAAGAAATTGGCAGGGAGATATAGCAAACCAGAGAGACCAGTCAAAGACAAAGAAGGAAAGACAATCACTGAGATTCAAGAACAGAGGAAAAGATGGGCAGAATACTTCGAGGAACTGCTGAATAGACCAGCCCCATCGAATCCACCGAACATCGAAGCAGCCCACACTGACCTTCCAATAGATGTCACTCCACCAACGATCGAAGAAGTCAAGATGGCCATCAGACAAATCAAAAGTGGGAAGGCGGCAGGACCTGACAATATACCAGCAGAAGCACTGAAGTCAGACATTGAAATAACTGCAAACATGCTTCACCTTCTATTCAAAAAGATTTGGGAAGAGGAACAAGTGCCAACGGACTGGAATGAAGGATATCTCATCAAGATACCAAAGAAAGGAGATCTGAGCCTATGTGAGAACTACAGAGGCATCAGTTTGTTATCAGTACCAAGAAAAGTTTTCAACAGAGTGCTGCTGAATCGGATGAAAGACGCAGTAGACGCCGAACTTAGGGATCAACAGGCTGGATTCCGTAAGGATCGGTCGTGCACAGACCAGATTGCGACACTACGGATCATCGTTGAACAATCAGTTGAGTGGAACTCATCACTATACGTCAACTTCATCGACTATGAGAAGGCGTTTGACAGCGTGGATAGGAGAACATTGTGGAAACTTCTTCGACACTATGGAGTTCCTCAGAAGATCGTCAACATTATCCAAAACTCATACGATGGATTACAGTGCAAAGTGGTGCATGGAGGACAGCTGACAGATGCATTTCCAGTAAGGACCGGAGTCAGACAAGGCTGTCTACTCTCCCCATTCCTCTTCCTTCTAGTGATTGACTGGATTATGAAGAATTCGACATCCGAAGGGAAATACGGAATACAATGGACTTCTCAGAATCAATTAGATGATTTGGACTTCGCAGATGACCTAGCCCTCCTCTCTCATACACACGACCAAATGCAGATGAAGACAGCAAATGTAGCAGCAGCCTCCGCATCGATAGGCCTCCACATTCACAAAGGAAAAAGCAAGATTCTCAAATGCAACACGGAGAACATCGACCCAATCACACTTGATGGCGAAACTCTGGAAGAGGTGGAAACATTCAAGTACCTGGGGAGCATCGTTGATAAATAAGGAGGATCGGATGCAGATGTAAAGGCAAGGATTGGCAGAGCAAGGGCAGCATTTCTACAATTGCAGAACATATGGAACTCAAAACAACTCTCAACCAATTTCAAGGTCAGAATCTTTAATACGAACGTCAAGACAGTCCTACTGTATGGAGCTGAAACGTGGAGAACTACTACGGCCATCATCAGGAAGGTACAAGTATTTATAAACAGTTGTCTACGCAAAATACTCAACATCCATTGGCCGGATACTATCAGCAACAGCGTTTTATGGGAGAGGACAAACCAGCTTCCAGCTGAAGAGGAAATTAGGAAAAGACGTTGCAAGTGGATCGGACATACATTAAGGAAATCACCAATGTGCATCACGACTCAATCCTTAACTTGGAATCCGGAAGGGAAGCGGAAAAGAGGAAGGCCAAAGAACACACTACGCCGGGAAATAGAAGCCGATATGAAAAGGATGAATAGCAACTGGAAAGAACTGGAAAGGAAGGCTCAGGACAGAGTTGGATGGAGAATGCTGGTGAGCGGCCTATGCTCCTCGACGAGGGGTAACAGGCGTAAGTAAGTAAGTAAGTAAGTAAGTAATATATATATATATATATATATATATATATAACAGGAAAATTGAAAATGAATACATAAACAGTATTTTTATCAACTACAGTTTCTAGCTAGTAATCTTTCTGTCTGACGAACAACAGCCAAGATGCCTAGTCTCTCAGACTAGAACATTCAGTAACCAACTTATAAGATTAATGTCATGTAGTCAAAATTTAACATTTCCCTGTAGACAGAAGGTTGGAATATTCAGCATATTCACCAAGTTGTCATCCAACTATAATAGGTCAACGCAATATATTAACCAGTTTCCTTACTGTAAACAGATCATTACTATTATTGCTATTATAATTACCTTTAACCACAGGAACTGCAAGTAAATATTCGTAAACTTCAGCATACAGATCCAATATTACACGAACCTCTGCTTCAGCATCGGCTTTTTCTGCAAAAGCGGTATGTCCTTCTTGCCAAAGGAATTCACGTGTACTACGTAAGATGAACATGAAAATGGTTGACAAGTGAAAATTTGGAATAACAAAAATATTTATATACTAGTTAGCGGAGTAGTTTGTGGCATAATTTTTAGGGAATAAGAACTAGTTACTAAACAAGTCTCTTTTCAAATTGGCACAAACATAACTTGCAACCTAATGGTTGGGAATGAAATCCTTTAACCAGTGGTCTACTGCTCCACTTCAAATACTAAAACCAATACTTAACGGTGTTTCACATTGGTGATCCAAAGAGAACCACTGCTTACGAGTGTATTGGAATTAGTAATCAAAATAATTAAAATGATACAAATCTTTCGCTTTGTAAAATATAGCCCTACATTGCCTAGAAAGAAGTGGCTGTGAATGTGAGTTTAAAACTTAGTTGATTATTAATTCGGGAGAATAATCATTACACACAAGCTCTGCTTGGAACACCAACGGGACAAATTAATGTTGTGGTTGACATAATATGGTGATTTGTGGTTTAAAGCACTCAGCTTTCAATCATTAGACTGTAAGTTTGTACCCTGTTTCACTAACCTACTCTGATATAGACAACCAGTTGGTATGGATAATTCTCATATAAAGACAGGGTGACTGTAAAATAGTTACACAAACGTCCATTTGATTACTGAATTACATTTAAGTACGTTGTCTAATCTAAGCGACTGTCGGGCAAGTATGTGAATAATTACATCGATATGTATGTTTACTTTCTATTAATATACTATCGAGTTATTTACAAACATCCAATATTTCATGATGCTGCATAAATAGTAAAACGATACAGTCGATAAATTTACCGTAGAAAAGGTTGTGGATGTTTAAATTCCCACCGAACAACATTACTCCACTGATTTATACGAAGTGGTAAATCGCGATGAGATTGAATCCATTTCGCAAATATTGGATACATAATTGTCTCACTGGTTGGTCGAATAGCGATTGGCTCTGCTAGATCTGTATCACCTGACTTCGTCACCCAAGCTACCTGTTTGTACGAAGCAAACAAAGTTAGTTCGTGAGTGAAAAGCTCTGAACTGTTGGGTTGCTCTTTCTAAAGTATACTACCGAATTGAATATAGTTATGAGATGTGATTAACGTATCGAACAAAAATGTAAATTTAATTATTCTGAATTATTAAGTGCAATTAGAAGGTATGTTATTACAAACCCAAACAAAATGTACAATGCAAGTCCAATAGGTGAGATAATGTAATATAGCAACATATTCGCTACGCTGTATCCTGAATTTTTTTTATTCGTCACAAAAAATGATCGTGATGATCAAACGAATCAAGTAATTCCTAAATATTGATATGTTTAAGTCAGTAGCTTCATACAGTCAACACACTTGTAAAAGCGGGATTATGGTGTTAAAACCACTACACAATTTGTTATTCATGCCTTGATTAGTACTAAGCGGACTAGACAATTACAGCCTTGGTTTATAAGCAGTGATAAATCGCTGCATAAATCTCAATCCTACACGAAGTCAATCGTGACCCAAATAGCCCAACGGCAACGTATGACTGCAGTTACTAGGTGATACAGGTTAAAATCTGACGGAAAGCATCACTTCTCTCAAGATTATGCATAATACTTTCTAACGAGTAATAACTAGAATGAAACCTAGCTCGGCAGGTTCCTTCTACAACCGTCACTTAATGTTAAGACCATAAGGTTAAACCGATGGAAATAATTTGTACTCACTTCAGGTGCAAAATCAGTCACATGGTTCTTTTCACGTTCCAATGCTGATTTTGAGACAAACATCGGGAAATAAGCATTTTCTATACCCATCAATTTGAGTTTTTCGTCCATAAAACGTTGAATAGACTGCCATATATGATAAGCCCATGGACGGAGAATATAACATCCACTGATATCATAATAGTCTAGTAATTCGGATTTTATAATTAGTTCGGAGTACCAATCAGAGAAATCAGTTTCTTTTGATGCTTCGATAGCTAATCTATTTTGGTAAACGAATTGTGAATGATATCAATATCTCGCACTAACTTCCTTTACGATGATATATAAAAATAGATTAAAAGCATATTATTTTAAGATGAAAAAAACTAACGAATCAACCTGCGTGACAATATCGTAGGTTGAGTCTTTGCAAAGAAGAACGACTTCGTCAATGTCAGTAGGACACAAAAAACCAATAGATAGGTGAAGATGTAGTTGAATATATGCAAAAAGGCATATGCTTCCCAGTTGCCTACATGCCATAGACAGGAATCTTCTTCTTAGAGACCCAAGAATAAAAACTGAATTTCTTCGGTAATCCTATTTGATATAAGAGGGTGATCGCAGAGCCCAATGGGCAACTGCTTAAGCCCTATCTCACACAACCACAATGTAAGTTATTTATACTTTGGTACTACACCCGAAAACCAGTGGACCAATGAGGCGATACAGTACTTGCACGCTCGATCTTCACTAACAACTGCTTATGATAGGCTGCTTATGATATGCTAAAGATACTGGTTATTTGGTCAAAGACACCTTATTGTGGTTACGCTTCGATACAGTCAGCAGTACAGCATCTTAACCGGACTTTGAATTTTCCCCCATCGTCTTGTCATATTTTAATTAACCTGTCTAAAAGGGTAGAACCCCAATGATTGAATTCTCCAGACTAGGTAACTCCAATGGACTATCACGATTGGTACACCCGAAGATTATAAGATATCGGCCACGGTTAGGCAGGCAAATTGTACATGTGTTATTTGGGCCGAATACCGTCAAAAAATGAGAAATCCTGGGTTTTAGATAATACCAAGTTCCTTCACATGGGACTAAATAATAAATAATTTAACAACCCTACTTCGATTTTGTCTCATTCTTTAATTCGTAGTTGGATTACATTTTCTCTTCTCTCGTCAAGCTACATTTTATGTACTACATTTTAAAACAATATCTTATTTTCGATGGTTTTTTACTCTTGAAATGTAGCGCCAAATTATCTTCGTTAGTTGCCGATATTATCAGTCAATATAACTGTGTTATTTTCTGGTTTATGGTTTACTGTTGTCCCATAATATTATCTCGATTCAGTGACAGTAACGATCATATTGTTGAATACAATCGAGAGCTTAAATCAACTCATTGTTATTGTGTATTAAATATGGCAATAATGAATACAATGTTGTACTAATCATTTGTTGTCTAAATAAACGTTAAAAGCTTCCGAAACTGGGATATTTAAAAAGATATACATTATTAGCATTGGGTGAAACATTAATTTCGTTCACCAGGATGCATTTCCAAACCGCATTCTCCTTTTCCATGGGCTTGGACAATCGGGTGGTAACATCACAATCTGATTACATTAACTCACTAATATACGGGTTGTGAACATTGTTGATTACACAGCAGCCGAAGCACTAAAGTTAGATACAGAAGTAATTTCAAAGATGCTCCAAGTTTTATTCAGGAAGGTTTGAGAGGAAAAATACCTCATCAATATGCCAAATAAAGATCTCAGCAAGCGTAAAAACTACACAGGCATCACACTACTATCGGTACCAGGAAACATTTTGAATAATGTTGTTAAACCGAAAGCAAGATTCAGTAGATGCCCAACTTCGAAACCAAAAGGCTGAGTTCCGTAAGGATCGGTCGTGCACAGACCAAATTGAGACACTACAAATCATTGTAGAGCAATCAATTGAATGGAATTCGTCACTATAAATCAGCTTCATTGACTATGAGAAAGCAATCGACAGTGTGGATGGGAGAACATTATGGAAACTTCTTCGACACTATGGTGTACCTGAGAAACTTGTCAACATCATCCGGAATTCAGACTACGGACTACACTGAGACATCGTGCATGGAGGACAAGTGACAGATGCATTCGACGTAAAAATCTGTGTCAGACAAAGCTGCTTAACCTCTCCCTTTCTTTTTCTTCTGGTGATTGACTGGATTATGAAGACTTCAACATCTCAGAGAAGGCATGGAATCCAATGGACGATTTGGAATTCGCCATTCTATCCCATAAAATGCAATAAATGCATGGGAACACAACCAATGTAGCAACAACCTCTGAAGCAGTAGATCTCAACCCTCGTAAAAGGAAAAAAGAGATCGTAAAATAAAACAGACAGGGCACCAACCAAATCACACTTGATTGAGAAGCTCTGGAATATGTGGAAAGCTTTAAGTACCTGGGCAGCATAATTGATAAACATGGAGGATTCGATGCAAATGTGAAGGAATGGATTGGTAAAACAAAGGCAGCATTCCTACAACTGAAGAACATATGGAACTCAAAACCACTGTCAGCCAACATCAAAGTCAGAATTTTCAATATGAACGTCAAGACAACTCTGTTGTATTGAGCTGAAACTTAAGAACTAGTAAAACCCTTATCAAAAAGGTACAGGTATTTATGAACAGTTGTCTACACATTATACTCCAGATCCGTAGATCAGACATTGTTAGCAACAACCTACTAAGGCAGGGAACACACTAACTTCCAACTGAATAGGAAATTAGAAGACGCTGAGAGTGGATAGGACACAAAACAAGCTGTAACTTGGAATCCTGAAGGCAAAAGGAAAAGAGGTAGACCGAAGAACACATTACTCAGGGAATTTGGGTTAGACATAAAAAGGATGAATAGCACTTGAGAACAACTGGAGCGAAGAGCTTAGGACAGAGTTGGTTGGAGAACTCTGGTTGGTGGCTTATGATCCACGGGAGGGGGGTAACAGGTATAAGTAATGTTACTATAATCAGTCGGTAATAAGGCTTATTAGATTATGTCAATTTGTTTAAAATTAGTTCTAAATGATAACAAGTTATCACAAAACTCGATGCTTATCAGTAAAAATTACAATAATGATAATTCCCTTCCGTGATATTGCAGTAAATATGAAAAAAGAACTTACTTAGATTGTTTTTTAGTCCCAGACATTTTTAATAATGACTCATTTTTGACGACTACTTTTGGAGATACTGGTTTCGATTGTACACACTTTATTGAATCACTCTGATTGGATTGTTTATACATTAATTTATCAGAAGTTGGTTTATTGATTGTCTCGTGACCAACTACTGTCGTTTTTAGTTTATTTTCTGATGATTGTTGTTGTTTAGCTTTTAATTTGCCCTCTTTTCTTGCTTCTTTTTTCTCTTCTTTTCGACGTTGTTGTTCAGCTGCTTTAGCTGCTTCTTCCGGTGTCAGATTTTCAATCTTAACAGTCTTTTAAAGAGAATAGCGATATTTAAAGTAGCAAACTTAAGAAATAATCTCATTTTTAAATAAAAAGGAATGTACTGTTATGACTTATGGCTCTGTCTTATATCACATGACAAGAGCACCAATCACAATATCGACTTCTATGACGTTATCCCCAGATTAATGAATGACAACCACACCCAGCAATAGTAGCCCTGGATCAACTCTAAATCCTTATCGGTCCTCTGTACAATAGCTTTTCACCTTGTCCTCCCCGTTGAATCCAGAACAGAATAATCAACTTCAAACATACTTAGCTTATATACAAGCAGACCGGACCGCATCACATTATCAGGTGAAAAATAAAAATTGTACGCGATCAAGTCAAAAGTGGCTATGAGTAGGAGAGACTGTCAATAATAGATTGGGGATCAATTAAGAATAGTTAATCGTATAATAGTAGTTAATGCGTCAGACGATGATGTATCCACTAATCAATCAATAGTTCAGGTGATTTAGGATGTTTACAGCACGTGATCAATTATATGTACAGTTAAGTGATCCCTGTTATATTGTGAGAGCTTAGTACAAAAATCTCTTTGTGTTATTGTAATGGTGTTTTACCGTAATAGCTATCTGATTTGATTTTTGATTATATTGATACACCTGCGCCATTGTGATCGATTCTGAGCTATGTCACCAAGAGTCTCCAACCATTGGTTACAATAGTCATGCGGACCCCAACCAAGTTGTCTGCATCTAACAACATGGCTCAGACTAGAAGTAAGTGACTTCAAGCATTGATGCCACGTTTTGGTTTGGCCGCTCCTAACTTTCTTCCAACCATCCCCTACACTAATCAGCATTGCGCGTCGTAGTAATCGATGTTCAAGCATACGTAACACGTGGCCTAACCATCTCAGTCGATGAAGATTAATGACCTCATCAACTGATTTACCATCATTTCCTAATACCCTGTGTCTAACCTCACTATTACTTACCCGGTGATCCCAGAAGATGCGAGCAATATTTCTAAGACATCTGTGGTCGAATACTAGTAACTTGCGAGTACCTTCTACTCTTAATGACCATGTTTCACAGCCGTAAAGTAGAACAGAACGAACTGCTGCGCAGTATACCCGTCCCTTAATTGATAGACGGATATCTCGTCTTCGCCATAGGTGACGTAAGTTAGCAAAGGTCAAACGAGCCTTTTGAATCCGTGCTGAGATTTCGTCAGACACCAACCCATTAGGGCTGATCAGACTTCCAAGATAAGTGAAGTTGTCGACGCGTTCGACTACTTCACTCCCTATCCTTAATTCAGGTGTTGACGCAGGCCAGTCCTGGAGTAACAATTTACTAACTGAGTGATATTGAATGTATGCTTGATGTTATATAAGTGATGACAATTACAAGTTTCTGTGTATAATATGAATTTGTTCAAATGAGGAAAAAGATTGTAAACAAATGAGAATTGAACCAAATTTAAACCATCTTTCCAAATATAATTTACAGGGAGAAAACATGCTATTGTAGAAGGTAATCACTAGCGATCTGATAAATAAGCCGAGGAACTAATGAAAAACCAAGGAGTATTGAATAGTTGTTATCTAAATTTTGGAATCCTTAAGAGCAGCCCATATACATAATACTGGATTAAGATCACATGATATTATAAACTGAATAAGTACAGAATACATCATGTCGATGACTCTAAACACAGTTGGTGAATGACATCAAGCTCTCTGTGATAATGTGTCGGTACATATTTTCGCGGAGCTACCTGGTGAGTTATAGTTTCCAATATTTCTTTTGAATATCTTTTCTTGACGAAAAAGTCTACTCCTAAAATCTGTTAATTACTCAATCGCTTGAGTAAGTGAAATAAAGAGTGTAATAAGAAATATTAATTCCCCTGACAGAAAAAACAACTCACTTTATTGGTTTTGACAGATCCTGACTTTGAAGACTCAACCTTAGAATTCATAGCAGCATTATCGTCTTTGGATGAACCATCAGGAATGTTAATTAAAACACAAGGTGATTCGTGGCCAGTAGCTAAGCTATAAATTTGAAAGAATGTTTTCCGTAAAACAACAAACGTTCATTGTATTCATCAAATACTGAATCAACTACACGAATATAGTTAAACTGACTAGAAAAACTCAAACAAAAGATGTAAACGTAACTTTAGCTACACCATTTTATAGACGAAAGTTATATTTTGCTTGAAACACTCTAATATGGGGATATGTTTCTATCAAACAAGTGTGAGATGTTTCAATTTTAAAGTAGGATTTATTTATTCAACTCATTTATTAGGTACATATTATTGTACTTGGTTGCGCGCCACACTCACTGAATTTAAAGACTAATGTCACTGCCCGGTTGTCGAAAATAGAGATGGGATAGGGTTCAAACCAGCAATTTAGTGGCTAAAAGTCGAACGCCTTAACCACGGAACCACCCCTCCAATTTCGAGTAACGAACATAAATGGATAAAAACTGGGAAATATTTTACAAAAGAGTACACATACACACATTTTAATTTACTTGATAAGGTCACAAATTTCCTAAGTATAAATTTATTTAATCAGTTGTAGGCCCGGAACCTACAAATTTTAAAATATAATGGTTCAACGACTGGGTCATTGCGCTTCATGACACTTATTATTCCTTACTGTTTAGTTGAACTTTTATCTACACAAAATCATACTCCACACCTGTTGCTTCGCACAGATATCAACCTGGTGAGAAATATTTGTGGAAAAAACTAGTTCAGCATCAAAATTTTATGTAACTTATTACATTTCAACAGCACACTATGTTTTTTTACAAATGGTTGAAATTTTTATTTCAAAAGAAAAAAAATTAGCATAATTAGTTAATTGAGTTACCAAGCTGATTCATATGGTGCATCGCAAATGAAGAAACCACGACGTTGAATCTGAATTATGTCACCTTTTTTAACATGACGTAAGTCAGGATCACCAAGTAAGCATTGCTCTTTCTAGAAAAAAGCAAATCAATATAACTTCAATAGGAACGGAACATTCCAAAAAAGTGACATGTATATATGTTTATGAAAAGTGAATGGGTTTTCACTGTTTTTAGAAGGTAAACATATAAGATATTATAGTTCTCTGAGAATGCAGTGATATACGGTTTTTACTTCGTTCAGTGACAAGCATATATAAACAACAGGTCACTAACTATTCACTAACTGATTGCGCATATTTTCTTAGAAAAGAATTCAGAACATAGTGTTTGTTTCGAATTGCCTACACCTTTCTTTCCTATTCCAAACGACACTTAGTCCGTAGAAACAACTTGGTCAACATTATGACCAATTTCATATCGATTCAACAAGCTTCATTTACTGGAATTGTGAAAGACTCACAAAATCATTACAGCAAGACAGTTTTAAGTTATGAATGATAAAAGTATATCTACAGAAATACAAAGTGTTTTGTAAGTATATCACTGTACTGTATAAAAAATCTAAACCTAAATAATAACTACAGAAATGACCAAAAGAAAAGTAAAATTAAAACCACAAGCAATTTGTTCACCTTTCACGACTCTCGAATCTACCCGTGATTTAACTAACCTGATATGGTGAACAAGGCGATGACTTGGAACGTGCCATACATTCCCTAACCACTTCAATTATTATCCTTCACCACTCAATCGACTTACTTGTTGAGAACATGATGAGAAGAGAATAATTATAACACAGCATAGCCGTACAAACATATGTGTAACGTATTTAGATTATGGTGAGCAAGATGCAAATACTTGGAATGTTAATACAACGATCGGAACAATAAACAAAATGCACCAGAGCAAACAGAGTAGTAGTGTACAAATATAGATGGTCTGGTGTCTGACGAAATCAAGACATGGATTCAGAGGGCTCGATTGGTTTTCGCCAACTCGCATCACTTCTGATGTAGGAAAGATATGTTTGCCGACCTAAAGATAAGCCTACTGCTAAGTAGTTCGCTCCATCCTACTTTATGGGTGTGAAACATGGACATTAAGAAAAGGAAGTACCAGATACATATGCGCTGCACAAATCTCATTTGATATTCGTAGGTTACTAATATTCGACCACAGACGTTTTTGAAGCATTGCTCACGTATTTTAGGACCGCCAAGTAAGCAATGACTGAGTTAGAATTAGGGAACTAGATAAGGAGGACAAATGGTCTGGTGAGGTGGTAGTCAATCTTCATCAACTGAGGTGGTTGGGACATGTGTTACGCATGCTTAACCACTACCTACATCAACGAGCGAATGTGTCTGGTTTACGAGTACGTTGGAAGAAAGACAGGGGCAACAGAACTAAAACATGGTATTAGTCCATGAAGTCATTGACAATTCGAATGAGCCATGTTAATAAGTGTAAACTATCTGATTGGTGTTCGCGTGATTATCGTGACCACTGGTTACAGACTATGAATGACATGGTTGAAAATCGTTTGCAATAGAGCAGGTACATCCATTATTCGTCTTCCACAAAATTCTAGGCTTCTGAATTCCTTATAACCTTTTGTGCTCCTAACTTACTCATTTGTATCTTCTTGAATCATATCTTTGATCCATAATCCTTTCTATCACCACTCATATTGTTACTACCCCTACTATTCTGGGATTTGATCTGACAATTTCATTTGTCTATGCTTGAATCGATGCACACAGGTGTCAAGTTCTACGTTATTTATGACCGAATTAGTAGATAAAAGACAAGGGTTGTAACCAAACAGAAACGAGCTCTACAAACGATAGTGTAATGAGGCTAAAATATCAAAGAATGTTTTTTTAAACAAGTTACATACTTTTGAGCATTTATTGACATATAGCTTGAAGTCATCATCTTTTCCCAAAATTGCTTTATTTAAAAGATTATCGTATGTTAGACAACTGACTGGAATTAATGGAAGATGAGAATCTTTAGGATCTGTTAGCCAAGTGATTTTTAGTGTTTTCTTGTAATCCTTTTAAATAGAAAACAAATAACAAATATATAAATTTGAAAAGCAGGAAAGATACACACATGTAATGTAGTAGGTATGTGTGAATGCTTTATTAGTGGTAGAGAATGAACACAATCAACCCTACACATCTAGATGTATTCAAATAAATAGCTTTACTTAAATCTTAAAATAAACGGTTAACAGAGAATGTCTATATACTTGAGGAATTTCCGTATACCCACATTATTAAAATTCTGAAGACATCAAAGACAAAATATATATTCAAAAAGCGGTTCCTATTGAGTTCGAGATCACAGTCAATAATTAGTTCATAAAAACAATATTTACTTCCAGAGCTACTGTCGTTTGACATTGAAGAAGCTAACTAATTGGTATTGTATTTTAATTGCAGTGTCAATTCACAATGAGTTTATTAATTATAATGTAGTACAACTCAGTTTACGGAAGCGTTTTAAAAGATATCTTTAACGTTGGCTACAGCATCTGGTTGTGATAAAGAGATAAGCAAACATATAAGAATTCGCCTGCACTCAGTCTTGTACCATCATAGTTTTAATCTTGTTGAGGTTGTAGAATTTTCAGTTTAAATTAGGAACCGATTTTGGATAGACCACTACTGGAAACCTAGAAGCACTGGACAGTCATTACTTTTTAGTATGAAACATCAGCATTACTGGACATTCGATCGGTACTAAATGAGAAATATGTTGATGAATTATCTATATTGAAGTTTGATCATTATATATATACATATAGCACAACTTACAGTATCTTCTAAATTAAGACAAGCGTCGATGGATACTATTAATTGACCTTCTCTATGTATATCCATTATTCGAAGATTACCCCAATTGATGAAGGTTACATTCTCGCCTTTTTTAAAACATAATGCATCGGCTTGCTCAACGAACACTTCTGGACCAAGTAAAATTGAACGGTATCCAAGAGATTCGTTTTTCGGGTGGATTTGCACCTGAAATTTTAATTATTTAAAAAGGCTTTTATCTCAGAACATTCAATGAGTTAAAACAGTTTTTCAAAAACCTGAAGTTTTGATAACTTTATGATCAATAAACAAAGTGTTCATTGTTGTTATATGGACTCCATAAACGTAGATGTTTACTTAATACGAAGCAATAGTATAAAGTTTATAGAAATTCGTAAGGAGTTTTACTGCAAATAACCAATTCCATACAGACTTTTATTTCAAGGTTACTCAAACCACTGTAAATGAAGAGTGTGGATTCGGGATCTAATGGGTGAGACTGAAGTACCCAAACCACATAATTCAAGATAACATTACAAAGGCTGGGGTTTCATAAATCGTCAACACAACTAACCTTTTTCTCAGTATAGCCGGTTTGGCCATGAATGTGAACACGAACCAGACCTGGAGGCGTACCATTATGACCCATATATGATGAGTCCAGTAAGAGAGCAGTAGTTCTTGGTGCTACAGGCTCAATTATTTTCTTATTAAATGACCAGATTTTATCCCATTCCATCAAAGCAGAAGACCGACTAGACCCTTGGGCCAAAATAAATTGACGTAATCCTTCGGCGGTCATACCATGACGAAGTATACCAGAAACTGTAGGCATTCTTGGATCATCCCATCCATCAACAATTCCTTCTTCTACAAACCATGCGAGTTTACGTTTTGACAGGACTGTATTTTGTAGAGCAAGACGGCTATAGTCGATCACAATTGGACAACGTATACCTAGCATAGGATCAAAACACAGCTAAAAGTCATTAATATATTTAGTAACAAATATCATACAAACTTATGGAATAATATGATGTGTGGTACTCTGATACAACAGCAAATTACATCGCAAAAACGGTTGTTTGTCAGATATGATGAAGATCATTAATGCAATTAGTCATTTGCTGAACCATTTCAACACTAGATTGCATACTGTTTTGTTTGTGATTTTTAATATGCAATTCCAGTCCATACTTTGCTTCCATATTGATTCATTCAATAGTTACATAAAATAGTACTATTTAGGTAATTACGACACAAACTAGCATGAAATTATGCCATACCGGTCCAATTAATAAATCGAATAAATTCACAATGTCAGTCAGTCGGTCAACCAGCCATAGCAACGTGGGACCTAGCATAAGCTTATCCCTACGTTACTGCACTACATCAGTACAGCGATATGAAATTATCGAGATGAATACCTAAGAAATATAAGAAGCAGTATCAATGATAGTAAACATATAAAATTAGACACGAAATATGATTCCAGGAAGAATGAATAATAAAACAATTTGAAAACTCAGAATTAGGGAGTGAATGCATCTGTGTCGTTGCGATTGCTTCTCAGCCAATTCACTCAGTGGTCATGACAATCATACTGACTCTAACCGAGTAGTCTGTATTTATCAACATGATTCAGATCAATGACTTCATAGATCAACGTCATGGGTTTGGTTTGCCACCCTTACTTTCTTTCTAACCTCAAAAAGTCATTTCTTTACAAAAAAGTTTATTATATTGAGGCTATAAAGTGAGTTTATTACAAAAACCTTTATTTTATTAACCATTTAATAAACTTTCTATTGTATCTAGACGAATCATTTCTATGAGTATTACATTAAGCACAAGTTCTGAAGACTTTAATAGATGTTTTGAGCAGTGAAAATAAAGATATAAACTGTATGTTGGCATGAATTGGAAGTCTTTTGAAGGGGATAAAATTGATTAACCCTAAATTTTGTTCCAGAAAAACTTAATGACTTCAGTTCACTAGTTTATTGGATAGATTATGTATTTTTAATTTAAAGAATGTAGTCATATATATGTATCCCTGTGACATCTCTTACGATTATTCACAAACAATTTATTTCAACCAAAACGACTGAACTTTTGATACAGAAAAAAAATTCAATGAGCAAGAAAAGTTTCTTTAGAAAAAAAGTTGTTAGCTTACCTAAACTTTTACATATCCATGCATACTGTTCATTTCTATCATTATATTCAGATGTTCGCAAAGCGTGGGTTACGCCTTCAATACTATCCACTACTGGGCAGGCAAAATCATACAACGGATACACTCTTTTGAAGGAAAGAATAACAGGGAATAATAAAAATATTTTGTTCGTTTTTTTCTGATGATTATCAACATGTAATTTAAAGTCAATATGAAATATACCCACAAATCTAAATACATTCATGGTAAGCAGAGATGGATAGTGGCTAGCAGTGGAATCCAGGACGCGCGTTTCGTCCTATTTGGGACTCGTCAGCTGGATGTACCTGCATCTCAGAGTTGATGTTCACTCTGGGACTCGAACCCAGTACCCTCGCTTCAAATCTAAATACATTCAGTTTGAACAAATGGAAATATCTACTGTGAGTCAAACTTTTAAAAACTTCAGACTACAAGGATGGTAAGACTTGGATTCAATAGAACCTATGGCAACTTTATGTATTAAACATTATCTCGCTTATTATTAACTTACTTCCTAAGGAAAACTATATTACTTTCATTAGGATAGCTATCTTTCATTCTCAAATCTAAAATTCTGAACTCATTGAAAATTTTCAGTATTAAGTACTGAAAGAAATTTGATTCTCGGCAAATAATTTGTATATATACAAACAATATCATATAATCACTTTCACTAGCTTATTTTCTTCAAATAAGTGTGATAATAAAGTACCCTCGCTTCAAATCTAAATACATTCAGTTTGAACAAATGGAAATATCTACTGTGAGTCAAACTTTTAAAAACTTCAGACTACAAGGATGGTAAGACTTGGATTCAATAGAACCTATGGCAACTTTATGTATTAAACATTATCTCGCTTATTATTAACTTACTTCCTAAGGAAAACTATATTACTTTCATTAGGATAGCTATCTTTCATTCTCAAATCTAAAATTCTGAACTCATTGAAAATTTTCAGTATTAAGTACTGAAAGAAATTTGATTCTCGGCAAATAATTTGTATATATACAAACAATATCATATAATCACTTTCACTAGCTTATTTTCTTCAAATAAGTGTGATAATAAAGTATTCTCTGAATGTTTTGATACATGAAACAAATTTTAACAAACAAACATTGTTATTAAGAGCCCTGATAAAAGCGATATGGCTCTTAAGGACAATGACCATTTTAACTGTTGCAAGGGATTAGTCTGCGCTCCCTAACATTTATCATTTTTGCCACCATAATACATTACAACAGTAGTTCCAGTCGTACATCTAACAATACTGCAGAACGCTTTATACTCTCATTAGTATTAAATAACTGAATATCTGGCACATTATATTCCCAAGAAAGATGGTAACGTCATTCGATATCACACAGACTACATATAAATTGATACAGTCAATATACGTACAGGTGCATTGGCTACGAAATAGACAATTTTTTTGGATATATAACCACCAGATGGAAACTATTTTATACTATGATGAAATGCTTACGGAAAGCAACACTACACCTCAGCTGAATATATAGAAAACCACATTTTAAAAGTGACGTAAACACGTTTACATATTAGCTTACTTATATTTAGAACCTGTCCGAACATGGGGTTCTATTTTACAACGATATATTGTAGGATCACGTAAAGCACCGTTATTAGAAAACATATCAATTTTAGCACGTACGCAACATTTTAGTCCTTGTTCCGTCCCCTTTTTCATTTCTCCCCACCAAGCCAAATTTTGTTCGATAGCTAAATGATAAATTACAGGAAAGAAAAGTAATTTTTTAAAACTTATATTGAGTTATGGCTAACTAAACCAAACCGAAACACTTCAATCAAAAAGGTATTTCAGTGGTTAATTACATGAACCACAAGTTATTAAGACCAGACTGAATATAAGTGGCTGAAGTACCTAGAAAAAGGAACCAAGACTTACTAAATACCTAGTTCGAGTTTTCCCTATTTATATGCTAGAATGGTAGTGCTTATTTACACCTAATTTATATAGAACAAGTGGTACTTGGGAAAAAAAATACCTTAAATGCGAAACAATAGTCTTTTCAAATGACCGTTTTCAACATAAGACTAATTATTTTAAATCGAACAGTACAAATTATTATGCATAGTTGAAATCGTATCTTTACATGGAACAAATTATGGTGAATGGCGCACAATGACATGTGTATTCTTAACCTTTTCGAAACTAAACACATTTAGAAATACAACAGAAAAAAAATTCGGCAAACTGATTCTACTTAAAAATGTGATGAAAGTAGGAAACATCGGTGAAAACTAGCCAATGGAAACTATCCACATGCACCTCCTAAGTTGCCGTCCTAATTTATCATACCACGTTTAACCCCAGTTTCACTACATTTAAATCGATCTTTATGTGGAGGAAATAACAAAATTTACTGTAGCCAATAGGGCATCGACATCCATAATCAACAAATTAAAAATTTGACCAAAGAAGTTAGATTACCTAGTAAATCAGCTATAAAGACTTAGCAAACAAACATTTAGCTGATGTTTGTATAGGTACTACTACTATGTATAAAACTAAATTGCTGGAAACAATTTTGGAAGCATACTTTTACAAAGACTTTAAACGAATTCAAAGAAATTACTCTTACAATTATCTCTACAAGCGGACATTTGGCGTGCTTCCCTCTGTACACGAATAGTTTCCGTGTCTGTGTTATCAACATATGCTTTGCCTTCCTTGATTAGTTGTTCACACAGTTTTAACATCTCATCAAAATGATCAGATGTTGACGATATAGCATCCCATGTGACACCAATTCGAGGAAGATCTGAAAGAATCGACTTTTCAAAGCATTCTTTTTCTTTATCAGGATTAGTATCATCAAAACGTAATATCAAACGACCTTTGAAAATATCCTGGAAAGAAAACAATAAAAGTACATAGACAGAAGATACACTAGAACCTTGCTTTACATCAACATATAACCGACTTTTATATAGAACTATGGATATTGTGAGGGTTGATGATAACGTTGAGTTCCCCAAACCGAGTTAAGTGATAAGGTTTTGAACTCATAAACTAATTACTAAGTCAGATAAATGATGAGTGACAAAGGCAGGCTATTGGATCAAAATGTAGAAAGAGATGTTACAAAAATTGTTGAGTAAAGCAGACAGTAGCAATCCAAAGAAAGTTCTTATAAAAACGTAAAAATTATTACTTGACTTTTCCAGCTTATTGATTCTAAATAGTATTAGGTCTCGTTATCGGAGGACTAAAAACTTACATTCGAGAATATATTATTTTTATAACTTGGTTAATATTCCTGTCAGCTAAATAATCTTTTAAAAAATGAATAGTAAACATAATTTCTTACCCTATAGTGTTGATTTAGAAGCGCTGCTTTGGCATGTCCAATATGCAAATATCCACTGGCTTCCGGAGGAAAACGAACGACTACCTCCCCAACTCTCGCACCAGGAAGTTCACCGAACTTCCCTCCCTTTTCAAATAGCATATCAGACGCATGAGTTTTACCAATAGTATTACTAGGTGGCTCTGAGTTAACTGATACGCCTCTTGGCTGTAGCCGTGATTCATAGATTTCTGTTTTAAGTTTCCGAACTGATGGTAAGGTTATAAGTCGATCATAGTATTGTTTAAGATTAACAAACGACTTTACGGAGCTATCAGTTTTGTATGACTCATTGAGTTTGTGCCAATCTGGATTGACTTTAAAATTCAGAAAAGAAAAAATCAGACTAAATATTTATTCCAGTAATAATACTTCCTATATTTAAGTTTGCAATAGACGAGCAAATTTGTTACTAGTTAACAAGCTAAGCCGATACCATAAAAGCAGAAAGCTGGTGATATAAGTGCGGAGATGCATTACTGTCCTAATCAGTTAATTAAATATAACGCAGAAGCCGCCGACAATATGCATTCACTTATGTTATTATATCATATTGGTACAGAAAATTAACTACAAAATGAGGCCATAATAATAACAATGGCAATAAAAATCTGAACACAGAAGATATGGTTAGAAGTGCTTTGATCCTTTTTGGTGTTCTTTTATCCTCGTTAGACGTTGCTCTGAGCACACGATAGGTTGTGGAACTAAAAAAACTGATAGTAAAAAGTGAGAAATGATATTGAAACTCAAAACCCAAGGGAATAAGAACAATGAATCCATTCATGTCAATGTGATCGAATTTGAGCCATACCGCCTAACTTCTTTAACAACGGATAACGATTTTTTATTTACTTATTTATTTATTTAAACACATATATATTGGTACAAAAGGGCATCAGATACATATGCGACACTCAAAATAATGAAAGTAGGAAGAGAAGGGATGAAAAGATAAGGCGGACTGAAATGTACAACCAGAAGACTCTTTCAGTTAAGAAAGTTAGAACCACTCTTTATGTAGAAAGTAAAAGAAGGTTGCAGCAGGATCGCCACTGGCTTCTATTCTGAGCCATATCTGATAACCTCTCTAGCCACTGTGTTGCACCATCTCTCGGACCCCAACCAGGGAGTCGTGAAGGACCAACAGAAGCTAGCCCTTTGCAGCTTTCTTTCATGCCACGACACCATGTCATACACTGACCTCCTCTCCGCTTTTTCCAACCAGTCCCAGAGTCGGCAAATAATGCACGACGTGGAAGTCTCTGGGACGACATTCGTAAAACATGTCCAAGCCACCGAAGTCGGTGTTTCAAGATGGTGACACCAATTGAATTATCGTCTCTGCGTCCGAACACACGATGCCGAAACTCTGCATTACTAACATGGTGTTGCCACTGGATGTCAGCAATCCTTCGGAGACAACGATGATCGAACACAGAGAGACGTCTAACATCCTCAACTCGGAGAGGCCAGGTTTCACAAGCATAGAGCAAAACTGCTCTCACCGACGCGTTGTAGATCCGACCTTTTACAGCCAGACTAACATCACGAAGGCGCCAAAGATGGCCCAGATTGGCATAAGCCGCTCTGGCTTTCATTATACGTGCATCAATCTCATCACTCACGCCACCACCAGCACTTATATAGCTACCTAGATACACGAACTTCTCAACTACTTCAATCTGCTCACCATACAGAGTGAGTACAGGATGAAAATCCTGCCAGTCTTGTAGGAGAGCCGGAGCAGCAGGCCAGTTGAACTGCCCTTCGAAAAATTCCGCCCATCGTCCAAGACGTCGACAGATGTTAGTGATAGGCATCCCGTCATCCTCACAGATTGTTTCACTCACACCAGACTTCTTGCTGCCAGTGGCTCGGATGAGTTGGAAGAGCTTCCGGCAGTTACCAGATGCATCTGCTGCTTCCATCTCATTAGCACGCTCCGACCACCAGGCTTCCCGATCCTTACGCAAGCTTTGCCCGATTTCATTACGTAACAGCCTTCGTTTGTGGTCAAACTCACGGTCACCCGGAGTAGACCGACAGGCTTCGATCAGTTGTAAGGAGCCAGAAGAAACCCAGTGCTTGTAAGCGGGACGTATCGCGAAGCCGCAAGCGACTTTATTCGCTGTCCAACTGTCGCTTCGAAAAGCTTGTTTCACGTGCGCTTATCCGGGGACCCTGTGGCATCTTCGTCTGGTCTTGCTGGCGTTGGTGTTGCACTTAGCGCTACAGCTGATACAGCACTAATCGATTGGGTCCCCATTAACAGTCGGTTATGTGCTGTTAGACTAGAAAGTTCCATCAAAGTAAGAAGAAATCGGCGTGAGAAACGGTATAGATGAGCATTGATTGCATCCTCACGACACCATGAAAATGGCGAGAAAAGTCGCTTGCGGCTTCGCGATACGTCCCGCTTACAAGCACTGGGTTTCTTCTGGCTCCTTACAACTGATCGAAGCCTGTCGGTCTACTCCGGGTGATCGTGAGTTTGACCACAAACGAAGGCTGTTACGTAATGAAATTGGGCAAAGCTTGCGTAAGGATCGGGAAGCCTGGTGGTCGGAGCGTGCTAATGAGATGGAAGCAGCAGATGCATCTGGTAACTGCCGGAAGCTCTTCCAACTCATTCGAGCCACTGGCAGCAAGAAGTCTGGTGTGAGTGAAACAATCTGTGAGGATGACGGGATGCCTATCACTAACATCTGTCGACGTCTTGGACGATGGGCGGAATTTTTCGAAGGGCAGTTCAACTGGCCTGCTGCTCCGGCAACATCAACCAGTTTGTCCTGCCCCCCATGGCCGGTGACGGTTGATCCACCAAACGAGGCGGAAGTTCTCAAGGAACTCCAACTCTTGAAGCGCTACAAATCACCGGGCCCAGATGACTTACCTCCGGCTCTTTTTAAAGATGGTGGTGACTTTCTGGCTAAGGAATTGACTGTGTTGTTTGCAAAGGTTTGGGAGCAAGAAAGTGTTCCATCATCATGGAATGAGTCGATAGTCATCCTTATCTTTAAAAAGGGTTCACGTTGTTCCAGTAATAACTATCGGGGGATAAGTCCACTTCCGATTGCGTCCAAACTATTGGCTTCTATCATTCTTCGTAGGTTGTTTAAAACCCGAGAACGATTGACTCGCGAGGAGCAGGCTGGTTTTTGTTTTGGTCGACGATGCATTGATCACATCTTCACCCTCCGCCAAATGTTAGAACACCGTCATACTTATCGCAGGCCAACAATCGTAGTGTTTCTTGATATCAGGGCTGCCTTCGACTCGTTGGACAGAACTGTTCTCTGGAATTGTCTATTGAAGAAGGGTGTGCCTGAGAAGTTCATTAACATCTTAAAGGCCCTGTATACGAACACCTCAGACAGAGTGAGGGCATACAACCACCTTTCTCCCTTGTTCCATTCGAGCAGCGGGGTTAGGCAGGGTTGCCCGATCTCACCATTCCTCTTCAACTTTGCCATCGACGACATCCTGGAAACAGCTCTGATGGATGTAAGTAATGGCGGTGTGGATATGTTGCCTGGAGAACGACTTCTCGACCTTGAGTATGCGGATGATATTGTCTTACTGTGCGATAATGCCCAAGGCATGCAATCCGCACTTAGTCCTTTGGCAATCAGTGTCCGCAGGTACGGCATGTGCTTTGCACCCTCCATGTGCAAGGTACTCCTACAAGACTGGCAGGATTCTCATCCTGTACTCACCCTGGATGGTGAGGAGATCGAAGTAGTTGAGAAGTTCGTGTATCTAGGTAGCTATATAAGTGCTGGTGGTGGCGTGAGTGATGAGATTGATGCACGTATAATGAAAGCCAGAGCGGCTTATGCCAATCTGGGCCATCTTTGGCGCCTTCGTGATGTTAGTCTGGCTGTAAAAGGTCGGATCTACAACGCGTCGGTGAGAGCAGTTTTGCTCTATGCTTGTGAAACCTGGCCTCTCCGAGTTGAGGATGTTAGACGTCTCTCTGTGTTCGATCATCGTTGTCTCCGAAGGATTGCTGACATCCAGTGGCAACACCATGTTAGTAATGCAGGGTTTCGGCATCGTGTGTTCGGGCGCAGAGACGATAATTCAATTGGTGTCACCATCTTGAAACACCGACTTCGGTGGCTTGGACATGTTTTACGAATGTCGTCCCAGAGACTTCCACGTCGTGCATTATTTGCCGACTCTGGGACTGGTTGGAAAAAGCGGAGAGGAGGTCAGTGTATGACATGGTGTCGTGGCATGAAAGAAAGCTGCAAAGGGCTAGCTTCTGTTGGTCCTTCACGACTCCCTGGTTGGGGTCCGAGAGATGGTGCAACACAGTGGCTAGAGACGTTATCAGATATGGCTCAGAATAGAAGCCAGTGGCGATCCTGCTGCAACCTTCTTTTACTTTCTACATAAAGAGTGGTTCTAACTTTCTTAACTGAAAGAGTCTTCTGGTTGTACATTTCAGTCCGCCTTATCTTTTCATCCCTTCTCTTCCTACTTTCATTATTTTGAGTGTCGCATATGTATCTGATGCCCTTTTGTACCAATATATATGTGTTTAAATAAATAATAAATAATTTCGTGCCCCTATATACCAATATTTATGTTCAAATAAATAAATAAAAGATGAATTCATGGTATGGCTTATCTTAATTAGAGCTGATGACAGATTATAGCTTTATCGACCGATTTAGCGTTTCTGGAAAGCAGTATATACCTAATCTCAGTACTAATTACCCAACCGTTTAACAATAAGCAATCAATGCTCCAAAGATATCAGTGACTAAGAACACGAAGCTTCGTCTGATTATGTTTGCATTTAACAAAAATTTCAATTAAAAAAGTTACTACTTCTACATAAATGTACTGAATTTTATAGAGGGAAATAGACACAGCCTAAACGCTTATTTGAAAGACATAAACAAGACATGAGCGTTTTTTAAACGTATCTGTAACCTCAATCTGAAACTTACTTACTTACGCTTGTTAACCTTCGTGGAGGAGCATAGACTGCCCACCAGCATTCTCCATGCAACCCTGTCCTGGGCAATCCTTTTCAGTTAACATTCATCCTTTTAATATCTGTTTCTATTTCACGTCGTAATGTGTTCTTTGGCCTTCCTCTTTTCTGATTTCCTTCCGGATTCCAAGTCAGGGCTTGCCTCGTGATGCAGTTTGCTGATTTCCTTAATGCTGATCCTATCCACTTACGTCTTTTCCTAACTTCCTCTTCAGCTGGAAGCTGGTTTGTCCTCTCCCATAAAATGCTGTTGCTGGTGGTATCCGGCCAGTGAATGTTGATTATCTTGCGTAGACAAGTGTCTATAAATACTTGTACCTTCACGACAATGGATGTAGTAGTTCACCACGTTTCAGCTCCGTACAGTAAGATTGTCTTGACGTTCGTATTGAAGATTCTCACTTCGAAATTAGTTGAGAGTTGTTTTGAGTTCCATATGTCCTTCAATTGTAGAAATGCTGCCTTGCTTCACCAATCCTCGCCTTTACATCTGTATCCGATCCTCCTTATTCATCAATGATGCTTCCCAGGTATGTGAATGTTTCCATCTCTTCCAGAGTTTCGGCATCAAATGTGATTGGGTTGGCGTTCTCCGTGTTATATTTGAGGATTTGGCTTTTTCCTTTGTGTATGTTGAGGCCTACTAATGCAGAGGCTGCTACTACATTAGTTGTTTTCGTCTATATTTGTTCGTGTGTATGGGATAGAACGGCTAGGTCATCTACAAAGTCCAGATCGTTTAATTGGTTCTGAGACGTCCATTGTATCCCGTGCTTCCCATCAGATGACAAAGACTTCATAATCTAGTCAATCACCAGAAGAATAAGGAAGGGGGAGAGTAGAAAGCTTCGACTGACTACGGTATTTACTAAAAATGCATCTATCAGCTGTCCTCCATGCAAGACTTTGCACTGTAGTCCGTCATACGAGCTCTGGATAATGTTGACAATCTTCTCAGGAACTCCATAGTGTCGAAAAAGTTTCCATAATGTTTTCCTGTCCACACTGTCAAACGCCCTCTCATAGTCGATGAAGTTGATAGATAGCGACGAATTCCAATCAATTGATTGTTTAACGATGATCCGCAGCGTCGCAATTTGGTCTGTGCCGGACCAATCATTGCGGAACCCAGCCTATTGATCTCGAAGTCGAGCGTCTACTGCATCTTTCATCCGGTTCAGCAACACTCTGATTGTGCCTTGACTTTCTCTGCGCGCGTTCGACTGTTGTTAAATGCTATTTTATTCGTTTTTCGAATCCTTTCTAGGGTTTCTATAGAATTCCATTCCTTATTGTGTTGCTTCTTGTGACCCAGAACCTCCTGACACGTTGAGGTTAGTGCTTCTTTGATCCCGTTCCAGTTGTCCTCCATCATAGTTTCTTGTTTTTTCAGTAGATCCCATAAAGCTTGGAAACTGTTGTTGAGTCATCCTAGATTCGTTGAGTTTGTTGTCTCGAAAAAAGGCTGCATTGAACCTTTTTATTGCTGTTCCCCCAGATGTTCAGTGTTTCTTTAGTTTTAGTTTCATCTTGGCCACAACCAGGTGGTGGTATGAAGATATGTCAGTTGCAAGCATTATAAAAACTCTATATTTAGCTAAATTTCTTCATATAATTGCTTGAGATATATCTTAATACATACAGAATGCATAAATTTCACTTGATTAAGATAATTCGTTTTCAAAATGCAGAACTAGAAAGCCTGTATGTAAACAATGTTCCTTAAGTAATAATAATAAACCGGCAGCAAATCTAGAGGGGTTAAAGGTGGGGTTTAATCGAATCCAAAGATATACATTGGACAGTTTGGGTTAGTCGTACTTGCTTGAAACATAAATATTCTCTACTATTAAATAGTTTTTCAGGGAGGTTGAAACTAAGGCTTTCCGATCGGTGACACAACTACTGACAGAACTAGTGAAGCAAAGTTAATATTTGCATAGTAATCGTGTTTTCGTCAGTAACGATACTAGCCGTTGATATATACTTATACACGAAGGCGACGGCGTCGTGTTCTAATGAGACTGAGTTTTCGAAACCCTAGACTATTTAGACAATCCCATCAGCACTATTAGGGAGTTTATAGACTTGTGGCTGTATCAACCAGGCTATCAACCTCCGTACTTCTTGTCGGCAACGTCATTTAACGGTTAGATGCGAAATTTAGCACTTTATCCAGTAACTACGCTGTAATACTGCCACATAATATGACGAGCCATATCCAAACAATTTGAGATTAGAGTTCTGTGTTGCAAAGGAGATCGGGAAATTTACTGTGTCGTTAACTTACTTTCTAGAAAAGTCCAAATAGCCAAATCTGATAAAGAGAACTCACTGCCGTTGATATACGTAGAACTAACAAGTGCTTTGTCAATCTCCTTCCCAGCCCAGACAAAATCACACTGTGGTTGGAGATAGGTTGTGACGAACCTAACCCAATTATAAGTCTATTTCTTGGAATATGAAAAGCTGAGTACTTACTTGGAGGTCATCTTTTACAGCGATACCCTTCAGTGCCAACCTGACAAAATGATATACAATTAATGTCAAACTTGCTTGAGACTATCCTCATTTAACCCTGGTAGATGATACTTAAGGGATTCTTTGAAAGCTTCTAAACCTAGAGAAGAACTTCAGAGAATAACACGCCTTACACACACACATGTCAGGACAAGTTGAGCCAACGATGACCTTGAGTATGTGTTGAGCGCTCTTCAGGTCTCAATACAATTGTGTTCAGAAGAAATGGCCAATTTAACCTATGGGTTCTGTATCTGATCGGCAAGAAAACATTTTTTAATACAGAAGGAGTTATCTATCGTTTCAACAATTCTGGATCTGAATGGCAAATATATTAATAATATGTGGCGTGAATAAGGGCTAACACAGAGTACTAGTTCTCAGTACTTGCGGAAATACGTTAAATGTCATTTCTCCCCCAAAGAATTTAGAAGGTGCCAACACCATCACTTCCTATAGGTACATTCATAAGTTCGTAGTTCTAATTCTTAAAATGGTCGCACGATTATTAAGTTTCTGCAACCTTGAACACCTTTCATGTTGTTCATATGCTGAGAGCCATGGACTTATCTGAACGCTTCAGATTTTTACTGATTCAACCAAGTGAGAAAGTTACTAACATCACGCACACCCAGTAGTTGGTTATAATAATGCGTGTTTACTCCCATTCCTTTTGGATCATTACTACTTGTCACGACTGTTCTTTCGTACGTCGAATCTGTTGGATAACCTCAATCCAGAAAATAATCCACGCATGTTTTATTAATTTGCTAGATCCACCGTGTTTTTGATACTTCTTACTATGTATATATCTTCACTTCAGCGAGCCTAATACATTACGTATGAACTACTTCCAAACCCGTTTTTGGAATAAAGTATATTTCATAGCATCAAATCACAACCTAGTGTTGTGGGAAAGTATGCTGTTTTCAGGAGAACCATATTAGATTCAACATTGACTAGACGCTCTCTAGTTCTCATTGTAACTAATACATATTTATAAATGTTGCTTAGATAACCACGGCAACGCTTTATGAAAATTCTATTACACACTCTAGGTCCCTAAATGTAGTTCCATAAGTCATGTCTGAAAATTTAAATATTTTTTCCTCCAAGTGTTTTTTAATCTTCATGTTTCTCATCAACGTATATATTAACCTGGCTTGTACAGGCGTTGCTTTTTTTGATGGACTATTGTTCTTTGATCTGGATGGTTTGGTCGTGGAGATTTCATCGTCCTTCTGAAAGACATCATCAGCACAAACTTCTGGTAGAAGTGGAGTGTTCGAATTTCTCCACATGTGGTTCACCGTTTGTCCTGTACACCTCGATGTTGACTGAATCTTGTTGACCTTAAATCTGTCATTGTTTATTACTTTGTTTTGGTTGTATCTCTTATTGGTTTGATTTTTTTTCCCTATGTTTCTGCACAAACCAATAAAATCCCTCCATTCAATCTTTTGCAAACCAGAGAATGAAATGACAAAAGAAGACAAACCAAACATCAACAAAATAAATTGTGACAACTGCGGCAAACACTACACCAGACAAAACGGACGCTCTATTTATCTTCTCCCGCATGAATATTAATTAGCAGTCAAACGCTATGACATGCCTTCACTTAGATCGACGCACTTGGACAACTGCGGACACACATTCGACTGGATAAATGTGGAGATTTTAAATGTAAGCATTTCCAAAAACACCGGAGAATTTTTAAAATCTTTGCATTCAGGTCAAACAGCAATAAACAAGCAGGAACAAAAATCAAACCAATAAGAGATACAACCAAAACAAAGTAATAAACAATGACAGATTTAAGGTCAACAAGATTCAATCAACATCGAGGTGTACAGGACAAGCGGTGAACCACATGTGGAGAAATTCGAACACTTCCCTTCTACCAGAAGTTTGTGCTGATGATGTCTTTCAGAAGGACGATGAAATCTCCACGATCAAACCATCCAGCCCAGAGGACAAAACTTCATCAAAATCATCCACTTGAACTACAAATCTTTTCCGACATCATATCATCTCTATGCCACTTGAATTTAACAATTATTTGAACTGCCGTCATCATTTTCCACTTAGCCCATCATAGTCGTTATTTGGGTTTATGAATCGGGTTATCACATCAGTTTCCTAAAATGATGTTTAACATGGTAAGCTATTGAAGTCACCTCATTAAAATATTACCGTACCACTCTGATATATATGTTACTTAATCAAGCGTTCAATAGGAAATCTCTGTAGCCCACTAATAAAATTAACACTAGGCGAACCAATATTTCTGGACAGCAATTTGGAATACAATCGGGTAGCTTGGAATCTCCAGTGCCATAAACTTCTAATGTTTCAGAAGCGCTTATGACAAAAACACCCACTTCCAACTAGCTGACCACCAATAAACACTATAACTGGTTATTCATAATGGTTTCTGCATATCGTCATAAAGCATTGTCATGACTTGACAATCACGTAATATGATTGATAAAAATGACGAGTTCAGTAACACAACCTCGGCCAACAACTTGACTCATAACTACCATTAGCCAGTGTAGTTTTCTTGTGATCATCTTTATTTATTATAAATTATTTCATTATATTTCTTTATCACTTGATCATTTACTAAACATCTCGAAATCTTTTCAATCTAAATGGAGGTTTAGCGACATAATAATGCATGCAACTCATCAGTATAAGCAGTCGAGCGAACCTCCCACAAACTGTAAGCATCACTGTCGAATTTACCTCATCACTGAAAAAGATTCATCCCGTAATCGTAGATATGAGTTAGGAGATGTACCACGTCTGTTAGTTATATCCATAACTAACCAATTAAACCGCAGCTTAAGCTCCCATTACGTTAATCTGGTTTGATGTGTCTGTAAACTATCGCTCTTGCACGTGACGTACCAATTGAAAGTCATCATTATCCTCTTCTATTAATGTGACATAGAATTTTTATTCATTCCCATAAGACATTCAATACTGGTCGGTATGTTTCTGCTTTCCACTTAATGACTGTAATTCTTTGATTATTGTACTAGTCTAATTGTTTTCATATTGAGAAACGGATAAACTTTAAAGACTAATTGTCCTTGTTCTGACTATAGCATTCACATAGACTCTGGGATTGTCAGTATCTCGTTTACAGATTTAGTAGTATATCTGTAGGACACATTGGATCCTACAACCTCCTATACAACTTACACTCCTGAGAATGCCACAGGTATTTGTTATAACTTATAAAAATAGACGTGTGACAATTCGTTATTAATTTTTATGTCCAGCTTTTATCACGTGAATTATCCACCAATCGAAATACGAATTCTCCAATATTAACACTGTGACAACAATCAATGACATTCAACTGGTATGAGCAGTCTAGCGTCCTTATTGGTCCTTTGCCCGCCCAGGCCTTCCTCTTGAGTCCAGAACACCAATCGCATCTTCTGCTATGCGAACTTATGCGAATCATTTATTTCAAGGATACTTGGTTTATATATCAGACAAACAGACGGACCACATCACACCACAAAATAGAAAACAATATTTGTACAAGATCAAGCCAAATGTGGCTGTGAACGTGGGATGCAGTAATCAATAAACTGAGTATAATTTAGGAACAGTAAATCGTGCAGTAATAATTCATAGGTCAAAATGAAGCTTACAATAAGATGAATATAGATATACACAATCTAGTTACTCAATAGTTAAACAATAAGAATATACATGGAATAATCGTTCATTAATAGGTCTCGGAAATTACCCATACTTATTTCTTCGCTAGGATATAACAACGGTTATACACAGAGTATAGTGTATGAAAAAATGGTTGATAGAGTATTCACTCAAAACATTTAACTTGTAGTGTTGGTTGCTATGTTAAACCCACAGAGCTTATTCAGGCTTCTGGATATGCCAATCTATCCATTCTTTTTGAATAACATTTTGACCTTGTCAACTATTCGCCTATAAACATTGACTGTTTTTATATGAACCTAGGTATATGTACATCTTATTCTATTCACCACATGTCCGTAACTAATTGTTGTGTGACTATAAGTATTGATTAACGCTTGATTAAATGGCGTTGGCTTACGTTCCTTCTCCATTGTGCGCCGTTTCGTTTCTTTCTCTATTCTCTTCCTTCGCTATGTCACCCTGGTTGTCTGTTCTGAACAACGATTGTGGAAAATATACGCATTTGAAGTATATTTTCGTTTCTGATTTATCTGATTCCGTTACTAACTGATGCAAGTTATGTCGATAATTTCATATTTCAATAATATACAGTCATACGGTATAATTAGAGTCAGATCCCGGACCATTGAAAATTTCATGCAATTAGTTCCTACTGAAAATTCTTGAACTGTTTTTTCTATCATTGTGACTGCGTTATTGTCAGTGACGAACCGTCCTCCAAGCACGAACTAAATTCAGAATGTACGTATTTACCTAATGACGGTTCTATTCAATTAAACAAGCTCAGACGGTTTCATCATGTATCCTTTTACATATATCAGCCGAACCCTATCTGTTATATAGTTCCACTGTACACACAGCCATTTCTCTCACGCGGGTTAAAATGACAGTTCATGACTTTGAGTTATCGACTAAGTATCAACTGACCTAAAACTGTTGTAGGAGCGTCGAAGCTGTGTCTCTTATTATAACAACTCCGAATATTCGATGTTCATAAGGTAATGATTAAATGACTTTACATGCAGCGTTTCATATGGCTAAGCAATGTGTTCTGAATATTTAGCACTGATTTTCAGATTTTAAAATTAGGGTGGACTTAGATTACCTACGTACTGTACAAGTGGAGCTTCGATATATGGAGCATACGGAGTGTTGCGGAAGGCCTTTCGAACTAACACAGAAGTTCTGATATTTAAAAATTGTGCTTAAAAAGACTGGATACACTATGTAGCATTCTCAGAAACAGTGACTTGACTGTGCAACATTGTTTCGTCCGGGAGCAGCAAATTAACATACTAGGGATAACACATGACAATAAATGAGTCCTATTAATGACTTTTAACCGAATGAATCCATTTTGTTATGGTATTCGCTTTTAGGATTGCAACTGAGCTAATTTCAACTGTAAATTAACCCTCAAGGTAGGTGGCTTTAAA